AAGTATAGATACATAATAATGCAAAGCTTCTACAACTAAGAAAAAGTTTCAGCTAAAACAATATTGAGGTTTCTTTAAAAAAATAATATTAAGAGTTATTAGACTATAGATATCGACTGAGTTACATATAGTTACATTAATTTTCTCAATGTTTGTTTTATCTTTTAGCTAGTTTAAATAGTTTAGTATGGGTAAATGTGTAGTTGATGTATATAGTAATGTAGTTAAGTAATTTTTTTATATAAAAAGCCGAAATAAAAAATGTTTTGAAAGTTACAATTTAATATGTGTTCAAAAATTTGCTAACCTAGCGCATAATCAGTTAATTTTTGTTAATTGTATAGTTAGAGACTTGACTTATTTTTAAAACTGATTAAAGGTTAGTTTTGGATATAAGGTTACCTACAATCACAATTCATGATATGTTGCCCATGTGTTATCCTAAATTTATTATATGTACTTTCTAAACATTTTTCATTTTCTCTAGATCACTAAATATATATTTAGTAAAGAGACTAAAAATCGCTAGAGAATTTGCTAAAGGGGATTCTAAGAAGACTAAGCACCTCTCATTTTCACTAATCTGTAGCCCTTAGTGTTTGGGAGCCCACAAATTAATCGTTTTTATATTCTCGTTATGCAACACAAAAGCCCTGCGACCAAATAAAAGAAAAACAATTCTTCCTCGAGTCAAGGATGAGGTAACACATATCTTGATCCGGGACCGGCTCCATTTTGAGATAACTCTTTAAAGCTTTTCTTGAATCAAATTTTACAATAGAGTACTAGACACAATAATTTTAGCATAGCTATCACCGACCACAAACTAAAACTAATCAGACTAATATATATATAGTAATATAGATATATATGAACAAAGCCTTTAACTAAAAAAATACGAACAAAGGCAAGATGTTTTATAAAAACGTTCTATGTATGTAGTACAATTATAATCGATTAGATCTGTTGGTTACTGAATTAGTTGGTACTTCTCTAGGGACAGAGTTCGATTCCTGCTATGAATATATTTTTTATGTCTCTTTATTTATTTATTTTTCCTTTAGTAATATTTTTTTTTAACAATTTGTACCATACTTTTATTATTTTCTATTGGTGCCCCATACAAATATTGCTTCTAGATCCGCCCCTGGATGTTACGCTAACATGGGGATAAATTACAACCAGAAAGAAGAGATAAAGAACAACGAATTTGAAAAACAATTAACGATTCGAGAGCAAGGCATCAAACATTGAGCAAACCACAAAGAAGCTCGAGTCATCCTATCTCAATCAAAATCGTATATGTGCAAAAACGTGAAACGGGAACAGAAAAATCGTACAAAAGACTCAAGGCAAATAGCATTGCCATATTATGAAATTTGTAATAAATCTTATTATTAATTTTTAATTATACATGCCAAAAGTTACCAGGTCAAATGACATAACTACTAACTCATAATCTTACGACAAACTTATCACATAAATTTAAGTTTCAACAACATAACTTTTACTGCAAGTAACATCAAATGATAACACTTGTAATTAAACTTCAACAACGCATGTTACTGCATATTTAAATCGTTACAGTCTTGCAAACACATATTAAGTTAATCTAATATCGTATCTGTCGTATTGTAACGGATCGAAAAACAGAAAAGCACCAGTTAAAACTATATGTGAAGTTGTGCTTCGGATCGTCCAAGCTTTCTTGAATAGAGAGCCAATGTTTACGTCTAATTAAAAAAGAAAATGAATCGTAACGCAAACAAACGTGTTCACAAAGGAATGCAAATGACAATGTGTTACTGCATGCGTATTATACGAACGGAAAAAACAGAAATCCGGTCAAAACCAAAAACCCCATCGTGAGCATCCAAGAGACCACCGGTCTCACCTGCCACCGCAGCCCAAACTTTGTTCTCTTAACCGCCATTTCCACCGCCGTGCAAACTCCGTTTAACGTAAAGAACACGGTGAGCTCCCATGAAGGTGTCTCACGAGTAAAGTAGAAGTGCAGAAGCTCGTGAGACGCACCTGAGACGATGAACGCAGCAAAAAAACCCATCAATCTAGCACGATCAGAGCTCATTAGGCGTCCACAGACTCGTCGGACAGGAGTGTAGACTCCTGACCTGAGAGTCGATGAGACCATTAGGTTCCAGCGGCGACCCCAGAAGTCTTGTAGAGATGTGGCTAAGTATGGCTCGTTGAATACTGGCTCTAGGTCACACCCAAGAGTGATCGAGACCAGAAATTTGATAAGGGTAAAGAGAAGCTCAACTCTCAAGTACATTTCCAAAGGACGGAGAACAAGCAGCAGAATTTTAGGTTGATTGTAACAATCTACTTTTAACAAAACACCAAAGATTGCAACCTTAATGCCGAGAACCCATTTGGGGAAATGGTTTTGAGATGGGTGAGATTTAGGGTTTTGTTGAAGCTCGACAGGCAAGCAAGTGAAGCATATGAATCGGGGGAGATTTGACGGAAGTGGGAAAAGAGGACCTTGATCAAAAGCGAAGAGGAAGAGCTTTAAATTGGCATGGAGGCAGAACGCTGTGAATGGGATCATATAGAGTTTCCTTGAGGAAGAGAAGAGAGGGAGAAGGTAGAGGAGAGCACATACGGGAATAATAGAGAGTAATCGAAGAACACCAGTTTTGATTCTGGATGAAATATAGTAACAGTAGGTTACAGAGATTATCGCATAAACCCATACTTTGATGAAAATCTTCAGTTCCTCATCCATCCTTTTTTTTGTTCTGCGTTGCTGATGAGTGTTTGCAATACCCAATAGCCGAGGTGTTTATAAATTGGTGGTTGCGTGGACTAAAAGTAACTACGATGAATTAAACATTGGACTAAATAGAAAATTACTGCATGGCACTAGGTTTACAGGTAGTAGACAACGAAGAACCAGGCTTGCGTCCACGTTAGATCTTGTAACCAATTTTGTACGTATACTTTGATTATACAAATCAAGTTTTAAAAAGATCCATTTTCATATTTGATTATCCAATCTTTCGAAAACGACGCCGTATTGATGAGTCTTTGCGATACCCGATAGCCAATGTGTTTTAACTTGGTGGTTGCGTGGACTGAAAGTAATTACAGTTAATTACACAATGGGCCAGATAGAAAACTATGGCAAGTTGTTTTACAGGTAGTAGACAGCGAAGAACCACGCTTGCTTCTACGTTCTATCTCATGAGCCTGGCTTTAGCTTCCTTCTTGCTCCTTCTGATCCAATCAATGCACATCCTTGGCCATAGATAGTTTTGAAAGCTTATAAATTTTGGTCTGTTGCCCAACCAAGATTGAGAATCTAAGATAGAAGCTTATAATTAGAAAATGCATACAAATGCATGAGTTTAATTTATAAACACACAACGAAAAAAATAGAGAAAAAAGTAATGTTATGAAAACAGAATTTACAATACATAACTCAAATTTCTATCATTCCACAGACTTGTTGAGGAGAAGTGTTAATTTCTTCTCGTATAGAGTCCAACAAATTTTCATTTTTAAAACATTAAGACTGAAAAACAAAATCGCTAGTGAATTTGCTAAAGGGGATTATAAGAAGACATAAACACCTCATATTTTCATTAATTAATCTGTAGTTCTTAGTGTTTGGGAGCCAACAAATCGTTTTTATATCCTCGTTATACAACACAAAAGCTCTGCTTGCAGCCTTGCGGCCAAAGAAAATAAAAAGAATTCTTCCTCGTGTCAAGGATGACGTAACAGTAACACACATACCTTCATCTGGTACCACTGATCCATTCTGAGATAACCCTTTTAAAGTTTTTTTGAATCAAATTTTACAATAAAGTAATAGACACGAGAATTTTAGCATACACAGTACTGATATTCAAAGCTATCACCAACCACAAACTAAAACTAATCAGACTAAAATATGAACAAAGTTAAAATGTTACGCTTATATGGGGATTACAACCAGAAACAAGAGATAACAAACATGAAGCAACGAATTTGAAAAACAATTAATGATTCGAGCGCAATACATCAAACATTGAACAAACCACAAAGAAGCTCGAGTAACCCTATTTCAATCAAAATCGTACATGTACAAAAATGTGAAACGGTACAGAATAATCATACAAAAGACTGATCAAGGCGAATAGCATTGTCATATTATGAAATTTGTAAGAAATCTTATTATTATTATTAGTTTTTAATAAGAGAAATTTTGGAAATATACTCTTTTATGTGTTTTTAATTTGAAAATTACCCTTATTTTTTTTTGGTTTTGAAAAATACACTTTTTATATGTGAAATGATTTCTTAATTGTCACTGAAGTTTTCAATAAAAACGAAATTCAAATAAGAAATATAAATATTATGATTTGATAATAATTTTATTTCATTTTAAAATACTAAACTTTTCTAATTATCTGTTTAGATTTTTAAAAAAAATCAATAAAAATATAAGGTTGTTGTTTATATAAAGTTTCAAAAATATTTAAATTTGTCTCAAGATAAACATTAAAAATGAAAGATATATTTCTTCACTTTTAAATTTTTAATAATTTATAAAGTTTAAATATATGTTAAAATTTAGTTTGGTTGTAATGTGTGTGAGATTAAGTTGTTTATATAAAGGTCCAATTTTTAAAAAAATTGTTTCAATTTAACATATACTGTATTTATCTGAAAAAAAATCTTATTAATTATATTATTTTTGAATTTCGTTTTTAAGTTGTAATTATTTATTATTATTTTGTTTAAATCAGGTCAAAACAGACTTTTTTACATTTTAAAGTGTATTTTTCAAAACAGAAAAAAAATCTAGGGTATTTTAAAAAAATTTAAACATAAGTAGGGTATTTTTCAAAAAATACCATGTCAAATGACAAAACTACTAACTCATAATCTTACAACAAACTTATCACATAAATTTTTAGTTTCAACCACATAATTTTTACATCAAATTATAACACTTGCATTTTAAACCGTTACAGTTTTGCAAAGACATATTAAGTTAATCTAATATCGTATCTGTCGTATTGTAACGGATCGAAAAACAGAAAAGCACCAGTTGAAACTATAAATCCCCACGTCAGCAGCCAAGAGACCACCGGTCTCAGCTGCCACCGCATCCCAAACTTTGTTCTCTTCACCGCCATTTCCACCACCGTGCAAACTCCGTTTAACACAAAGTACGCGGTGAGCTCCCATGAAGGTGCGTCACGTGTTAAATAGAAGTGTATAATCTCGTGAAAAGCAAACCTGAGACGATGAACGCCGCAAGAAACCCGATCAATCTAGCACGATCAGGGCTCATTAGGCGTCCACAGACTCGCCGCACAGGAATGTAGACTACTGACCTGAGATTCGATGAGACCATTAGGTTCCAGCGGCGACCCCAGAAGTCTTGAAGAGATGTGGCTAAGTATGGCTCGTTGAACTGTGGCTCTAGGTCACACCCAAGAGTGATCGTGACCAGAAATTTGATGAGGGCTAAGAAAATCTCAAATTCCAAGTACATGTGCACAGGACGGAGACCTATCCGCAGAACTCGAGGTAGGTTATGATTGTCACAATAAAAATTTAACAAAAGACTATAGATTGCAACTTTAATGCCGAAAACCCATTTGGGGACAAGGTTTTGAGAATTAGGGTTCTGCTGAAGCTTGATAGGCAAGCAAGTGAAGCATATGAATCGGGTGAGATTTGATGGAAGATGAAAAAGAGGACCTTGGTCAAAAGCAAAGAGGATAAGTTTGAAACTGGCAAGTATTGTGAGGAAAAGCGATGTGAATAAAATGTGATTCATTAAGGCCAAGAAGAGAGGGAGAATGAAGAAGAGAGCACATACGGGAATGATAGAGAGTAAACGAAGAACACCAGTTTTGATTCTGGATGATATAAAGTAACAGTAGGTTACCGAGATTATCGCAGAAACCCATACTTTGATGAAAATCTTCAGTTCCTCATCCATATTTTTTTTTTCTGCTTTGCTGATGAGTTTTTGCAATACCCAATAGCCGATGTGTTTATAACTTGGTGGTTGCGTGGGTTAAAAGTAATTACCATGAATTAAACATTGGACTAAATAGAAAATTACGGCAAGCACTGGGTTTACAGGTAGTAGACAACGAAGAACGAGGCTTACTTCTACGTTATATCTTATGAGCCTGGCTTTAGCGTCCTTCTTGTTTCTTCTGATCCGATCAATGGACATCCTTGGCCATAGATACATAGTTTTGAAAGCTTGGGGGTATTGTTACGTACGTTGGACACTTCGATTTGGGATTTGGGATAATGATAACATGAACAATATGTGACCATTCAAATCCGTCCCTCAAAGAAGACTGATATAGTACATAAATCATCAAATATTTGACTGGAACCTTCATTTCATTTTGTAGTTGATGTATGTAGAAAGATTCGTAGGTATTTGTTTCATTGGTAACCAATTTTGTACGTATATATACTTTGATTATACAAATCAAGTCTCTAAAAAAAGCCATTTTCATATTTGATTATCTAATCTTTCGAAAACGAAGCCGTATTAATCATGAAGAGACCAATTGAGTGACAGTTAAAGGAGACGAGTATTGTGAACCACCAGTGAGCATAAGATCGACGACTGTCCGAGCAGCAGCTTCTGTGGGATGACCAAAGAGATCCCAAAAGAGATATTTGGTCCTATCCGGACATACATTTGCGAAAGGAAGACAAAGAAGCTCCGCGTTTAATTTTCCGAATCCACAACATGCTGATGTCACGTCAGAAAAACCTGAAATTATAGAAATAGATACTTTTTTTTTGTCAAGAAGTCAACTAAGTATTTTCTTAACCTCTTACAGAAATATGGAATTGAAATCCTGTGCTCAAAGATTTGCAGAGGTGGCAACGCTACTTGCGGATCCATGCATGTGTTAGAGATACATAACTACGTTGATGTATGCGTTTTTTTCTTTCTAATAACACCACTTTTGTTTAGTACGTGACTACGTGCGTGGATTATGTGTCCAACAATTTTTAGTGATCTCACTTTTGAATTTCAGCTGGTTGGCATTTTTAAAAAATGTTCTTTAATTTAATACTCTAGATTTTACTATAAGTTTATCATTAACATTTCTCTTTAAAGTTTTGTTATATGAAAAAATTGGGGCAATATGAGAAAAGAAAATGATAGAGAAGAAAGTGTTTATTCAAATAAAATAATTCGAAATTCTTCTTTCCAATTATATATATTTTATGTGAAATAAAACATGAAATAGATAGCGAAATATTTTAGAAAACAAATTAAGAAAAAAAAATATATCATTTTTTCTTTCTAAAGAAAATATAATTGAACGAAAACAAATATTGTTCATTTTAAAAGCTAAAAAAAAAACGATCTAGTGAAATGCGATCTAAACGGTTTTAATTAATTGGTTTACGTCTCACAACTTAATTACATTGGTTTGATTCGCTCGATTATTTATCTCTAGCTTAATATCATTAGTGGTGACTAAATTCAATACCCAAAATAGACAAATTCTCAACGTACCGTAACGGCCAGGATTGGAGATAATGTCATGTATGGACTTAAACATATCAAAGTAAGAGTAAGTCATGGAGCTTCGTAACTCTTCTTTGAGTTGTTGAAGCATCTTTACTAGTGCTTCGTTGTATAAAGATGCCAACATGTTTGCATCTTTATTGCATTCATGGATCGTCGAGTTCTTCTCTCTTTTCTTCGGCGCGCAACCGATTTGTGCTGCCCCGATTATTAAAAATTTACTAGCTCCAGTTTCGTGAATTTTCTGTTAACATATTTTTGGAACACGATTGGTCATAATGTGATAATCAAGAACACAAATACTTTTTTTTTTTCGTTCTACCTTCAGTTGAGATCTGAATTCATTGACCATCAGTTCCGTATATTCTTGCGGATCACTCTTTTTCTTAAGTCGGAAGGATCGGAAATTATACAAAAGATCATTGCTGCCTATGACCACAACGAATAGAGATTTGGATATGTGAATTTGTGCCTCGGATGGTCCAAGCTTTCTCGTGAGTGTTTCATGAATATAGAGCCAATTTTTTGTTTGTTGTGATAAAGATATAACTTGTCCCTGAAAAATATCACAATTAACAAACAAATAGAAAAATTTGAGGATAACATAATTGGGTGAGTGTCAAACTAATTAAAGATCTGAAGGTCAAATGTTCATTGTTCAATCCAATTCAAGCTCACTACGTGTGAATCAATATTCTGTTTCATTCTTTTCAGGATTTCTTAAATAGTTTTTCTATATAAATTATGGAAGAAGATATGTTTACATATAACTTACAGGAAATTGAACGGTGCTATAAAAGATTCCGGCACCGGCGGAGGCAAAATTAACACCTGTCAAAGCGGCGGATTCTCTCTTTTTCCATTTTAGTAAGCCTCTTAGTGAGAGGAAGGGCGGCGGTAAGGGTAAACCAAAGTTTTCAGCTAATCAATTAAAAACAAAAAGTTTAAACCAATACCAAAAATTACTCAATATATTGTATATTGACCAAAAACAAAGAGTTTAAACCAATACCAAAAATTACTCAATATGCATGCATGTTGAGTATTGACAACGAATTGTTACAACTATTTGTAATTTTTATTTCATTATCTTTCAAGTTTCGACGTGTTAATTAAGGACAAGATACTAATTTCTTGCATGCAAACCAAAGATATAAAAATGACACCGGAAACTAACATTAAGATACTTACCGATAATATCAGCGGCGTTCTTGCCGTTACAGAATCTTCCGGTGGATTGCTTCTTAGGAAAGTCGATGCCGTGAGGTGGAAAATTACTTTTGGCTAAGGAAATTGGTAAGTAATTATTGTTTCCGGCATCAACCAACGAATCTCCGAAAACATATAATCCCGGAATTGAACCCGATTTTCCGGCTACTGCTTCTAAACCGGGAACTGAATGGAGCCGAAGTAAACTGAGAAAAAGGGGGAAGAGTGTGAGGAACGTTGTGTTTCTCGCCCGCATCTTTTGACTTTTTCTTTTATTTTCCGGTGAACTCTTTTTTCTCCGAGGCTCTTGATGTGGTAAGAGATGCAAATCTTAATGCGGTTTATATGTAGAGAGACGACATGTTAACGAGACGACCTTCACATTGACGAATATTAATAAAATATGATTTCTCTTTACGATGATAAAATATAATAATGATTGATAACGTGAAACGAGGGACATATACAAAAAAAAAGAAGAAGAGGCAGCTTCAAAGGCCTAACTTTAAAAATGTTTCGTATTTCTATGTATCTTTTTTTTTTTACCGCCCTATGATCTATGTATAGGAGCCATAAATTTTCTACATATGTAGGGATAATTGATGTAACAAGCATTTTTAGTGGTTACATAATAAATAGCATGCGAGTGTTTATAATTAGTGCAATGACACATTACGCTACGTAAGGATGATAAAGAACCTCACTCGTCCCATTCTTTCATGTGATAACAAAAAAAAAACATAAATTTCTGTGGAACCAACGCACCCGATCTATAGCTACTTCCTAAAGTTCAGTTTCTCCTCCATACTTTTTTTTAGTTTGTTCATTTGATTACAATAATTTCACATAACTCCTCTTGATATTAGAAATCTTTTGTTTTCTTATAAAAACTTCTATAAACTCAAGTTGGTAAATGTATAAATCACACAATCATGAAAACTCAATTATTCAGCAGTTGACAATGATTTTGGAGGGTGGGGTTAGATCACTTGTCCAAATGATCAAATGCTTTTATACCATTAGAATACTAATAAGTGCAAATTCCACATACAAAATTTTGCAAACTGTAGACCAATATGTTTTTGGCAATTTTAGCTCATTGGATCCGATTGGTGAAGAAAAGAATACAAGAGCTTTTTAGTTTTTAAAGTTAAAATAGAATAATTCTGAAGAAACTAATGAACTACTTATTTCATTGCAAACAAATTTAGAACCTACACTTGATTACAAATGAAGTCTCCAAATCTCATTTGTCTAGTAGCTAGATTATGCAGCATCGATCAAGAAGAGACCAATTGAGAGAGAGTTAAAGGAGATGAGTACTGTGAATCATCAGTCATATCGGCGGTGGCCTTAGCAGCAGCTTCTGTGGGATGACCGAAGAGATCCCAAAAGAAATATTTGGTCCTGTCCGGACATAACTCTGAGAAAGGAAGACAAGGAACCTCCGCGTTTAACTTTCCGAATCCACAACACGCTGATGTCACGTCAGTAAAACCTGAAATTAGCAAAACGACACATTTTTTTTCTGTGTTAGATACGTACGATCTTGTTTGCAAAAAATTTAACCAAATTTAATACACAAATTTTTCCGACGTACCGTAAGGGGCAGGGTTTGAGAGAATGTCATGTACAGCCTTGTAGCTATCGAAGTAAGTGTAAGCCATTGAGTTTTTCGTTTCTTCTTTGAGTTGTTGCAGCATCTTTACTAGTGCTTTGTTGAACAAAGACGCCAACATGTTGTCCTCTTCATTGCATGCATAGACTGTTGTGTTCTTCTCTCTGCTCCTCGGTGTGCAACCAATCAGGGGAACCCCTGTTACTAAGAATTTACGCGCTCCAGTGTCATAAATTCTCTGTTGGTTAAGTTTTTCAAATAAAATTTAATCAGTTTCCAAGAAAAAAAAAATTAGTGTTTATTACTCAAATCTTAATTTTTTTACCTTCAGTTGTACTTTGAGTGTATCAGCCATTGACTGTGTATATTGTTGAGGAGTGGTCTCTTTGGACGAACTAATGTAGTCGGAGAGATCGTTAACACCTATGGTCACGCCGAATATAGATTTGGATATGTGCATTTGGGCTGGGGATGGTCCAAGCTCATCATCGAGTTCTTCTTTAATAGTGATCCAATCGTTCACTTGGTCTGAGAAAGTAATAGCTTGACACTGCAACGTTTTAGCAAAGATGATTAATAAACTGTTCACATCAAAGCGGGGATAGCTCAGTGAGAGCGTCAGACTGAAGATCTGAAGGTCGCGTGTTCGATCCACGCTCACCGCATTTTAGTAATTATATTTAAGAACTTACAAGTGACTGGAAGGTGCTATTGAAGATTCCGGCAGCGCCGGATGCAAAATTCACACCTGTCAAGGGGGCTGGTATTATCATCTCCCTCGTTAGTAAGGATCTCAGTGAGAGATACGGCGGCGGCAACGGTAAGCCAAGTTTCTCAGCTAATTTTTAATCATCATCAAAGAAAACAAAATTAAGATTATTTTCCAATATTACTCGAGTCTCCTATAAGGCATAAGCAAAATTAATATTCTTTTCCAGAATTACTCGAGTCACACCACAAATGACAGCTAATTGTTACAAGTTTACAACTTACAACTACGTGTAACTTCTTGATTCTTTTTTTTTTACTATGTTTAACGTCTAACTAATGAGTGAATAATATCATTTAGTGTTTGTGGCCTGACATAGACACTATTTATTCCCTTTCATGCAAAGAAAAAAATATATATATCACGGAGGATTTTGAAAAGAAAAGAAAAAGTAGTCACCTATAGCATCGGCGGAGTTTTTGCCGTTACAGTATCTTCCGGTGGGTTTCTCGTAAGGAAAATCGACGCCGTTATGTGGATAATTAGCTCTGGCTATGGAAAATAGTAAGTGGTTATTGTTTCCGGTATCAACCAACGAATCTCCGAACACGTATATTCCCGGAGGTGAGGTTAAGCTTCCCGTAGGTGCTTGTGCTTCTTGACCGGAAAATAAATCGAACCGGAGGAAACCAAGGAAGAGGAGAAAGATGGCGAGGAACGGTTTGTTGTTCGTCGCCATATTTTTTGCGTTTTTTTTTGTTGGTCCGAGGCTCTTGGAGTTGCAAGGGAGATGTAAAGTTGGTGTGGTTTATATACAAGAGAGAGGAGAAATTTGCATTGATGATAAGAATTTGCAAAATTAGAACAAATGAAATAGAGATTTACATAATGTGAAAAAAGGAAAAAAATCATTATGTTCCAGCTTTTTTTGTTGTCCTTATCACAAAGTTCATGTCACTCTTTCATAGATTTCATGCGACTGTTAAAGAAAATTCATTTTGGTACAGCGAATTACACCCAAAACACTTAATCTGAACCATTTTCAAATCTCTGTATTAGGTATTTATTATTTTTCGATAAAATATAATCTCTGTATATTAAATACATATTACGGTATTGCTAACAAATTTAGTACGTGTACTTGATTACAAATCAAGTTTCTAAGTTTCATTTCTCTACTTGATTATATATTTTAGAATATTGATCATGAAGAGACCAATTGGGTGAGAGTTAAAGGAGATGAGTATTGTGAATCATCAGTGAGCATAAGATCGACGATGGTCCGAGCAGCAGTTTCTGTCGGATGACCAAAGAGATCCCAAAAGAGATATTTGGTCCTGTCCGAACATAACTTTGCGATAGGAAGACAAGGAAGCTCCGCGTTTAACTTGCCACTTCCACAACACGCTGATGTCACGTCAGCAAAACCTGAAATTACCAAAACGACACCGAATTGTTTATTTTTTCATTACTATATACGTTTGGTTCGCTCTTGTTTTTGCAATATACAAAATTTCAACGTACCATAACGAGCAGGGTTGGAGATAATGTCATGTAAGGCCTTGAAGTTATCAAAATAAGTGTAAGAGATTGTGTTTCCCAACTCTTGTTTAAGTTGGTGCAGCATCGTTGTTAGAGCTTCGTTGTACAAAGATGCAAACATGTTTGCCGCTTCATTGCATTCATGGACTGTTGAGTTCTTCCTTCTGCTCCCCGGTGTGCAACCAATCTTTGCAACCCCTATTACTAAGAATCTACGCGCTCCAGTATCATGAATTCTCTGTTGATTAAGTTTCCAAAATAAATTTTAATCAGTTTCCAAGAATATTTTACAAACAAAGTGTTTAATATAATATACAAATCTTTTTTTTACCTTCAGTTGTTCTTTGAGTTTATCAGCCATTGACTGTGTATATTGTTCAGGAGTGGCCTTTTCTCGAAGTTTGGACGATCCACCGTAGTCGAAAAGATCGTTACTACCTATGACCACGGTAAATAGAGATTTGGATACGTGAATTTGTGCTTCTGATGTTCCAAGCTCATTGATTTCTTCTTGAATGGAGACCCAATCGTTCACTTGTTGTGATAAAGGGATAGCTTGTCTCTGAAACATTAATATTATGTTAAGCATTAATAAAAAATTGTTTACAAGAAGCGGGGATAGCTCAGTTGGGAGAGCGTCAGACTGAAGATTTGAAGGTCGCGTGTTCGATCCACGCTCACCGCATTTTTATAATTAAAATTATCTTGTTTTATAAATAGTACTAGATTAGTGACCCACGCTATGTTGCAGAAATATTATATTTTAAATGTACAAAAGAATGAATAGTTTGTTTTAAACTCTCTATATGAATTTGTAAAATTAACAAATTAGAGATCAATCCAATGATTCTTTTGGGTTTGAAAGCATTTCATGGAACATGAAAATTGAATTTAATATTGGCATAAAACAGAAATTCTCTTAGAAATAGAAAATTGACAGTGACATTCAAACACATTTGAGGGAATAGTAATATATTCTAAAATTTTAAAGTTATTTCTATTCACTCTCTTTAATAAACTTATATCTATCATCTTCTTAATTTAACTTACAAAATATATTTGCGTATATCTATCTTATTTCTTTTTAAATTCTGAAATAATGCTAATATTTTTTTTAAAAATGTTAAATCTTGAAAGCTTTCATATGGAGTTCTAAGTCTTAAGCATATGATTTTAAAAAGAAAATATGTACATAAACATGATAAAATTGTCGTATTTCTTATGTTTTGCATATAATTTGCCTAAGTTTTACTAAATATTGTAATCTATTGAATATTGTCTTCATTAAACCTGAATGATTGATTTCACTTAAAGGATACGTAAAATATTAACACACATCACTTTATAAGGAGTTTTAAATGATAATATTTCTTTGCCTTATCAAAAAAAAAATTCCTTTTTACTCTTTTAGAAGGGTTTCCGGTTCTGTAACTAAGGTTTTCAATTTCGGTTCGTTTTAATTACCTTCGGTTCAATCTTATGTAACCAGCTCCAATACCCGATTTGGGTTATTATAATAATATTAATATTAAAAATATATATATATATATATATATATATTTCCTCGCCTAAAGAAAAGTTATTCATTTATAATAGTATAGACTCCTCATGAGTCATGATAATGAAGGGGATATTTGTGTCTCAAATCCTCCACCCAACTTTCGGTACGTTAAAGACTTAAAGCTGATCACGGAATCAATACTTCCAGAATCTTTTATATAATTTAATAAACCATGTAACTTACAAGTCTTTCATCGGAGCTGTCGAAGATTCCGGCACCGCCAGAAGCAAAATTCACACCTGTCACGGGGGCTGGTTTTCTTTTTCTCCTCGTTAGTAAGTCTCTCAGTGAGAGATACGGCGGCGGTAAGGGTAAACCAAATTTCTCAGCTAAGAAAAGGAAATTAAAATTATATAATATTAGTCTCCCGTAAAATAAACTCGGAATTTCATAGCAATTGTTACATCTATGTGTAATTTTTGTAGTTTTTCTTATTTATTTTCTATCAACGTCAAACATAATGATAATGAGTGGATATTTTTAATGCTAGTGGCCAGCACATCACGCTATCTAAATCAAGACGTGGCCGGACATTACATGCCAAACACTACTAATTTCGTTTCATACCAAAAACAACAAGAAAGACCACGGAGGATTATTCAAGAAACTAAAAAAAAAAAAAAAAAACTCACCGATAGCATCGGCAGCATTTTTGCCGTTACAGAATCTGCCGGTGGATTTGCCTTTAGGAAAATCAACGCCGTTATGTGGATAATTAGCTCTGGATATGGAAATTAGTAAGTGGTTATTGTTTCCGGCATCAACCAACGAATCTCCGAACACGTATAACCCCGGAATCGAAGCTAGCTTTCCGGTCGCTGCTTCTAAACCGGGAAATGAATTGAACCGGAGTAAACCGAGTAAGAGGAGAAAAATGGCAAGGAACGGTGTTTGGTTCGTTGGCATGTTTCTTTTTCCTCCGGCGAACTCTTTACTTTTGTTTTGTTGCTAGGAGGCTCTTTGTGGAGTTGCAAGAGAGTTGTAAACTTGTGGTGTTGTTTATATAGGAGAAAGGAGAAATGTGAACTGGCGAAAATTAATTCTAAAATAAAAATAAAATAAAGTGAAGTTTAATAATGTGAAAAGAGGAAAAATTAATGTCTCAGATTCTTTTGTTGTCCTTGTCAGACAGTTCATGTCACTCTTTCATGGTTTCATTCATGCAACTGTTATGGCAATCTCATTTTACTACAGTGAATTGCACATGAAAAGGTTCTGATGAACTTTTTGAAAAAAAAGGATTGGATTTGATCCGACTTAGCTTGTAATCATCGTGAGATACGATCATTCTCAATTATTTTAGTTTGCTTAACCAGCCAAACTTCTAGATTTTTGTTTATCTTCCCAAGCATATATAATACTCCCTCCGTTTTTTAAAGATAAATTTTCTAGTTTTTTCACACAGATTAAGAAAAAGTTGATTTTCAATCATTAGTGCATAGATTTCTGCAATAAAACAACTTTTTATAATTTTAAACCAATAAAAATCCAACAAATATAATTATTGTATCTTGAAAACTGAAAAAGTACATCAAAAAGTTAAAAATTTTATTTTTGTGAAATAACACATAATGGCTATAAAATTCATTAAAAAAAAACGGAGGAAGTAACAATATTTTCTTGGATGTTCTTGCACAAAAGTTAAGATGTGCACTACTAAAACTTCCATTGTATATAGTTTAGCCCATACAATATTACAACCCTCCTCTCTCTTGTCTCTATATCATATATAATACACTTTTTTTGTTCAAATTCTTTATATGTAACTTAATATTGGTGCGATTAACGAGTGATAGTAACCAGGAGTCAAACAAAAAAATTGACGAGGGACGCGTCTAACGAGTAATTGCATAAAACTATAAAAGTACTTTTAGGTGATTCGATTATAAACTTATAGATGTTTAGAGTTAGGTTCATACTCGTTTTATTTTATCGTTGTCACTCTAAAAGAGAAAACATAATGAACGTGACACACGTCCTCTTCTTTGATTTGTTCACTTAATTTCAATTTCACAGAAGCCATCTGGATAATAAGAAATCCATTATTTTAATAGGTTGTTACAAATTCAAGGAGATAAATGTATAACAATCATGAAAATTCAATTATTCAGTAGTTGACCAAAAATAAATAATACTCTTGACTTTTTTTTTGGCGAACAATATTATTATATTAATACTCTGATTTATCATTTTATACAAGAAAACAGAAGTGCATAGACCCTTATTTTGTGGTGTTTCAGTACATGTACGACTCGAAGAAAATGACTAACCTAAAATATGAAATCGTAGACTCTTATTTATTTTTTCTAAGGCATATTGTTTTGTATTCATCTGAAATTACTATTATTGGGTTATTTATATATATATATATATATATATAGATAGATATATATCGTATACTTAATTACAAATCAACTCTGATTATTTAGTAGGTTAATGATCATGAAGAGACTAATTGAGTGAGAGTTAAAGGAGATGAGTATTGTGAATTAGGAGCGAGCATAAGATCGACGACGGTCCAAGCGGCAGCTTCTGTGGGATGACCAAACATATCCCAAAAGAGATATTTGGACCTGTCCGGACATAATTTTGCGAGAGGAAGACAAGGATGCTGCCCGTTTAATTTGCCATTTCCACAACACGCTGATGTCACGTCAGCAAAACCTGAAATTACAAAAACGACACCAATTTTTTTATTATTTGTTTTTCTGTGTGTTAGATATATACGTTGTTTCGATCTGTTTGCTATAGACAAAATTTTCAACGTACCGTAACTGGTGGGATTGTTTATAATGTCTTGTATGGCCTTGAAGAGATCAAAGTAAGTGTAAGACATTGTGTTTCCTATCTCTTGTTTGAGTTGTTGCAGCATCTTTGTTAGGGCCTCGTTGTACAAAGATGCCATCATGTTCGCCTCTTCACTGCATTCATGGAGTATTGATTTTTTATTTCTTTTGCCCGGTGTGCAACCAATCTGTGCCACCCCTAGTATCAAGAATTTACGCGCTCCACTATTGTGAATTCTCTGTTAATTAAGTTTTTCAAATAAATTTAGTCAGTAGTTAACAACAACAGTTAATATTCAAAATTTAATTGTTTTATCTTCGTTTGACCAAAAATAACAAATTTTGTTTTACCTTACCTTCAGTTGTTCTTTGAGTTTAACAGCCATTGCCAGTGTATATTGCTGAGGATCGTTATTCTTTTTTAGTTTGGACGATCCAACGAAGTCGAAAAGATCGTTACTACCTATGACCACGATAAACAGAGATTTGGATAGGTGAATTTGTGCTCCGGATGGTCCTCCGAGCTGATAGATTTCTTCTTGAATAGAGAGCCAATCGTTCACTTGTTGTGATAGAGGAATAGCTTGTTTCTGAAACATTAATATTGGATCATTAATAAATTGTTTACAAATTGTAGGGATAAAGATTTGAGGGCCGCGTGTTCACCGGATATTTTGTAATTATATTTTAATCCTATGTTTTATTAAGTAATTATATACCCTCATGATAATAACCGATATATTTGGGCCTTTAATCTTTTTTTTTTGGGTGCAAATGTGACAATGTGCCTTTAATCTTCTACCCAACTTTCGGTTCGGATTAAAGCCGACCACGGAATCAATATTTCCAAAATTTAATGATAACTTACATGTTTTCCGTCAGTGCTGTTGAAGATTCCGGCACCGCCGGAAGCAAAATTCACACCTGGCACGGGGGCGTTTTTTTTCCTTTTCCTCGTTACTATGTCTCTTAGTGAGAGATACGGCGGCAATAACGGCAAACCAAATTTCTCAGCTAATTTAACAAAACAAAGAAAAAAAATGTTATTAGAAGAATAAATCGGAAGTTTATAGCAACAATTGGTACAGCTTACAACTACATGTAATTTCTTTCTGATTTTTTTCTTATCATTTTCAACGTCAAACCTAATGATCATGAGTGAATATCTCTAGTGAAAGTGGCCACCACATCACGCTATCTAAATAGAAACGTGGCCTGACCTAACATGCCAAACACTATTTATTTCATTACATGTAAAAAGAAAAAAAAAACTCACCAAGAAAGTCGGCGGCATTTTTGCCGTTACAGAATCTTCCGGTGGCTTTCTTGCCAGGAAAATCGACGCCGTTACGTGCATAATTGGCTCTCGCTATGGAGATTAGTAAGTGGTTGTTGTTTCCAACATCAACCAACGAATCTCCAAACACGTATAACCCCGGAACCGAAGTCAAGTTACCGGGCGACCCCGGAGTCAAAGTCAAATTTCCGGGCGATCTTGGAGTCGAAGTCAAGTTTCCGGGCGACCCCGGAGTCGAAGTCAAGTTTCCGGGCGACCCCGGAGTCGAAGTCAAGTTTCCGAGCGACCCCGGAGTCGAAGTCAAGTTTCCGGGCGACCCCGGAGTCGAAGTCAAGTTTCCGGGTGACCCCGGAATCGAAGTCAAGTTTCCGGGCGCTGCTTCTAAACCGGGAAATGAATCGAACCGGAGTAAACCGAGGAAGAGAAGAAATATAGCGAGGAACGGTGTGTGGTTCATCGGCATGTTATTTTGTTTTCCTCCGGCGAACTCTTTACTTTTGTTTTGTTGCTCCGAGGCCCTTTGGAGTTGCAAACTTGGTATGGTTTAAAAACATTACGTGAATTTGATATATTAGTTCCATTTCTACAAATTTACCGTGTAGGTTCTTTAGGTAAATAAAACATAGACATATTTAGTTTGGCTAGTCACAACTCATAAAATAGTACAATTACAACTTTAAAAGGTAAGCATCTTTTACTCGTAAAATGCAATAGACGTTCAATTATGAACACAATCATGGACATTCAATTATTCAGCAGTTTGACTAATGATGAATACTTTTATTTTAGATGAGAAAACAGAAGTGCAGATTGTAGACCCTTATTTTGTGGGATTTCGTATGTTACGACTAAAAGAAAACTTGTAACTTATAATATCAGATTCTAGACAAGGCATATCTTGAGGTGTATTAGTTTAAAGATAACATGATAATGGTAAGGGATCATGTATTAGTTTCCATGATTTGAGGTGTGGTGGAATGTAGGATCGTTACTGCAGTGTGCGCTCACACTCTATTATTATCCAGGCGTAAAGAATTTACGACTTTTTATGTTAATGTCTGTAACTTAGTACTTATGATCTGACTGGTGTTTCTCTTAGTAGAAAATTTTCTCTTCGTAAATACTGAATTTTCAATAATGAATTTTCTACTAGCCTTTTTTGTTGTTTTTTAAGGATATTTTCTTTACGTTTCTTATACACTTTTTATTAATAATAAAAACCCAGATATTTAGGTTTATTAAGCATATATTAGGGACAAATATCATCACATATAAATTTTTGTTGTTTTTTAAGGATATTTTCTTTAGGTTTCTTATACACTTTTTATTAATAATAAAAACCCAGATAGTTTGTTCAGGTTTCTTAAGCTTTAGGGAGAAATATCATCACATATAAAGACACTTCATTTATTGCAATTTCAGATTCGATTTATTATTGACTTATTCGCCATTGACTCACTAGTCTATCCGTATAAAATGGTGAATTAAAAGAGATATACAAACATCCTTTTCAACTAATGCGAACTACAGAATCAAACTAAAAACACAGGTCCATGATTCTAAATTTTCGAATGTAAGAAAGAAATAACAAGATATTGTTTATCTATTACATATAGTTTACATTCATTTATCTAGTTTTTTTTTCTATTCAAGTTTAGACTCAAAGCCTTGACTAGTTGTAGGTGGTCACTGTCAGGTTGTCATCGTATCAATTAAGCTAATCTCCAGTCCACTAAGCAGAAATTGAAGAGATGGCAAAAATACTATAACTTTAATGATTGCATTCACACAAATACAAACAACAGAAACAGAAATCGTTCACACATACCGCATATCAATGAGATTAGATATCTTATTTTTTGTAGTATTTATAATTTTCAAGTTATCGAATACTATTGCCATTTTAAAATATTCATATATTTTTGGTAAAAGGCTTAAAAATAACCATATGTTTGTTATTTTTTCTTCTTATTCTGATGTTGAATAATTAGCAATCAGCAGATGAATCGTGGTTATCTTTCTTCCTCAGACCATCTAATTTTTAACCGTGGAAAAACACTTGTCACAATGTTTGTTCATAGATTGACACGATATATATAATATATATATATATATATATGTATTTGTTTTAGTTTTTTTTTGTTAAAGGAGTATTTGTTGGTTAAATATGTCAATCAAATCCCTTCAAATTAAATTATCTTTAGTAGTACGAACATCCAATTTGTTCATGAGTCTCCAACAGGTTTTCGTCAATAATAACTCGATTATTATATATATAACTATTTTTATTTGTTTATGTAAATATATGTTTTTTATACTTTGACTGAATCTTTTATCTATAATCCCAATAATTAATAATATCCAAATAGATGATTTTACTATATAGAGCTGGTTATAGTTGACTGTTTATTGTTTCCGTGTACGCACTAGGGTAGTGCAGCCAAAAATACATGTCCCTATAAGTTTTACGCGTTTTGGATAATTGCATTTCATTTTGAAGTCGGTATACACTACCAAAACTGCAAAACATATCTATCAGTCTATAGGATGATTTAAATAATTAAGTAGCATCTTTTTCCAAATTTTTACTTATATTTATATTCTGGTATAAATAAAATAAATAACTAGATTTTGGTGTATTTTTGGTTAACGTAAGCAGATTTGGGCTCTTTAACCTAAATCATTTAGTAATCTGATACACCACGTTTGTGGCATTATCTATACACAATTTAAATAATGAAAACTACCAATTATTGTGTAGTATGTACAAACAACTACGGCCTACATGTAATAATCCTAGTATCTAAACAGTGACTGATAACTAATCAACACACCGAATCAAAATATTAATTAACGGATCAATATATATTATAAATAGATGTGAGTATAGATAAGGTGGTACCTTGGGATTGGAAAATAGATTCACCGTAAAACGTGGTGGGATTGTTGATCATATCATCTCATATCGGTTCAGTTTACTCCATCTCCTCTGACTCGATTCTCGATTTTTCCTTTAAAACACGTATTATACGGTCGTAACTGGGATTTGTTCCAGTTTTTTTTTTTTTTTTTTTTTTTTTTTTTTTTTTTAAATGAGAACAACAAAGGTTTTTCTTACAAGGTATGACAACTCATTGTCTCGTTCGATTTGATCATGTGATTCGAGTTTGGATAATGGCAACATCAAATATCATTTACACCAACCAATTAAATTTTGATGGCAATTCCGTTCTAAGAGCATCGCCATTGAAGATCTCACCATTAAAAAAATATTACTATTTTTAAGGAAATTTATTTTCAGAACTTCATCACAAGCTTTTTATTGGATAACCATTAAACTTTTATTGCTCAAACGTAAAAGATAAAGTTACAAAGATAAGACTAAATTTGAAAAAGAGCTTTATCTTTTACGTTTTCTTGATTTTTGATCAAGAACTTCATCTATTACGTTGAAGCTTAGATTATGATTATAATCTCGTACATATGAAATAGTAACTTATCTGATCGCTACCAATACCGCATTAGTATTGTACAGACAGTCATTCTCCAACAGTAACAATTATTCACATAATATAATCACCTGAAACAATGTTATAAATAGTCAGAAGTTGTAATTTCGGTTAGTTAATTTCAAGGCTTTTTAGCAAGAAAACCCCTCAACTAAAGATGGATCGTAAATAAACCCCTCAATTATTAATGTAATGAAAAAACCCCTCAAGTTTACTTTTTTTAATGTCGAGACCCCTCCGTCCCTTCTGTCGTCAAAACTGGACGGCACCTGTATAATCAAAACGCAGCGTTCCATTTTATCATGAAAAACGACATGTTTTCAGTTTCAAAACAACATGTTATGTACTCTAAACAACATGGTGTGTGAAAACCCGATTTTGAAATCCCTAAATACATTAAACCTCTAAAATTCCCAAATTAAAACCTAAATCGACGAACCCTAATTTCTCAAAGTGAGACTGTGAAGTTTGTTTGGATTCGTAGTCGATTGGAAAAGAACGAAAGAGATCAACTTGGAGAAACCAAAAGGGTATATGATAATGGACTTCTTAGAGAAATTCGAAAGTCTGATGGCGAAAGAGTTTGGGTCTAAGGAGCTTTTAGCTAAAACTAGAGAGATTGTTGCAGAGAGAGCGAGAGAAGAAGCTGAGGTTTTGAGAGATGAAGGAAAAGTTGAAGAGAGAATGATGACTGAGCTTTTTCGGGTTTTGAGAGATTGATGGAGATGGATTTGGCTATGGTTAAAGCTTCTGTTAAAAAAAGAGACTTTTAGCGAGAGGATTGAACAAGCTAGAGCAAGATGTAGACAAGCTATTCTTGTTGCTAATTCTTTCTGAGACAAATTTGGTTTCACAATTCAATTCGCAAGTCCATAGATTTGTTGTTTATAGTCACACAAAGCTTCTTCATTTGTAAAAGATCATAACTTTGAGATCAGAAGAAAGATTCATGCTTTTGGTTTTGCAATTTCTAGTCGAATTGGGGATTTCTAATCGAAACTCTCGATGAATGAAAAACATGTTGTTTTTCATGATAAAATGGAACGCTGAGTTTTGATTATACGGGTGCCGTCCAGATTTGACGACAGAGGGGACGGAGGGGTCTCGACATTAAAAAAAAGTAAACTTGAGTGGTTTTTTCATTACATTAATAATTGAGGGGTTTATTTACGATCCATCTTTAGTTGAGGGGTTTTCTTGCTAAAAAGCCTAATTTCAACGCTCGGTTATAGTTTCGGATTATGGTTTTGAGTGTCGTCGTCGGTCATTTCCTTCATGGGCCTTTATGGGTCCATATTATAGCTTGAAAGACCCTCCAAAACCAGCCCAGTAAGCATAATATAGACTCAATTACAATTTCCATATCGCATGCAAATTCTCGGTCTTCATTATTGCACCAACAATTTTTTTGATAAAATGTAAAAATGTTTCATCTTCATTTTATTGTTTTGGTTTTTTTTTCTTTGACAGCTATTGTTTTGGTTAGGTTAAGTTTAGTTTCGTCATCTTCATCTTTTGGACATCGATGAACTTCCAATATATTCGTAAACATCGCATACAGTATACTTCTTTGCTCTCTAAACTTCAAGAAAAAAAAAGTGGTTAGGCTAATTACATTTTGGTCAGACAAAAAAAAAAGGTGACACCTTTGAAATGGGCGTCGTGTCAAATTTATGTTCGCAAGTCTTTACCTCTTTTTTTTTCTTTCTTGGTCATTTGATTTTTATATCAGCCAAAAAAAAAGCAGAGAGAGAAAGAGAGAGAGAGTAAAGAAAGTAAAAAAAAAGAAAGAAAAGTTGCAGAGACCTTAGCTGATATTTGTATAGAGAGAGAAAGGGATTGAGTGCACTGAGTCCGAGTTGAACAGAGAGAGAAAGTCGAGATGAGTCAGATCGCGAGACGCCGGAGGAAAGGACCACCGTCGAATGCGGATCTGGGGCGACGTATGAGTTCGTCGCCGGGTGAATCGAGATATGAGCTCCGTCGAGGTCAAAGTCGGCGGAATGTGAGCTACAACTTCGATTTCTACGATTACCTCGACGAGGAGGAGGAAATAGAAGATGAAGAGGAGAAGAAGAGGCAGAAGAAGCTTAAGCATGTCCTCAACCTCAACCAGAGCCGAGCCAGAGCTGATCCTCCGACTAGCAGCCCGGGAAGAGCGGCGGCGCGTGTGAATGAAAGAGGAGGAGCAGAAGAAATTGATGATGAGAGTGAAGCAGATCAGGGAGAGGAGGAGGAGGAAGAAGACGCGAGTGAGAAGAGGCAAGTGAAGAAGAGAAAAATCAACCGTCGCGAGGATGAAGATGAGAAGGATTACGATGAGGCAGAGGAGGATGAAGAAGATGATGATCACGCAGATTCCGATGAAGATAATGATAAGGTATTGTACGGAAACCCTAGAAATGTTGCTCAGTCTTCTTCTCTGTGTATATATATAGTATAGGTTTCTCTCTCTCTGCTTCGTCTTTGTAATGGGAGTATGTTGGGGATGTGGGAGATAAATTAAACAATCGGGTCAACTGTCAAAAACTTACTTATGCTGTCTCTCTCCTTCTCTCTCTCTCCCCACAGAATCTGTGATCACGCTTACACCTTTCTCTCTCCATACTTACATCTTTTACTCTTTCTCTCTACCTCTCTCCTTATCTTTCGCTTTCTCTGTCAATCACTTCTGTGTTTTTGCTCTTGTTTATATCTGCCATTGGCTTGATTCATTTTGAGGTATTCTGATATGATTGTCCTGTGTTTTTTTTTTTGCCAGGAAAGGAAGAAGAGCGCTTCTGGTTCTGGTATGTATGAATGTCTTACTTGATATTTGATCATCATCGCTTAATCTTCATCTGATTTGGTTATCATTCTTGTTGGTTTAGGGACTTCTTCAGATTCAACACCTATCCTCGACAAGAAGTCCTTGGAGCTGATCCTTGACAAACTTCAAAAGTACACAATTCTTGAATCCTTTTTTGTGTGTTGTTTAAATGCAGGAGACCACATCGTTTGGCTGATTTTACTTGATCTTTTTGATTCAAACAGGAAAGACATCTATGGTGTATATGCAGAACCGGTTGATCCTGAAGAGGTAATACTTATTCCTCTAGTGTACGTTGTAATGATGTAATCTCTGAGAAATCTATCTTGCAATTGGAGTTTTAAGTTGTCTTATTTGATGTTTCTTTGGGGTTTTTGTATTTGCAGCTTCCGGATTATCATGATATGATAGAGCATCCCATGGACTTTTCCACAGTGAGGAAGAAGCTTGCAAATGGATCATATCCTACATTGGAAGAGCTTGAGGTGAGTGATAAGTTTGTTTTATCAAGTTTTCAAGAGTGCTTTTATTTGTAGCTTTTTAAGATATGGCTTCTTTGTAGAATATAGGATTTGTGGAGATATTGCTCTACTGTCTTTGCTATGATCATCTATATATATATATATATATATTGCTTTTGCTTGACTTCCTTTGCTAAGCTGGTTGTGGAACTGTATTTCTTGGCTACAGAGCGATGTCTTACTGATTTGCTCAAACGCGATGGAGTACAATTCCTCAGACACTGTCTACTACAAACATGTAAATGATGTTTTCATTTTCTCACCAACCTTCTTCTTTTCAAATTTTGTTTTTACTTTCTGCCTGCCGAATTTTTGAACTCGTTTTTTCTTATTGAATTACTTCGCCAGGCGAAGACTATTCAGGAAATGGGGAAGAGGAAGTTTGAGAAGGCGAGGATCAAGATTAAACGTGCTGAAAAAGAGCTTAAAACACATGAAAAGGCAAAACCTGGCAGTTCTGGAGAGAAGCAAGTGAGACAGCAATTAAGTCGGAATGGTCTTCTAGAGCCTGTTACTTCTGATCTCTCGTCTGGTGCGAAGCTTACTAGTGGAGGAGCTTTACAAAACGAGCCTCTTTCAACTCAAACCGGCGGACATAACATCGACGTGCTTTTTGAGGGAAACACATCCTTAATAAACAATCTGGAGAAAGCAGAAGAGTTATCATCCGGTATGATTCTTTGTTGTAGATTCTAAGAGTAAATGAGTAATAGATATTGTCTTGCGCCGTGTTTCTAAAGATAATTTGCTTTTTTCCCGTTATCTCCTTTTCTAGGTAAAGATCTCGTTAGCAAGTGCGGGAGGAAGCTGTCGGTTGTTGAAGAAGACCGCCGTGCAACTTATGGCAGTTCTGATCAGCAGACCGATAGATCAGAATCGATATTCACAACATTTGAGAGTGAAATCAAGGAGTTTGTTCCTGTAAGTGATAATTCATTATGTCCAAAGTCTCATTCTGCTATGTGTTCAGTCTCTTTTGTGATTTGCTTAAACCTTCTTGACTGAATCTTTTTTCCGTGTTTCATCATCAGGTAGGGCTTCATGCAGAGCATGCATATGGTAGGAGCCTTGCACGTTTCGCTGCGACTCTTGGACCCGCTGCATGGAAAATAGCATCTCAGCGAATCGAGCAATCACTACCTGCAGACTTCAAGTTTGGTCGGGGATGGGTTGGAGAATACGAGCCGCTTCCTACACCAGTACTTGTGTTTGAAACCTGCCTGCCTAAAGAATCACCTAAAGAAGCATCTATGTTTTGGAAGCCACAATCAAATGTTGCTGCCGCAAAGAAGAACGAGGCACTGTTCAAGACTCCTGTACCTGCAGAGGAGCAACAATGTTACAGACCCGCTCGAGATGGAAACCGTGCAGTCCCGTTCCCAACATCAATCGGAGCTGTGTCAGAAAGAAGTGTTGCTACGCAAGTAGGGAACCTAAAATCTATGAGCCAACATGAATATCGAAATCCTCCTCCGGTAGATTTTGTCAAGCCTCAGAATAGGATTCCTCAGCAAGTAGAACTGAATTTACCACCACCAGCAGAGCAGACCAGTTCCGGTGACCTAAGCTTTGGAAAACCAGATACATTGGCATCATCGTACAGATCATCAAATGACATGATGAGGAACATGACTCCTACAGATTCTGAACGTTACAATCACCACATGACTGTTAACGGGAACTTCCCCGGTGGATTGAGTAATGGCAGAGTCTCCAGCGGTGTGAACAACAGAATGTTTGAAGTATCATCAGCAAAAGGTACACAACAACCCATGAGACAGCAGAGTCAAAGCCACGTTGGACAAGCACAGTTGATGAGCAACTTCAACGAAAACGCTAGAACACAGCACAACACCAATGCTCAGCTAGATGTTTCATCACCAAAGTCCGCAAGAAGTGAAGATTCGAGCAATGCTTCTGCAGCAGCAGCAAGAGCATGGATGTCCATAGGGAACAATAATAAACAAACAAGCAGCCAGATTTCTGCAGAGTCCTTGTACAATCCATCAAGGGAACAACTTTACCACCAAGCTTTTAAACCGAAAGTCCCCGAAGGAACACACTTCTTTCCTCAAAGGAATGGTTTACCTTTCCAGACTTTCGTGCACCAGCCGGTTCACGGGATGATGATGAACGGAGGACCACCAAATGTTTTCCCTCAGATGGCCGCTCCAACTTCTGATTACACAAGATTCCATGTCCAGTCTCCATGGCAAGGAGGTGTTACTCCATATGTACAGTTAAACCAGAGACGAGAGAATCTCAACTTCCCGCCAGATTTGAACATTGGAGTCCATTCGCCTGATTCTCCTGCAAGACATTCCCAACAGCCTGATTTGGCGCTGCAGCTCTAGAAAACAAAAACAGGCTGCATCAAGAACAAGCCCAACATTTCAAGGAGAGTCTCGAGTAACCAAACAAATGTTATCCCCGCGGGTTTTTCGGTTAGTTTTCATTACATCCGGAGATAATGTGGAATGGATGTAACAAGGTCCAGGTGAGTCGACATGTGAATCAAAATCTTTATTTAGGCTTCTTCTTATTTAGATGTGGTTAGTTTTGGTTTGAGTTCAGGCCGGTTAAGAGCTATCAGTATAGTAAGTATTAGAGTAATGTGGAGAATGTTTATTGATACCAACGCACCCGGTTATTAGCTAATTATTTCCCAACTTAGATGTCCAATCAAACCAAATCTAGTCCTCGATTGCCAAATATGCCAATCTATTCAAACTGACAGTTGGTTTATGAAATACAAAGGTTATTTGAAAGTTAAAAACATTTTGACCAGTCCTGAAAAAAACAAGTTGTTCTTCTACAATTTTAACAAAGCTATTTATGTAAAATAAAAGTCGTATGATCCAATCCTAGATTTTTCTATACATGTACTAGAAAGACAGTTCACAACGTTGAATGTGACATGAAATCATAGGCGTGTACAAATGTCATTGCTAAAAATAGAAAGACAAATGAAAAAACCAACCAATCTTTGTGAGTTGTCGTCTTACAAAGACTTGTGTTGTGTCCAGAGAAACAAACACTGTCAATTTCTCTCCTCTCTCTTTTTTATTTATATCTCTCTTATTTCTTGTTTTTTCCGTTGTAACTTTACACCGTAAATTACCGAAGTTGCCTCCTCTCCTCCTTTGCTGATTTTCCTTCTTCATTACAGAGGAAACAGTAAATAAAAAGAGAGAAAATAACTTTTACGATGGCCGTACTTGGGGGGTGAAAATAACTTTGTGGATCCCACCTTTCTCAAATCTCCCCTAAGCCGTCAGTGGTCCCCACAATCCGAGGATCAATTACCGAAACAAAAACAAATTCTGTTTTTTGTTTTGTTTTCGTTTCTCTCTCTTGAGACGGCAAGGGAACACAAGAGTGAAAGAGCTATGATGTTGTACGGAGGAGGAGCAGGGAAAGACGGTGGATCCACCAATCACATATCAGACGGAGGAGGAGTAGTACTCAAGAAAGGCCCCTGGACGGCGGCGGAAGATGAGATACTTGCTGCTTACGTTAGAGAAAACGGCGAAGGAAACTGGAACGCCGTTCAGAAGAACACGGGCTTGGCTCGTTGCGGCAAAAGCTGCCGTCTCCGATGGGCCAATCACCTCCGACCAAACCTCAAAAAAGGCTCTTTCACCGGCGACGAAGAACGTCTCATTATCCAGCTTCATGCTCAGCTCGGTAACAAATGGGCTCGCATGGCCGCTCAGGTACACAACTAATCTCTATCTATATGCATAATACTTGATCTTAAAAGAAAATGAAAACTAAATCTCTTTTGTAATTTTTTGTTTGTTTGATAGTTACCGGGAAGAACAGATAACGAGATCAAGAACTATTGGAACACGCGGTTGAAACGCCTCCAACGCCAAGGACTTCCTCTTTATCCTCCTGATATTATCCCTAACCATCAACTCCATCCACATCCACATCATCAACAACATAACCATCACAATCACCATCATCATCATCATCAACAACAACAACAGCAACATCATCATCAACAATTGTATTTTCAGCCACAATCCTCACAACCAAACACACCTTCCTCTTCTCCTCTTCCATCTCCAACACCAGTACTAAACCCTTCATTGTCTTTCAATTTCCATACCACAACCGCATCAACTGCTAATCTCCTCCATCCTCTTAGCCCTCACACTCCAAACACACCGCAAACCCCTTCCCAACTATCTTCCACACCGCCTCCACCGCCACTTTCCTCTCCTTTATCATCACCTCGCAACAACCAATACCCGACTCTTCCTCTCTTCGCCCTCCCACGTTCCCAAATCAACAACAACAACAACAACAACGCCAATTTCACTTTCCCTAGACCCCCACCTCTCCTCCAACCGCCTTCATCGCTCCTCGCCAAACGCTACAACAATGCTAACTGCATCAACCGCGTCTCAACCGCACCTTTTTCCCCTGTTTCCCGAGACTCTTACACTTCCTTCCTCACAATACCTTACTCTTCCCCGACCGCTCAAACCGCTATTTACCATAACACTAACAACAATTACTCTTCCTCCCCTTCTTTCTCTCTAAACCCTTCTCCTTCTTCTTACCCTGCAGCAACTTCTTCCCCACGCTTTCTTCACTCCCATTACAATCCTTCTTCTTCCACCACCTTTCAATCTAACAACCCGGTTTACTCCATGAAACAAGAGCTCCCTTCAAACCAAATTTCCCAAGTACATTCATTTAATGCCAACAACTTCACAGGCAATGAGAAACAGAACAGTACAGTACTTCACAGAAGAAGTATTAGCTGCAGCCTCTTGGAGGATGTTCTTGAAGAAGCCGAAGCTCTAGCTGGTGGAGGCGAAGACCGACCTCCAAAACGGAGACAACTCACAGCTTCTCCACCAAACCACCATAACCACAACAACAGCAATGACAGCTTCTTCTCGGTTAGCTTCGGACAATATGATTCTTCTGAAAACTTATGTTCCTTACAAGGTAAAACTATAACCGAGAGATGAATTTTTCACTTTAAAACTACACTTCTCTCCGAGTAAAATTTTAACATGTTCTTTTGACTGAAAAGCAGATTTGAAATCAAAGGAAGAAGAGTCTCTTCAAATGAACACAATGCAAGAGGACATAGCTAAGCTTCTTGATTGGGGGAGTGATAGTGGAGAGATCTCTAATGGACAGTCATCTGTTGTCACTGACGACAATCTTGTTCTTGATGTTCAACAATTCGCTTCACTGTTCCCGGCTGATTCTACAGCTCCAGCAACCGCAACAAACGACGAAAACAACAACAATAATTGCTCATGGGATGACTTGCATGGAATCAGCTAGACAAAGTCAGGAAAGAATCTACGGACCAAGATCAAGAACTAACGAAGAAGAACAGAGAGTTCTTGATCTTCTACTGTCTTGTATCATTAAAATTTGTACTTATATTTGTTGAAAATCTTCTGTTTACTAATTACCTTTTAAATGATTCCCTTGCTTAATTTTGTGTGTATGGATACGTTCATGTATTCTTCTTCAAACTCCTACATACTCTTCACTTTCTTTCCTCAGCCGTTTACAAGAAAGAGAGTACAAAAACCGTATTATAAAAAAATGCTTAACGGGTTTATTGACAAAATAAATAAACCTAATACCCTAATAGATAAAAGCTATTTCGCCGATAGCTTCGGCACGACAAATAGGGCAAGATGGATTCTCCTTGAGCCAATTCATCACACACTTATTGTGAAAAACATGGGAACACTGTAACTCCATGCGACACATCGCACGGGATAATTCCGTCAGGCATATCGGACAATCAGTGCCGGTCACTTTTGTCGCGACGTGTCTCTCCGTGACCTCACGCCACGGACACGCTTCTCTTCCCTTGCAGCCAGATCCGATTGTCACGAAATTGTCCACGTCAGCCTTGATCTCGACTTCGATCCTGAAACCTCTTTGAAAAATCCAAGTTTTAATGTCTTCTATTTTGGAGATACAAGTCACAAGGCTTTTCTGAGTGTTCCTTGAGAGACACGTCTCCGACAAGACCATTGTGATGTGGTCACGGAAGATTTCTTCACTGGCAATAAAGATCTTTGGGATTTCGTGCTCGAGTATTTGAAGTTCATCAGGCTCGCGATGTTCAAGTGGTGGTTAAGAGACTGTGTCCAGCGAGATCTCCGTTCTCAAACATTCGATTTTTCTGGTATGTTACCGACAAGGAACACGATGATTCGACCGGAAAAGCTTCGAGATAAATGCGTTCTGTGGTTTTCTGTGACAGGAGGAAACAAGCAAAGTCTCTGGCCTTAACATGCATCGGTAGCCAGAAGCTGGTCTGCATGGCTATTTCCTAGTTACCAAAAAACCCTAATCTTTTCGACATGATTAAATCTTATGATCTCTACTTTGTTCTCTCTCTTTTAAGTTTATTAGGAGGTTTCTATTTCTTAAAAACAAAATACATCATATTACATAAAAATTATAGAAAACAAAGATTTTAACCTATTGTTTTATGTTTTTTGAATTTCAGTATTTTTAAAAATAAAATTTTAAGTTTATTATGGTTATGTTTTTATATTTCTATGAAATAAATATTATTTATATTTTGAAAAAGTTATGAGTATTGTTTATTTATTTAAATAAATCATAATCAATATAATTAAACTGTTAAATTAAAAGTAATTATAAATTGAAGGACTAATTTATAAATAAAAAAGTTCAAAGGCAAAATAGCATATTGCATAATCTCATGCCAAATATAGAAGCAAAAATAGCATGCAATAGCATATGCAATTGGGTTGGAGCAAAAATTATGGCAAAATAGCATATATGTCATATTTAGCATAGGGTTGGAGATGCTCTTAGGAGGTTTCTATTTCTTAAATTCATTAAGAGGTTTCTATTTTCCATATATTCATTGGGAGGTTTCTATTTTCCAAATTCATTAGGGACTACTAGTTATGAAATAACGCTGGTTAATTACTAAATCACAGTAATTTTGTTTCTGAGAGATGTTAGTTCGTACTCAGTTTTGATTATAACAATATCACAAGTTTTTTTTGTTTGTCATGAATATAAAGTTTCAGTATTACAAGTTCCTAATGGATGTTAATGTAATCCGAATTATAAAAAATAAAAATAAAACATAAGGAATTTATTGTTTACAAACTACAAGTTAAAAGAGAGAAACAGTAGCTTTCGCTCGGCAGATAGGGCAAGAAGGGTTCCTCTTCAGCCACTTCATCACACAATCTCTATGGAAAACATGACAACAGTTTAACTCCATGCGACTCCCCGCACTATATAAATCCGTCAAGCATATCTGACAATCAGTCGCCATCACTTGTCTCTTCTCTCCTCTTTCCTCCTTGACTTCAACCTTGACATCGATCTTGAGACCTCCTCCTCCTCCTCCACTGCGGAACTTAACGGATTCGGTTGAGATATATTGGACAAGACGTTCTTGGATAGAAGGCGGGAGATGCATCTCCGACAAGACGATCATGACGTGATCAATGCATGTTTCTTTGGAGACAAGAAACTGTTTCGGGATGTTGTGTTCCAGTTTAGGCTTAGGACCCGGGTGTTCCAAGAGGGTCTCGATTTTGTTTCCATCACGATTGTGGCGAATCTCTAAATTTGTCTGATAAGTTACGGAGAAGGAAAACGAGTCTGATTCGACCTGAAAAGCTTTGAAATGAACGAGTTGTTCTGTGGTCTCTTTACGGAGGAAACAACCATCGATGACTCGATCATTTAAGGTCCTTGAAGTTGAGAAATCTTCATGATTGAAGCTGCTTCTCTTCATGGTTCGATTATATATGAACCAAAGGAACAAATTAACCCCAAAATCTCTCTTGAACGATTCTTATATCATATTTTGGCTAAGTCTTTAGTTACTTTCCTCTCTAGTTTTTGTGTGAAGAATGAAGATATATATATGCATCTCGAAAGGGTAAACTCATGTAGGATTAGGAGATTTATAGTTTCCCCTTTTTAACAAAAATGTTGAATTTCTTTTTTACTATATACACTATTTCTAAATTATTCCATTAATCTATTTGATTTGTTCCTTAATTATGTTAGCTACACTTTTGTTTATTCTACACAAGGACTCACTAAATATCATTGACATAATCCTTGCCAGAGCTGTTTTCAGTTACAAACAAAATGATTAGAGAAAGAAAAGCATCACTAGACAGAATTGCCTCTAGATAATTAACCATCTTCACAAAAGAATTATAAATATTTCAACAACAAAAGAAGCTTTTGACATCCAATGTATACTTCCATATAAACAAACTCAAACGATTTCGCAAACGCAGTTACAAATCAATAAAAGACGAGACTTACAAGTCACGTCTGAACAAAAAAGGGAAGCTTATCGGATAGCACCGGTCATATTAGCGCCACCGAGGTTTGCCCCTTCCAAGTGCTGCTTACATAAACATATGGCAATGGTTAACCGATTTAAGCTCGAAAACTTGAAGAAGAAACAAGTATTGTTTTTGGGACCTTACCGCTTCTCGCAGATTCACATGCCTCAAGTACGCTCGTTGAAGGTTTGCTGCTTTGAGGTTGGCATTACTCAACTTTGCACCCTATATACCAAATATTAAACCACACACATCACAACTCATCCAGATCGTTAGCACAAACTTGAATATGAATGGTCTAACTCTAATCTAATCAATAAACAATAACTTGCTTACCTTCAAATTTGCACCTTCTAGATTTGCTCCTTCTAAGTTGGCATTTGTAAGGTCTGCATTCTGATGGCCAAGAAAGAGACACAAAACATTAACCAACCTATGATTTCATGGTGAAAACTCTAAGCTAAGTTTCTACACAGACCCACTTAACGAACCTGCAAATGGGCAGAGCGGAGATCTGCACCACAGAAGCTACAGTCCACTAAGCAAGCATCTACAGTACAAAAGTCATAAATTTTTTTTATGTTAATAATGTAAAATTTTCATTTCATAATCATTAAAAAAGCAAATTAAGCTTATTGCGCACCTTGTAAATTAGCACTCTGAAGATTTGTACCAGCTAACAATGCTCCTCTGAGATTTGCTCCAGTAAACTCACACCTTTTTACAGGAAGGAAAGAAATTTAAATCAGGACTCTGTTATCAACTACGAATGATCTACATATGCGATGGGATCTCTGACAAACTCCCTTACTCTCGCAATATAGCATTGTGAAAGATGGATCCCTCACAATCAGCATCCTGTTTGAGCATTTTGTAATTCACTCAGATATGATTAAGCACATTATGATGGATAAAGTTGATAGAGCATATAGATATATATACCCGAAATTTGGCACATTGAAGATTTGTACGAGAGAAAAACACATTCCTGAGACAAGCATAGCTGAAATCCACAAGGGATAGATCCTACAATATTCCAAAGAGAAACATGCAACAGTTAGTCAATTTCAAGTTAGCCCCAGTAACCTACAAGTGATCTGAGAATTAATAAGAACTCAAATCTTACCAGTTTAGAAAGATCAATTCCAGAAAGATTAACCCCTCGGAACCTGACTCGTTCAAACTGTATACATTTGATGACATCCACACGCGTTAATTCAGCTTCTACTTCACAAGCTTCTATTCTCGAATCTTTTATTCTCTCTTTCAGCCCCTGCAAATAAGAAAGAGATTGCAAGAGTTTCTCACATCTCTATCAAAATTTAGTCCTGTGATTGTTATGAGAATATAATAAGATCAACGAGCTCACTAGAAGCTGATAGTAGTCTGCTTCACGCAAAAGTTCAGAACAATCAGGATCTGATAGACTGGGAGCAATGCCGTCACGCAACCAGTTTAATATATGACGGAAATGCGTTCCATCTCTGTCTATGAACACATATCCCTGCAACAATTCGAATCAACTACTTCAAAGTGGATATATGCATTTGTACAAGTGCACACTACCAGATTTTCTAGTACATGGCTTCAAATTATACTAGTGAATCAAGAAAGCACAATAAGGCTAGTTAAAAAGTTGATTCTTGCATTTCGAAACACCTCTTCAAGTAGATAGTTTAAATATCAGAGTCTCTCTACATAACTTAAATTTTTGGTTTGTCATTACTAAATGAAGACTACTAGATCCAAGAACCAACTGTTAACACTCAGTGAAGCCTATTCATATGCAGTTTCTGATATGGAACCATCCTAAAACAAATTGTTGAGCTGCAAATTCAAGACTTCAAGTAACATATTTTGAATAATAGCGATTTGGATTCCTGAGACATTGCATGTCGACCACTAAACATGGCTGCGAGCATCGAGTCTGGCTCACGGTTAGTCAAAGTATCAATGGTAGTGCAAAATTTGTTTCCACCTGCATCAACACCGAACATGAAGATGGTTGAGGAAGCACATCACTTTGAGCTCTATCAGAGTTAACTATGATCAACACCAAGAATCACTTTGAGTAGAATATTACTCAATTCTCACAAAAATATACAGCATCAACATTTAGAAATTCGTCTCCCAAACAAACAATCGCCCATCATAATCTATCAACTCAGAACTCAAATTGACTACGAATCGGCTCAATTCAAGCATTCGGATCAAAAGGATGGTTTTTTTTTTTCTGAGTATTTCAACGTTTAATAAAGTGATCGGTGATCGGATTGCAAGAGAAAATGGATGGGAAGTTTACCAATGTTAAGTCGAACAATGGATGAGTCAGAAGTCGAGCCCATGAGAGAGAGAGAGAGAAAGAAGCAGCAAACTCGATGATATCTTTTGAGAAACACTCGGATTTCGAAAAGTTTAGGAATGAAGAAATGGATTTGAGTTTGCTCGAGATTGTCAACTTCGTTCGGAGTTTTTCTAATCTTCCGATTAAGCAACTAGATGGACTTAAAAAGTAAGTCACTTAATGGATACGAGTTAAAGCCCAAATCCCAAATTCAAGCCCATCATAGATTTTTTATTTGATTATATTAATTAATTTTAAATGATATGTCAAATGTTAAAAACACCATTTGTTTTAGACTTGGAAATCAATACCCTGAATTAAAAAAAATCTTATAAGTTTTAAAATGAAATCTTATAAGTTTCACCAAAAGTGTAGCAAGTTCGTTTTCTTGTGCCTTAAGTTCAACATTTTTCGGGATGGAAAATTTATCAACTGTATAGTGCCATAGTCATAGACCGACTAGACCCATGGAGATGTATCATAATAGATCTCTGGTTATCGATTAAAACTTTGTCTGCACATTAAGATTAAGATTAAGATTTAGTTATACAATATACCAAAATTTGAGTATTTAGAAAACTTACAACAACAATAGGAGAAGTAAAAGAACATCTAAGATAAATTATACTTGTATTATTTTGTGATGAAAAGCAACATAATATCTGTGATAATTTGATAAAACTTATTCCAAAGTTGTAAATACGAACAATTTGCTTTGATGATTTTCCTTGTAGTTTCAAAGATTTTTCACTATATTAAAGCATATTTTCATAATGTTTACATATTAGATAATTTTCAACCTTAAATATTGTAAGTAAAAAAGAACTGGTTTGTTCAAGTCAGTGCGGTCAAAGCCAATATGATAAAGCAACTAGAGGAGGAGGAGGAGATCAACAAAAAAAAAAAATGTGTGTTAATGGAAATATAATGTAGACATCCAAATTATGTTTCATCGAAACCACATTTGGAAAAGAAAAACACATTTTCAAAAACTTTATGGATGAGGTTGTCAATCACCTTCAACGGTGAGGATTCTGAAGGAGTATGAGACTTTTATGGATGGCAACATCATTTCCAAGTTTGATGAAGTGCAAACATGGTACCGTTTTAATTGAGTAATGAGTACTAATGTAATTAATTTAAATATACGAGTTGGTAGTTTAATTAAATCTTCTAACTGTGTAATCACAATTTGTTTTTCATTTTTTGTTAATCGTATAGTTAAAATTATTCTAAATTTGATTAAAAGTTAATTTTGGATATAAAGGTTACATACAAACACAATTCATGATATGTCGCCATGTGTTATCCTAAATTTATTATATGTACTAGGTAGGGACCCACGCTTTGCCGCGGGAAACTTTTATTATATTTTCTCTAGTGTTTTAATTGACTAAATTGTAGATATTATAATTTGATATTTTAATCGAATCTCCATTACATAATTTTTTCTATTAGCCAAGAAGGTTGTTATAGACGATGTTGTTTTAATTATGTTCAATGTTCGTTCCGAACCACATAAATTATCGATCTCTAATCTGTAGAAGAGAGAATTAAAAAATTTCTTCATTTTCTTGTCCGAATGTAAGAAGATTATATTTTCCTATAAATGTAACATGGACTACACACCACGGGAGTATTTATATATATTTTTACTTTTAGTTTTGTATTTGATTTTGAAAATAATTTACACCAAAATTTTTTTATTAACTTTTATATGTCAGTTTTGTATGATACAAATAACATAAATATAAGCTTTTGATTACCCGAGAGTTTTTGATTATTCGAGAGTTTTTGATTACTCGAGAGTTTTTGATTACCCGAAAACTTTTGATTATCCGAGAATTTTTGATTATCGGAAAACTTTTGATTACCTGAGAGTGACTTCACGCAAAAGAGTAATAATAGAGTAAGAACTAATTAGTATATACCCAAATATGCGTGATTTACTTTAATATTATTTATAAGTGTATTGTAATTTTAATTTTATAAAGTAATTCAATTTTTATGTTATTTAGTTAGAGAAAAGAATTTCTAAGTTTTTCGTTTGTTAATATTGTAAAAACAAAAAGGTGACATGGTATGATATAACCTTTCTATGATTTTGAATAACAGAAGAAGCACATTGTGCCACAAAATACAGCAAGAACTTCCTAGTAATAGAGCTTTGATTGAGATCAAGTATTTAGACTTATAAGTTATAAGCATAGTCCTCACTTCAGTAAAATAGAATTTGATGGTCTTGTACGTTCATCCTAAATGGTACCATTTCTTCGCAACCACACAAAATTGATAGGACTAATATGGGTGCGTGAGGTTAATATATGAAACATTGATCTGGACATGGTTAAAGCATGATGATGGTAGCAATCAATACAAGTAATTTCTGTAGCTGTTAATAAAAGAGACAAAAGTTCTTAAACCTTTTGGGCATCACTCAAAATATAAAAAATCTTTAACAAAATATGAAACGAAGAAGTTGCATCACGTGTCTATGATGAACTATCGACACAAACAATTTTGAAAATAATCATAATCACTACCCACCATGTGTTTCATTACATTGGTGTTACCTTTCACCTTCTCTATCTCTAACTCCAGCTCTTGTGTTGCATTTAGCTTACTCTCCATTTCCGTTATCTTTTCATGAAGATTCTCTTTCTCTTTCTGCAAAAGTTGTCATGTTTCTGAAAGTTAAAATTTGAAACATGGAAGCTTTGATTTTGGAGTTGCTCATAAATATAAAGTCCAACTAAAGAACTACATGTCTGGTGCATTTTTTGCAAGCTTCATAGCTTCCTTACTCGCTTCATTATGCTCCCACATAGCCTTTTTGATTTACAACAACAAATAAGGTAATAGACTTAAGTGTCTTTATGATCTTCTTTTGTTCTAATTCATAAGGAAAGCATAATCACCATTTCTTTCAAGTTTGGATTTTTCCATCTCATCTTTGGGTATGTCAATCCTGTCTTGCACACCTCCGGTTTCTCCCTTTTTTTTTCCAAGTCCGACATAGATTTTGCATGTCCTTGCAGAACTTGCTGATAGAGCTCTTTCACGTTCATGTGCATCTTCTCAGCCACTTCTGGTTAGGAAGACACAGACAAGAGACCAAAGAACTATGTCAGCATGCAAGAAAACACAAATTGATTTTGTTTTCCAGCTAGTCAAGTGCAAGTTTTAAAACAGGTGTACTTTACCTTCTTTGTGGGTTTGTTAAAAATATAGTAATGCAATTCCTAACTCTCCAAACAACGAGAAGTCTCAGTGACTTGTTTTCAATCTCTTGCATATTTCCTTCATCTCTCAATCGACTGAGACATGTTCTCAATAACCTGGTTCATTTTCCTCTCTTCTTCTTCTTGACGATTCAGTTTTTTTTCAGTAACAACTCCCAAACATAGAGAATGATGTACCCAGCAAGAACCACTCCATTACAATACTCTTATACAAGAATTCTCTTATCTCGAGTCTACAAAAAATCCACAAAGTCCCCAATTCACTTCTGATTTCAGCGGAATTATCCAAAATTCACAATTACTTGACAAACCTAAACCTCAATAGCTTCGTAGAATCATATGATCAATTGTGCTGAGGATCGAAATGTTCTTAAGAAAATTATCCTTGACTTCATAGCTAAGCAGTTTTTGATCACTCTCTTTCGCGGTATGAGATGCAGGGGTTTACCCAGAAAAATGAAAGTCTACGAAAACCCAGAAAACTGCAAATAAGGGAAATTACTTTGATTATAGTGACATTAACACAATCGAGATAAGGTAGCAACCGGAAAAAAGAATTAAAAGATGGGATTCGATCAAAATTTGCAAGAGATGATTGAGGTGAATCAAGAGAAAAGAAATCGAAAATCAATTTTCCCAGAAAATAACATAGACTACATGAAACCGAAATGATAAACTAAGTTTTCGACCTCGATTCTATCATAAATTCTTTTGCGCAGATCGGAGAGGGGGAGATTTCTTCTGACTGATGGATTTAATTTCGGGGAAGAAGAAGAAAGAAACTCTCGGGGAAGAAGCAGAATGAAAGGAAACCGGGTCGGTCAAAGAAAATAGATTCATTAAACCGAGCAAAAATGTGGCAAGTAAACCAAAGAAAGTGCTGACTGGTATTAATCCAAATGTTTCTATTGGGTGAGTGTTTTAATTGATGTGTCATCTCCAGGTAACTTAAAAAAGCTGATGTGTCATCACCTGGAAAGGCACATGGATTTTTGCTGTGTTGATTTTCTAAACATTTCTCATTTTCTCTAGACCACTCACTCATGATAAGTAAACTTTATTAATTAAAAAATTAGAATATTTAATTAGACCAGTAACTCATATATTTAAATTAATTTTACAATTAGATTACTCAATTAAAACTCCCAATAGATAAATAAGATTATTTTGGTCAAAACAACATATCATGGTTTCTTATGGGAGAAAGATCATGATCCCTTTTCATATTTGGATGATACTCCTGAATCCTGATTATTTTGTATGGCATAATTATTTTCCCTTTAATTATTGAAGGAGGAATTAAAATATTAACGGTTGGGTGATTGGAAGAGTCAAAAATTAACCCTACCTAAATCAAGCAGTAGTAGTGGTTTGCGAATTACAAGGAGGATCAAAGGGACTAAAAGCTCTATAAGCAGAAATGACAGAAAGAAAAAGGAAAGAGAAGAGAACAAAAACATGAAGCACCAAAGCAATTGTGAGCTTTGAACAAAAGTGTGGATAAGAAGAACACATTTCACTCCATGTCACTATCGTATCTCCTTTGTTAAGTAGATACACTATCTCTGTTGCTCCCGCTACTGATGTTGTCATCAAATAAGCTAAAACCTTCACACACACACACACACACACACAAAATTATTCACTTATATAAGAAATTAAATACTAGAGATTGAGAACAAAAAAATGGAGCAGAGAAATAAGATTTAAGAAAAACCTGGTCAGGGACAAACAAGAGCCATGTTTTGGAGACTAAACATGTGACCCATGAAGAAATGGTAGAGAGCAGAGCATAAATAGCGGATATGGCACTAACACCAACCATATACCTATAAATAGCAAATCACTTAGTGAACAAGAAGCTAATTATAAAATACTCATTCAAAAACTGAAAGAAATGAAAGAGTATACTTGAGACCCATGATAGAGTTGTAGTCTAATTTGCCATAGTCAGGGTTGGATTGTTGGTTAGTGACAGTTAGCCAAATGGTCGCAACACTGAGAGGAACCACAGTTAGCCTGAGACATGAATCTATGAGCTTCAAAGACTTAGGAGCTTGTGGTTGCTCCTTTAATCTCTCTTCTTCTCTTGTGTTGTTGTTGTCTCTCATCTTTGGTTGGCTCTCAAAACCAGATGTACTTTCTTGAGGGAGGAAGAAAGCTAAAGAAGTTTGTTGTATTGAAGTGTGGGTTTACTCGGTTAGATAATTATATGTAGATATAGGCTGTGTGTGGTCACAAGACATATAAGAACAAATTATATAAATACAAAAAGGTTCCTCTCAATTCTATCTCTCCTTTGCTGTCGATAGAAAAAAAGAAAGTATTCACATTTTCACTTTTCATGATTAACCTTTGGAAACCGCGTGGAAAACAAATAATGTAATCTTCATTTTATAATGAAAAGACAAGAACATACAAATGAGCTAATGGATTAAGCATTGCATCATCCTAGACTCCAAAGTTTTCACACTAAATTAAAGCTTTTTTCATTATCTCCAACTTGGTAGTTATAATAATGTGCTCTGAAAGTAGAAAATGGTGATTGACCTGTGAGAGTCACCGAGAATATGGTAGTGGAAGTCATAGTGACGAGGCAAGTGCGGTGGTTGTTGGGAGCAAGAGAGATTGACATTTGGCTTTGTCTTGGTTGGCTTTATGTATATGAATCATTGTTTTGGACCATTATTTGAATACTTTGAGATAATATAAAATTGAGGTGTTATATTTTCATAATTAGTATTTCTCACAACCACCACAAATTGAATAAAAAAACTATGACCTGCAAGCACATAGCTTTTCAATTCAAACATCATTATCGGGATAAAGTGATAGATACTAATAATACTAGTCAAGGTGATGTCACACCATAGTTCAAAGACTTAATAGATACTTATATACTACTAGAAAATTAGACAGACACCACTAGAAAAAAACCAGTAAACAAAACCTACATGAGACGACACAGCTGAGTCTCCGAGTCTCGTGTCGTTTCCTCGGTCCTGGTTAACATAGCTGGATTGCCCCTAACTTGATCCGTGACATCCTCTTCAGTCTTCTCTGTTGAGGTGCTTACAACTTCAGAGCGCCTGAAACAAGAGGACATTAAACCAAAGACAATGTAAACGATAGGAGCTAAGAGTTGATCCACCAAATGGTTTACTCTTGAGTCCATTATCACAGCCAAACAAACAAACAAGAATCTCGCTGGCAATAAGTTACAAAGGCTACAAATGTAAAACAAGATCAAAACACATAAGCAGAAACAATGGCGAAATAAACCCAAACCATAATAGCTAAGCAATTATCATCATTCATCATCAGTTCATCACCAACCCAATGCATAAACCACACAACTATGTTTCTGCAACTCTTACTAGTAATCTCAATCTCAGAACTTAGTTTCTCAGGATACGTTACAAGGCTACAAATAAATATGATACAAGATCAAAACAATCAAGCAGAAACAATGGCGAAAAACCCAGACTTTAGCTAAGCAATAATCTGGGTTTTTCGCCATTGTTTAGCTAAAGTCTGGGTTTTTCGCCATCATCACCAACCCAGTGCATTAAACCGCAGCTATATCTCTGCAACTCTTACTAACTAGTAATCTCAATCCCAGAAAGGCAGATTTACACTTAGTTCCGTGAATAATGAGAGAGTCGGTCAAATCTATTGGGCTTTGGGTTTTACGAAATTTGGGAAAATCAACTTGTAATTCAAAAGCCAGAGAGGTCGAGTCACTCACTTCCAAGGCCTAATGCGAGCGACGGTCTTGGTTTTGACGCACTTGTTAACATAGTTGCCACGCTAATTTCAGGGAATGAATCTTCTCTTCTTAGCTTCTGGTGTGTTTTGGTGCGAAGTTAGCCGAGGAAGAGAGAAATGGAACCTACAAGGAGAAGAATAACAAACCGACGCCGTTTTGTTAGTTTTTGAAACGACGTCATTTCTCGTTAACTTATAAATCACATTTTCAATTCACATTCAGACGGAATTGGTTACGAATGCATCGGGTTGGGTTTTACAATTTTACGAAGAGACGCATAATTGTTGAAAGAGTGTAACGCTAATTGCTTTAATTGTCTATATCGAGGAATGAGGCTCTTCAGAGCTATAGATTTAAGATTTGAGGCAATTAAAGAACTAAACCACAGCGATTGCTCTCACGCATCAGCTAATGGTAATGTTTCTCATCTCCAACACTTTTCTGATAGAGTAACCACTTTTTCTTGCAATTGTGTTTTAAATTCGATCCGAAAATCTCTCTTCATCACAGAAAGTAACATCCAAAAATTATAAATAAGACCAGGCCTCTGTTCACGGAGAAGTTGAATATCAATACACATACATCAGTCAATGGAACAAATATCAGTCAACACCAAAGTGTTTGTAAGAACAAAGAACCACGTCTCTCTCTTAGTATCTTATTAATAAACCTATTGATGGAGTAATCATCTTTTGTTGCACATTGAAGGGGTTTCAAAGAGGGATGTTCGCTTGCCAAAATTTTGTTGAGGAAAGGGTTAACTCCTAGACGTACTTGGACTGTAAAAATGAAGATATGGAGACTGTTTGTTTGCTGGCACATCATCTTCAAAAAGTGTTCGCAACAATTCTATAAGAGACCAAAGCTTGATCCACCGGCAAAACCTTTGCCATCGATTCCATTTTTTTGTGATATACAAACTTTGGCAAATAATGCGTTGCCAGGATTAGAAACGGACAATCTTTGTAAGTGATATAAGGTGAGGTAATGACCAATTTTTCAATTAAAGAAATTCTCACTGGATTATGCACTTTTTTTAACAAATATGTAACTAAAAATATTTTGAACAAGAATATGTTCTCAAAACATCAACCAAATATTTCTAAATAAGTCTAAGATGTAATGAAAATAGAAAAATAACGCATAGAAAAAACGTAGTAAATTCATTTACAGAAAATATTAACATTAAATAAATAATTATTTAAGGTTTCTCAAGGCTATAAGAAAATAACATAAATTATTTATGTTTTATTTATTAACATTGAATCAAAGTTTATAAACTAAAACATGTGTTAAGTTAAAATTATTGATAAATTAAACAAAAGAGCATTTGAAGTTTTAATACATATAAAAGTTCATTTTAATAATTTAAAATAATAAATATGTTAAATACAACTATTTACTGATATCTTAACATTCATACAAAAAAAAACGCTTTCACGATATTTAATTTTAAAGATTTCTCTATACAAATTTAAAGAAAATATTTGCTAATATTTAATTTAAATATTTCTATATACAAACTTAAAGAAAATGTTTTCTTTTTATAATAAAATTAACTGTTAAAACAGTTCACAACTTATTCCGCAAGAAATAATCATCAAAGAAATGAAAGAACAAGAAGAAAGACGAACATATAGGAGAAGTATAGTAAGAGAATGAAACCGAAAAATGAATTTTTTTCGGATGATCATTACGGAGAACTATCATGATCATTTTTCAAGTAACATATAGATTCATAGTTCGCTTGAAGGGGTTTTTCTTGTAATGAATATACACTCTCCATTATTAGGATATCTTCAAATCTTATTGACTTGATCTTGAAGATCTTCCTTGCTCCTTATTCCAAACGACTTCATGCTCCAATCAGCTGTCTCCACGTCAGCTTCGAGCTAACCAAGGCACCAATACTTCATCTTCCACTCAGTTTGTGCCACATCATCAATGATCTCGTTATCAAACATTAACACAGGGTGTGTAACACCTTGTGTTAATGTGTTTCACACACTTACTAGTCAAAGCTCCAACTCATTGAGCTTACAGTGTTAAGAGCAACAAAGATGAAGAAAAACGATGAGCGTTTGGATGAATCTTCTACAATTAAGACCAGTCAAACTCAGCGTAATCTCTTTGGGAGAAAACACAAGGAATTGAGGAGAAATTCACTCTCAGACAGACGCATGGATGATGGAATTAGATGCTAATCCCCAGAATTAGATAAAGATGCAAAACGAGAGCAACCCTCTAAAATTCTCCTATAAAATCTTGATCTATTCAAGCAACATATTCCTAACACTGAACATTCTACCGATTCCACACATAACTGAGGACTATTACGATCAGTTCCAAAGCATAAACATTGTCATGATCATCATTAACTGGTCAAGAGATTGAGAGGGTAGAGATGTTCAGTTAGTTCCGGATTCAAATGATATCAATAATCAACGTATAGACTAATCTTCCAAAAGCATTAGATACATATCTAGAGTTAGATACATATCATTAAGCACATCCATCTTTTTCCCCAAAATATTTCTCATTCAAGAGTTAAATTAAATGATGAACAAGACAATTATCCAACCAACACCAATTATGATCAATCCAACACAAAGTAAATCTTCAATTGAATGACGAAGAACACACAATTTACTGGAAATTTAATGATTTATATTATTGAACATCTTCCCTCATCTGTTTCAAATATCAATGTATCATCTTACATAATAGGAAAACAATCTACAGTAAATCGGAAGAAACTCAGTGAGCAATAACATCACTGCTCAACACACCGCTGTTTCCACCAGTTGATTCAATAACTGAATTTACAGGGGTGTTCAAATTCGCCATCATCATCGACGAGACGGATCTAGCAGCGCCTAACTTCTTCCTCTGATAACTATAAGGACCGTAGATCTTTCTCAGAAGATGTGGTACCTGTTCTATCGTCAGATTTCGGGACGCCGCCGCCGCGGATTCAGCGACGGAGTTCGGAGAAGTGGGTGAAGGATCGACCGGGTGCGAGAGGGACCGAGATAAGAGAGAAGTAGATCTGGCGTTGTTGATTCTCGAGTTCCGGATCTGAGCAAGCGCGCCTGGCTTCAAGTAGCGGTGGAATCCGTCGTTTCTTCTCACCGGAGATCTAGAGCTATCCTTCATGGTTACTTCGAAGAAATGGAATCTAAATATCCAGAGAGAGAGAGGAAGAGAGATGTGTAAGATCTGTGGTTGAAAATTGAGAATCTAAAGGATTTTGTAATAGAGGGAAGAGGAGCGGGAAAACGGCGTTTTTGGGATTGGAGGTGCGACTTGAGAGGGAAAAGATGAGTCTCTTTAGGGTTTCGAAAAGTCGTGAAGAGCGGGAGTTTATTTGGTAAGTCACGTGTTATTCACACGGATCTCCACCACGCCACGTGACTAAATCACTTCACTCACACAGATGGATCGGGTCGGGTTTTTATCCGTCGAGTTGGATCTACTTGTGGGTTTAATTATTCGATGCCTCTCACAGTCTCACACCAACTATTTTACACGTGAACCTTTGAACATGTTCCCCAAATATCTTTTTTTCCTTGCTCTCCAAATATCTTCTTCTCCAAACATCTAATCATGTACCTACACGTGTCTTATCGCACATCTTCAGATATATCTGCGGCTGAGATTTAGCCGCCTATTCAATTCACCGTTGTTTAGTTTTCCTCGATTACTTTGGCCACCGTTGTTTTACGTGTCTAATGGCGGTTTCAGTCTCCTTTATCTTCCACTAATTTTCTACGGAGAATTTATAAATTCACACTTTCTCTCTTTGTCCTTTTCCTCATAGCTCTGATTCGAAGAAGTTAAACCAGCAAAACTACTATGGACACTAAGATTGGATCAATCGACGCGTGTACCCCGACCAACGGCGGTATCGGCGGGCCTCCAAATGGCGGCGTCTGCACCGTTCAAAACTCCAGTCCTTCTCACTCCACCGCCATCAGCCCCTGCGACGCGACTCTTGGCCGTTACTTAGCGAGACGCCTAGTCGAGATCGGTGTCACCGACGTCTTTTCCGTTCCGGGAGATTTCAACCTGACGCTTCTCGACCACCTGATCGCCGAGCCAAGCCTCAAACTGGTCGGCTGCTGCAACGAGCTCAACGCTGGATACGCGGCGGACGGTTACGCCAGATCGCGCGGCGTCGGGGCGTGCGTGGTGACGTTCACCGTCGGCGGATTAAGCGTCCTGAACGCGATCGCCGGCGCTTACAGCGAGAATCTGCCTCTGATTTGCATCGTCGGCGGTCCAAACTCCAACGATTACGGCACCAACCGGATTCTTCACCACACAATCGGTTTACCTGATTTCACCCAAGAGCTCCGGTGCTTTCAAGCGGTCACTTGCTACCAAGCTGTGATCAATAACCTGGAAGAGGCGCACGAACTCATCGACACAGCGATCTCCACCGCTTTAAAAGAGAGCAAACCTGTTTACATAAGTATAAGCTGCAATTTGCCGGCGATTCCTCTTCCGACTTTCAGCCGCCATCCCGTTCCGTTCATGTTATCCCCGAGGATGAGCAATACGATGGGCTTAGAAGCGGCGGTGGAGGCAGCTTCTGAGTTCTTAAACAAAGCCGTGAAGCCAGTTCTCGTCGGTGGGCCGAAGATGCGAGTTGCGAAGGCCACGGATGCTTTCGTCGAGCTCGCTGATGCTTCTGGGTATGGCCTCGCTGTGATGCCATCAGCTAAAGGACAAGTGCCTGAGCACCACAAGCATTTCATAGGAACGTATTGGGGAGCTGTGAGCACAGCTTTCTGCGCTGAGATCGTTGAATCCGCGGATGCTTACTTGTTCGCAGGTCCGATCTTCAACGATTACAGCTCCGTTGGGTACTCTCTGCTTCTCAAGAAGGAGAAATCGATCATCGTGCAGCCCGATCGGGTTACAATCGGTAACGGACCTGCGTTTGGATGTGTTCTGATGAAGGATTTTCTTAGCGAGTTGGCGAAACGGATTAAGCGTAACAACACTGCTTACGAGAATTACCATAGGATCTTCGTCCCAGAAGGGAAGCCTTTGAGAGATAACCCTAAAGAGCCGTTGAGGGTGAACGTTCTGTTTCAGCACATTCAGAATCTGCTCTCTTCTGAGACTGCTGTGATCGCTGAGACTGGAGATTCTTGGTTTAACTGTCAGAAGCTGAAGCTCCCTGAAGGATGCGGTTACGAGTTCCAAATGCAGTACGGGTCGATTGGTTGGTCAGTGGGAGCTACTCTCGGCTACGCGCAAGCCGTACCGAGCAAGCGTGTGATTGCTTGTATTGGAGACGGGAGTTTCCAGGTGACTGCGCAGGATGTGTCGACGATGATACGGTGTGGGCAGAAGACGATACTCTTCTTGATCAACAATGGAGGGTACACGATTGAGGTGGAGATTCATGATGGTCCTTACAATGTGATAAAGAACTGGAACTACACGGCGTTTGTTGATGCTATACATAACGGAGAAGGTAAATGCTGGACTGCGAAGGTGAGATGCGAGGAGGAGCTTGTGGAAGCGATTGGCACTGCGACTGGTAAGGAGAAAGAGAGCTTTTGTTTCATTGAAGTGATTGTGCATAAAGATGATACGAGCAAGGAGCTTTTGGAGTGGGGATCTAGAGTCGGTGCTGCTAACAGTCGTCCCCCGAATCCTCAGTAGAGTTAGTGAAATGTGTTTTGTTTGTGTACCAAAAATAAGAATTTGTTTCCTCTGCTTGCTTTTGTTAATTAGTTTTCTCAGCTTTTCCCAGATTCGTTAGAGATGTGGTCTTTGTGTTTTGGATTGGTGTGTGTGCGTGTGTTGATCCTTAGCAAGTTGAGGTCATGTTCAAAGATGACCATGTAATAATCCTTAGTTTTCTATTATTATGCTAACTTTTGTTTTTCCTTGTCTTGGTATATGTTCTGAGTAGTAACTTCTCGTGCGTTCTATTTATTTTTTTCTTGTTCATGGCACATGTAATCGTTTTTATGAAACTATATGCAATTCACATTCATATTCAAATTGGAAACATGCAGGACAATGTATATCGTAGGCTCTGTTTTTCGTTATATCTAATTTGAATTCATTTGTCAACGGTCAAGAAGGAATCATCAATCAACAACCGTCCGTTTCTCTTTCCTGAGCCCATCCAACGTTTCGTTATATCTAATTTGAATTCATTTGTCAACGGTCAAGAAGGAATCATCAACCAACAACAGTCCGTTTCTCTTTCCTGGAGCCCATCCAACGGTTCACAAAGTAATAACATGTGTTAGATTGATGACTTGATGACTTTCTCTATCTCTTCCTTCAACCATGTTTTAGGTTTTCGATTTATCCTTCTTCTCCTCCTTCTTTTGAAGATTTCCGATTAGTTATGCCATGTACAGACATGCCTCTTCCGGGGTGTATTTTGCACCAATCTTGCTCGCGAGGTTTTCTTCTTCTCTATCGAAGATCTCTTCTGCCTCGAACCGATCCGTGAGGTTTAGAGTGTGCTCTGCCGCCACACGGTGGAGTCACGGCGTTAATTGGCGGTCGCTTCCGAGCCTCCGAGCTCAAACCAGAATTGATGCTCTGGTACTAGAGAAATTTGAGCGCAAGTTTGCTACCATTGGTAATACTTAATGATTTTTCATTGTATATTAAGTTATTAACTAAGTAGTTTCTCTTGCCTTGCTACACAAGAATGTGGTTGAAGGCATTCTCTGTTCTCCAAATAGAAACTAAAGGAAACTCATGTGATGCACATTTTTTAATTACTTTGCAACAGTTTTTGTTTAATAGTTTTACTATGAAAATGTAGCTTCTGAACATGCCTACAAGGATATCTTAACCACACTTCACAAGCCTGATGGTGGAGAATATGGAAAGTTCTACTCTTTACCAGCTTTAAACGATCCAAGAATCGGTAGGTTCGATCAATTGTTACCTCAAATCTATTTGTTGTTATGGTTTTCTCATGAACACTTACAATTTCTTAATTTTGCAGATAGGTTACCATACTCTGTTCGGATACTACTTGAATCAGCTATTCGCAATTGTGACAACTTTCACATCACCAAGGATGATGTTGAGAAAATTATTGACTGGGAAAATACATCTCTTAAGAAATTTGAGATCCCCTTCAAACCTGCTCGTGTTATTTTACAGGTATTCAGCAGAATTAATCTATTATTGTTATGACAAAATAAAGTTCATTTTTACATTACTTAGTGTACACGTTAATATATAGTACCTTTTCTTGGACAGGACTTTACTGGAGTATCAATCATAGTTGATCTTGCTGCTATGAGGGACGCTATGAAGAATCTTGGTAGTGATCCTAACAAGATTAATCCACGAGTTAGTTTAACTGTTTCATCGCTTCCATGTTGTGCTGTGTGGAATCTACAGTAGTTTCCCATAATTCTCATAGTTTTCTACTTCATATCTTTCTACAGGTTCCTGTTGATCTTGTGTTTGATCACTCAGTCAAAGTATACGGTGCAGCAAGACCAGAGAAAGACTTGGGGAAAGGTGTGCAGCTAGAATCTGACAGGAATTGGGAAAGGTTTATGTTCCTTAAGTGGGCTTCATCAGCTTTTCACAACATCGTGATGTCTTCTAATGAGTCGCCTATTGTTCATCAGGTACATCAATGTTGCCCTTGTTTTATTATGAACTTTTGATGATGTTAAGAAAAATATGTCCAAATTTCAACCTGCAGGAGTATCTCGGACGTGTTGTTTTTAACTCAAATGGGTTTCTCTACCCTGACAGTGTTGTTGGTACAACTTCCAACACAAGGGTGATTGATGGGTTAGGAGTTGTTGGTTTGGAAGTAGGAGGAATGGAGGCAGAAGCAGCAATACTTGGACAGGTGGGCTAACACTTTGTGCAATGATAAATTTTGGATTTTTGGCTCTGATGATTTGATACTAAAAATAAAACTAATCATCACAGCCAATCAGCATGGTGCTACCTAGTGTGGTTGGGGTTAAGCTGGTTGGAAAATTGCGGACTGGGGTTACTCTTACTAATTTGGTTCCAACCGTGACTCAAATGTTAAGGAAGCATGGTGTTTTTGGAAACTTTGTTGAGTTTTATGGTGAGATTAATAGTTGTGTAGAGTGCAATTAGTTTCAGGTTTACATAACTTTGACTCGTTTTTTTATTCCCATTTACGAAGGGGAAGGGATGAGTGAACTGTCAGTAGATGATAGAGCCATGATTGCAAGTATGTCCCATGAATATGAGGCAACAATGGGTTTCTTCCCTGTTGACCCTGTTACAATTGAGTACCTCAAGTTAAAGGGAAGAAGCAATGAAACTGTGAGTTATCTTTTTACTAAATCGCTATGTTCTTTTGAATTTGCATAACTTTTAGTATCATAGTATTTGATCTTGTGGTCTTTGTTTAGGTAAAAATGATTGAATCATACTTGCGCGCAAACAAAATGTTTGTTGACTACAATGAGGTAGAGGAAACCCTTGTCATGTCACTCTAGTTACAGCTTTCAATTTGGTCAAAATTCATAAATCCAAAGGAACTTGCTTACTCTTACAGGCCCAAGAAGAAAGAGCATATACATCATGTCTACAATTGGATTTGGGAGATGTTGAACCATGCATTTCTGGTCCAAGACGGTATGATTTCACTTCTGTAAAACAATTTCTTTATTCTTTTTCCATTTACATATGTTTTTGCTCAATAGGCCATGCGACCAAGTAGTTTTGAAACACGTGAAGGCTGACTGGAAGGCATGCCTTAACAATCCTCTTGGATTTAAGGTGAGATGCAAATAGTTTTTACTTTTAAAGAACAAAAAAAAATTGATTTGTTTAAGGCTTGGTCTCCTTGTTTGTTTACAAGGGTACTTTTGCAGTCCCAAACGAACAACAAGAGAAAACAGTTAAGTTCTTGTTCCACGGAGAACCTTCTGAGATCAAACACGGTAGTGTTGTTATTGCGAACATTACAAGTGATAGTACCACATCGAGCCATAATGACATGGTTGCTGCTGCACTTGTTGCTAAAAAGGCTTATGACCTTGGCCTGGAAGTGAGTTTCTCCCTCTGATTTTGAATATGGTCATCTGAACAAGGTTATGACTTATGAGTCATGTTTTGGCGTGGTAATTCAGGTAAAACCATGGGTTAGGACAGCTGTTTCTCCTGTTTCTGGACTTGTCGAGGAATATTTGCTTCAAAGGTATTTTATACTGGAGCCACTTAAGTTTCTGTTTGACTGTTTGCTTCATCCTTTAACTTACTTCAATTCTTTCCTTTTCTGTAGTGGGCTAAAAAAGTACTTGGCAAGACAAGGATTCAACGTTGTCGGCTATGGCGTCAAAACAAGCATTCGGGGATCTGATGGACTTGATGACCCAATTGTATCTGCTATTTTAGAAAACGGTAGCATCTTTTTCCTCTATGCCTAGCAAAAAAAATATAACATTTCTTGACGAAATCTCATATAACATTGTACTCTGTATACAACGACCTATACTATTGTCCATTATAATGTTTCACAATTTATAAGAATCTTACTTCTGTTCTCCTTCCTCCCATAGATATAGTTACGGCTGCTGTGCTCTCTAATAGGAGAGGCTTTGATCTTCGTGTTCATGCGCTTGTAAAAGCAAACTATCTTGCTTCACCATAACTAGTTCTTGCTTATGCGCTTGCTGGAACGGTTTGTATACTCTCACTAAACAAGAAATCTCATGGAGCATTTTCTCTGAAATTTATTTAGTGTGTTGATTTATCTTGACCCTTGTTTCCTTCTTTTTAATTATCTTCGACGTCTCTTATGCTTTACAGGTTAACATCGACTTTGAGAAAGAGTCAATGGGAACAGACAAAGATGGAAAAAATGTATACTTAAGAGACATATGGCCAAGCAGAGAAGAAGTTAGTCAGGTACATATATGCTCATTTGCTTGAGAGACAAGTTTTTTCACATTTTTCTCTATGATGTCTTTTAACCTCTGATACTTTTGAAATAGGCTATTCATAATAGCGTGTTACAAAGCATGTTCAAGAGCATTTACGAAACAACAACGAAGAGAAACCCTCTGTCACCAAGTTCCACACTCTATTCTTGGGACTCAAACTCAACATTTTTACAAGAACCTCCCTTTTTCAAGAACATGAACACAAAGCCCCAACAAGAAAGATCATATACATCTTGTCTGCAACTGGATTTGGGAGATATCGAGCCATATATATGTGGTCCAAAACGGTATTTGTTTTCACTTGTATAAGTCATCATCATCTGATTTGAAAATCCATTTTTCCTTTCTGAGTTTTTCTTCTATGTTTTGCCTCAATAGGCCTTGCGACCGAGTTCTTTTGAAAGACATGAAAGCTGACTGGAAAGCATGCCTTGGCAATCCTCTTGGAATCAAGGTAAGATGCAAATAGGTGTTTACTGTTAAAGAGCCAACAAATTTCATTTGGATATTAAACCTTTATGACGTGGTTTCCTTGAAGGGGTTTGCAATCCCGGAAGATGAACAAGACAAAACTGCTAAGTTTTCTTACATGGGACAACCTGCTGAGCTCAAACATGGTAGTGTTGTTATTGCGACCATTACGACTGATAATAACATTTCATGTCCTAGTCACATAGTTATGGCTGCACTTGTTGCTAAAAAGGCTTATGACATTGGCTTCAAAGTAAGTTTCTCAATTCTGCTGTTTAAGCGGCTTGGGTTATAAATCTTGTTTTTGAAATTATAGCAAATTCAGGTAAAACCATGGGTTAGGACCAGTGTTGCTCCTGGTTACGGAGTTGTCAAGGAGTATCTGCTTCAAAGGTTTACTTGAGACGACACTAAATTATAACATTTGGATCTTTGATATCATTCTTAACCTACTTCTTACATTCTCTGCAGTGGGCTTCAAGAGTACTTGGACAAGAAAGGGTTCCAAATTGTCGGCCATGGCTTCACAACATGCATTTGGGGCTCTGGCGAACTTGATGAATCCATTGCATCTGCTATTTCAGAAAATGGTAGCATCTATTTCCTTTCATCTCTTTATATAAAGTAAGTGTGGTTTAACCTTAGTTTTGTTTGGATCCCTTTCATCTCTTTCCTGCCACACAGATCTTGTTGCGGCTGTTGTGCACTCTAGTTGTAGAAGCTATGAAAGTCGTGTTCATGCGTCTGTAAAAGCAAACTATCTTGCTTCTCCACCCTTAGTTGTTGCTTATGCGCTCGCTGGAACGGTTTGTAAACTCAAAGTTATCTCAGAGGGGATTTTTCTTCGGAACTGATCTAATGTATTTGTTATGCTTTACAGGTTAACATCGACTTTGAGATTGAGCCAATGGGAACAGACAAAGATGGAAAAAATGTATATTTAAGAGATATATGGCCAAGCAGCGAAGAAGTTAGTCAGGTACTATCAAATCTTGTATAGCAAGCTATCATTGCTAAGAGCTTTGATAGAGTCCACCGGAGCAACTTGGCTAGTATTGGGATTGTTCCTCTGTGTTTCAAGTCCGGTGAGGATGCAGAAACTCTTGGACTGTGAACGCTACACAATACATCTTAATTTCTAGCAATGTTAATGAGATAAAACCTGGTCAAGACATAACTGTGACCACTGACACTAGCAAATATTTTGTTTGTACTTTGCGGTTAGATACAGAGGTAATAGTAAACACTATATGACAAAACTTTGTTTAGAATTTTTCAATGGTCTGACTCGATTTACTGGAATGATTAAGTCCATGGTCTCAAATGTGTTTCTATTATTTTTGTTAAACCATACTTTAGCAAGAGAAAACACAGAGTCTCGATTTATTTTCATTGATTGATCGGTATGAAATAAAATTGTTGCATGGTCTTTTATCCTTTAGGAATTTACTTCATCAATAAGTAACTTCCAGGGTGTGAATAGCTTTTGGTCGGCTCCACCAACTACCATATAGTATTAAAAAAAACGTTTGAAACAGATTAAGAAAAACGTTTCGTTTTGTAATAAAGAAAAAATAGTAGAATTGAACAATTTGCAACAGAATTTCATTCTCCAATCACGTTTTGCAGTGTGAATCGAAATCCTAAATTTATAAAGTTAGTGACGTAGCGAATCTTCTAGCAAATTGTTGTCATAGGACCCACTTGTGGCTCTGATCTTATCACACAACCATTATTATTTCTTTCCTTCGTTTTCAACGAATGCTCATTAATGGGCCCCAAGTGGACTTGAGTGTTGCGCGTTTATTGTAAGCGAATGAGCAATTATTCTCTGCCTCTCACACCAATTATTCCAAACGTGGACCTCCCAACTTGGTCACCAAATCTCACTTATCCATACACGTGTCTAAAGGAAACACAGATCTGCGGCTACGATTTAACCGCCATTAAAAGAAAGGCTAATGGTTAAAAAAAACCTATAAATACAGCCTTCTTCTCCTCTCTTTCTTCATCAATTGAAATCACAAATCCCAAAAGACTACGATCGTCTTCTTCTTCCCCAATCTTCAGGTACGATTTCGTTTTTCTTCTCTCTTTATTTTCCCAAGTAGATTCATCATCGAAACTTTGATCTTCTTATTGATGCTGTTTCTCTTTGCGAAATTTCGTTCGATTAGGTCTTTCGATTTTTTTCTCGAATCGGCTTAGTATGATTTTGCGTTATGGTTCGGATTTCTGAATCAGAAGAAACCTCTGCTCAAACTATCGAGAATCTATCGTCTTCACGCTATTTTATTTACTTGATTGATAGGATTTGACTCAATTTCAGTCTCCTATAGGACTAGATTTGTTCTTATTTTAATTCAGTTTTGGATAATCTCAAACTGTTGTTGGTCAATTCGAGGCGTCTCTGTTTTTGTTAATCATGCTCTGTTCTGGATTTTTTTATTGTTGATTGGAGAGTCTAAACTTGTTTTCTCCTTTGTCTCTGCAGAGAGAATCGAACAATTTTACCACAAGCAATCGACAAGGTTTACATGGTTGAGCTAGACATCCAGATTCCAGCAGCATACGACCCATTCGCAGAAGCCAAAGACTCGGATGCACCAGGGACAAAAGAGTACATTCACATCCGCATCCAGCAGAGGAATGGCAAGAAGAGCTTGACGACGGTTCAAGGGCTGAGGAAAGAGTTCAGCTACGAGAGGATCCTCAAGGACCTCAAGAAGGATTTCTGCTGCAACGGCAACGTTGTGCAGGACAAGGAGCTTGGCAAGATCATTCAGCTTCAAGGTGACCAGAGGAAGAAAGTGTCTCAGTTTCTGGTCCAGTCTGGGATTGCTCAGAAGGATCAGATCAAGATCCACGGTTTCTAAAACCGGGTTCGGATTGTGTTGATCGTTTTCTTAATATATTTATGCGAATAAGTGAAGATTGTTGGCTTTTGTTTTTAAAGCTTTTTGAGTTTTTATATTGTTGTTTGGTTTTAATGTGTGGGATATTTGGCTTTTGCAATGAAAATAAATCGTTCGATTGTTTTAATTTTTTGGAAGAACATAAAATATTTAACTTTTGTTCGGAGATTTATATTGGAGTTCGTTCTCAGTTAAACTTAAGCACACAACAAAAGAGAGAAACGTCCATTCTTGTTTTATATATTCTTTAGATCAAACATATTATATTTTCTTATATATTTGGCTTAGGATAATCAGTTGTTTATCCAAAACAAAATAAATAACAAACGAAACGACTATGATATTTACAAAGTATACAAAACAAAAAACCATGGGTGATTAATGTCATTTTGTCTAATTATTAAACCTAGTTCGAATTAACCAGAATATGTTTGACCAAAGTATTGTGTCCCACGTAGTTGAAACTACAATACGAACTAACAAATCAATTCCACCAATTTCGCAGAGTGGGTTGGACGAGACGTGGCCAAAAGAAATTCAGGTCATCTTAGCTGTGACACCGTTTGCTAATGTGTAAGTGTGTGCCCTTAGGAATCATTTATGTTAGATTTTGAAATTTTGAAATCGAACAAGTCACTTTGAGTACTTGAGATTAGGTGATATGAATCTGAGCAGTAATTTTTTCATACGGTGTAATGTGTTTGGTTATAGTCTTATAATGCTTAACTAGAGTTTGACCCGCGCCCAGCACGGGGAGATGGTTTCTGAATTTGTATTTTTTAATTAAAAATGTATATTTAACTATTTCAAAATTTTATGTGACAGATTTTTTTACCTTGTTAAGGTTTTTATCTTCGTTTATAATGTGGAAATTAAACATTTTAAAAATTAAAACAAATTAAAACATTGATCATAGACATAGATTAAATATGCTAGACTATAGATTAAATATGCTAGACTTCAGCAAAATACATAAAACAAATCAAATGAGTATATTTTATAAGATAAGAAGATAAGAAGTTTTAGGTGTTTACACGGATTAGAACTAACTTTTTTTATTTCTTTTAAAACTAAAACATGTTTTATTATAATTCCAAAACAATCCAACCAATAAAAGATCAATCTTGCAAAATCCAAATTGTCAAAATAACAAAAGTATAAGTAATTTTGTACTGAAAAATTGAAACAAATGGAGCAATATTCAAATTTTTGATCAAAATTAAATACATTTATAAAAAATATTATTTTATTTGATTTCATTATACAGTTTAACTAAAAAATCATATAAAATATTTTTAAAAAATTACATTTAGATACCTACTCTCCTACTTACATGGTTGCATATCATCTATTTTTTATAATATATTTTTACACCTACACACAACAACATATTGGGAATTTTAATAGTTTTAGTGATTATTTTGTTTTTAAAAATTCAAATCATAGCATATATAGAAAAAGTTTTAGATTTTATTTATTAGATTTTTTGTATTGTGTCAATTTTTTATTTTATAAAATAAAGTTAAACAAAGATGAAAGGAGATATAGAATGATTTAAAAAAAATATAATGATAGCATTAAATTGAATCTCATATTTTCCTTATTTACTAATTTTCGTAATTGTCAATTAAGGAAAGAGAATGATGATTCTTTTATTAATAATTTCATATATGATTAATCTAACTATACATATTTGATTCTCTAACCAAAAATATGAATGCAATGTTTGTAATTAGTCTAGTAAACTAATCCTTATTTTATAAATAACATGAGAAGCTCTCTAATGATGACACATCAGCATGACATTCTTGTTAATAACACATCAACTAAAGGTTATTTTTAAAGTGTTTTCTCTTTTAATATATTAGAGATCTTCATGATATATATTTGACTTGCATGTGGATGGTTTACTAGACTAGAATAGGAACTTTACTTGTTAAAATGCAGAATTATTGTTGTTGTAATAACAGAAAAGATATGTGATTTTGTAATGATTTTGTTATAACGATAAAAGTTATAACAATGATGATGACAATGATAAAATTATTATTGTTTATATGTAAATATCTCTATATAATAAATATACAATATATTTGACAATGATGATCTTATACTTATACATCCTTTTATAAATGTTAACCAATAAGGAAAAGTCTTCTGATGCCAATGCTTCCGTTGGTAAATCATAGAACCAACAATAGAATGAGAAAAGGAAACTGTTCTTTCTTTAAACCTTAGAAATTCGAAGAATCAGACACAATAGATAGAAAAGGAAACTGTTCGCTTATAAAAAAAGAGCAGTACTCATCATGCAACAAACACAATTAAGAAACATAACAAATTAGCACTGATTTCTCACGTTGTGCTCCTTCATATATACGAGTATATATCTAATCTCTCGTTCTTCTATGTGTCTCGAATCCTCTCTTATTCCAGTGTACGACGATGCAAAGTCGGGGACTTCATCAGGCTCAATAAACTATTTCTTACATCCCAAGAAACGCATGAGACCTCTTCACGACGACGAACCTGACACTCCCCTAGTTCCGAAGAAGTTTGCGATTTCAGGCAATGCAAAATACAAAGGAGTGGTTCAGCAACAGAACGGTCATTGGGGTGCTCAGATATACACAGACCACAAAAGGATTTGGATCGGCACTTTCAAATCGGCTATGGAAGCCGCTAGGGCTTACGATAGCGCATCCATCAAGCTCAAAAGCTTCCAAGACGCTAACTCGCACAGGAACTTCCCTTCGTCTGAGTTCACGGTCCACGAAACTGACTTTCAAGCTGGATACACAACAGAAGCTGTGTTGAACATGATCAGAGACGGTTCTTACCAACAAAAGTTCGTAGATTTTTTCAGAATCCGTTCTCAGATCAACATCGTGGGATCAAAACAGAGCGGAGGAGATGAAGAGTCGAACAATGTCTCGTACACGCATCTGTTTCGGAAGAAATTGACAATGAGCGATGTAGGGAAACTCAACAGGCTTGTGATACCTAAGAGGTATGCAGTGAAGTATTTACCTTTGGTAAGCGATGATCAAAACGAGAGAGAAGAAGGTGAAATAGTAGAAGATGTTGAGGTTTTGTGTTATGATAGAGAAATGAGAGAGTGGAGGTTTAGGTATTGTTATTGGAAAAGCAGCCTGAGCTTTGTCTTCACCACAGGATGGAAAAGTTTCGTGAAGGAGAAGAAACTCAAGGAAGAAGATGTTATTGACTTTTACACTTGCCATGTCAAGACATTAGAATTAGGTCAAAGCAAGAGGTTCTTGATGATTGATGTTCATCGCTTTTCAGACGATGATTCTGTGGTTACGGATGAGGAAGTAGACGGGATCGTTCAAACCAGTTCAGAGGAAGAAGTGAAAACAGAAAGCTTCTTTAGCGATGAAGAAACCAAATCAGAGGAGAAGAAAGGAGGGTTTATGCTGTTTGGTGTTAGAATCCAATAGCTATTTTTTTCTCCTTTCTTAGAGATTTTAACTAAAGACTTGATCGCAGAAAGAGTTTTGTAGCTTTTTTGTTCATGTCGTTTAGATTTAATTTTTGTTTGCCTTGTGTTATCATGTTTTTTTGACCAAAAAAAATAAATTAAGATTTGATCGCCGAAAGAGTTTATCACAGAGCAAGATTTGGTCGGAGAAAGAGCTTTGTAACTTTTTTGTTCATGTCATTTAGATTTTTTTTTTTTTTTTTTTTTTTTTTTTTTTTTTGTTGTTGCCATTTATATGGAGAGATCTAGGGGTTTTATCGTCGTTTTCGAAATTTTAGGGTAAAATAGGGTATTTCAAAGTAGAGTATTTCAAAAAATAAAAACATAAGGTGGTTTTCGAAATTTTAAATACAAATAGGGTATTTTACAAAAACAAGCCATAAATGCATGACTATTGTGTAATTAAAACAAAGGGAAAAGAACACGATCGCAAGAATTCTTGAAATCTAATACTTAAACAATTAAAGACTTAAAGTTATAAATGCAAAGCAAAACAGAGGATAATAAGAAACAAGAAAACAGAGCATCCTCTGAAACCTCGATCAAAATCTCAGACTTCTCCGTCTTCTCCATCTTCTCCATCTTATTTTCTCATCCCCTATCTTCTAAGGGATCCCGGAGGAAGATCACGGTCATCGGAAATGGAGTTACCACCGGAAGTTGTGATCGAGATAATCTCTTACTTGCGCTTCAAGCAAGCTGCTCGATTAAGCGTCGTCGCGAAGCGTTGGAAGAATCTTTATCGAGAAATGAAGAACGTCGTCTTCAGAGACTCCGAGTTCGAGGAAAATGGAGGCACAGCGTCCGAGAGAGCTCTCTTTGTTCAACGAATGCGCCAATGGATCTCGACATTCCCCGGTTCCTTCATCAACAGATTCGAAATTTATTTTGCCGAACCATACGAATTTCAAGAATCGATCATTCCTCTGATCGAATTTGCAGTTTCAAAACAAGTCAAGATCCTAGCTCTTGATTTCTCAGACCCTGATGATCATGATCCATTCAATCGTGACGCCGTGATCACTTTGCCGAGTCGCTTCTACGGTCAAACAGAAACGATCGAGTCGCTAAAGCTGATCTCTTGCTCCATCGACTGCACCAAGTTGAAGAACTCGACGGTGCTTAGAAGACTCACCATCGGCCGTGCCGTGCTCGCAGATCTCACGACCACGCTTAGTAATTTTCCTTCGCTTGAGAGTCTAAGATTCATAAGCTGTATGAGCTGGGGCAAGATTATGATCACGCAGAACCAACGGTTAACCGAATTGGTCTTTGAAGATTGCGACTTCTATGCGGCGGATTGCACATTAGAGCTGCCTCGAGTAATGATCTTTGAGTGTTCAGGGAATCTTCCTTCTTTCACCTTCCGTGGAGTTGTTAACGAGAAGATGCAAGAAGCAGAGTTAAATTTCTGGTTTGAAGAAGGACGCGGTCATGGGACCGGAGGAGATCTTGGCAAGATCTTAAACGGAGTGTCTCCAGCTAAAACCCTAAAAGTTGACTCTTTCCTCCTTCAGGTACGTATATCGTCTTCATCGCTTATATATTGTAAAGATGATAATAACGTGCATCGCAAGCTTTCTTATGACTACTTGTTTTTGTTGTTGTGTTTTGAGAAGATGATCCCTTATGACGGAGAGGAACTGTTACCTAGTTTCGGAACACGGCACTTGGTGATGCAAACGAATCTTCATCCAGATGAGTTCATTGGGATTAGGCTCATGCTCGATAAATGTCCCGTTTTGGAGTCTCTCACGTTCGATATCGTTACTGAAAGAACAACAATCATGGAGGTCAGTTTTTTTTTTAATTCATTATTGAAAGCATGTGTTATGAAGAAAACTGATGATTTTGAATATGCATTATTATTTGCAGGACACAGTTTTGGTACCAGCGGACTTTAACGCAGATACGTATTGGCTCGATGAGATTACGCACGAGTGTTTGGAGAAGACGCTCAAGGTCGTTGTGGTGAAGGATTTTGGTAACATGTACGAGTTGCAAATACTGACCTACTTGATTAAGCATGGGCTTGTGTTGGAACGGCTTGACCTTTACATGAACGACGTTCAGATGCCTCGGGTCGAGATGGCTCTCCAGAATGTCCCGAGAGGTTCGAGCCGATTACAAATCACTCTACACAACGCATCAACTGAGCCATCCTAAGCACTTTACGGTTTGCTTTTTACATTATAGTTTTGACTATTCTTTACTCTTTTTGTGTAAATGTTAAGCACGTTACTGGATTTGTTTGGCTAATCCATAGGGAAAAGAGTTTGTTCGATTGGATGATACAGATTTGTTTTTCAGGTAGTTACGGTTTGGTAATTATGAGAGAAAATGTAACCTTGAACCAAAAGTAAATTAAATGTTTCTAGCAAAAACAAGCTATATATGGAAGAGAATTCGATTTGTATAATTTTTCAATCAATTCTAGAGTGCCAAGTTGCATATGAGAGCATAATAAGCTTACACAAATAAAATAAACATAATTATAGATACATAATAATGCAAAGCTTCTACAACTAAGAAAAAGTTTAAGCTAAAAAATATTGAGGTATCTTAAAAAAAATATGTCTGAAGAGTTATTATACATTAGTTGAAATCATATGTTACATGTAATTACATTTAATCTCAATATTTTTTATATGTTTTTTATTTAAAATATTTTAGTATGAGTAAATGTGTAGTTAGTGTATATAGTAATGTAGATAGTGGTGATGGCTCATAAGTAGTTAGAAATTGTAGTATTTTTATTTATTAATAATTAACATCACAATCTTTACACAAAAATTAAATTCGAAAGTAGAGTTTTATTAATACTATTTCATTTTTTGTTCTAGATAGATAGATGTTTATTATTTAAAATTTTAAATAAGTTAAATCTATCCTTTGCTTTACATTTTATGTTTAACTTCAGTAAACTAGTTTATTCTCATACATATAATCCATGATTTATCAAAATATTGATCATAATTGTGAGTCACAAACATGGTTTGAACAACTATCTATCAATAACAAAGAAGAAAGGAAAAATTGTGAACAAAAATGCTAAATAATAGTTTTACTAAAAACAAACTATAGTGAATATTTTAACAGATAAACTAGGAATATTTATCAGTTTATATTGAACATAATCAAAATTATATCATAATATTTTTTATTATTATTTAATTAAATTAATTAGATTAATTTAATCTTTAGTTTTCAAAACTATAAAAAATTAGGATATTTTTCAAAATAAAAAATAATAAACGGTAAAGAAAAACATGAAGGTGAAGTTGACACATATAATTGATCCATCTTCTTAGTCGTTGGATCACAGGAGGTGGCCAATCATCTTCAAAATGGAGGTCAAGATGGATAAGAAGAAAAAAAAATTATCTTCAAAATGGAGACAACTAAGTGTCATTTCATTGGAATCAATGATGGCAAGGAGAAACACACACATTTTCAAAAAAAATATTGATGAGGTTGTCAATCAACTTCAAATTGATAAAAAGATTTGGTTGTGAAGCCAGGAGTGAAGATTACGAAGACTTCTATTGAATCATTGATGGCAACCTCATTTTCAAGTTTGATGAAGTACAAGCATTGTACAATTTTATTAGACTTTTCATAATAGACAATTGCTTATGAGAGCATAATAAGCTTACACAAATAAAATAACCATAATTATAGATACATAAAAATGCAAAGCTTTTACAACTAAGAAAAAGTTTCAGCTAAAAATATTGTGGTTTCTTTTTTTTTAAAAAAATGAAGAGTTATTATACATTAGTTCAAATCATATCTTACATGTAATTACATTTAATCTCTATTTGTTTTCTTTTTGGGGAAATTTCAAAAATATACTTTATGGAGTGTCAATTTTCAAAATTACACATTTATGGTGTTAATTTTCAAAACTACACATTTTCATTGAGTAAAAGAACTTTTAACTCTAAAATCTAAAACTTAAATCATAAAATTTAAACTCTAAACACTAAATCTAGACCCTTAACCCCAAAATCTAAACCTTAGTCATGGATTATAGTGAATCCAAATTTAGATTTAAATTAAGAAAAAATATAGTTTTGATAATAAACAATAAAGATGTGTAGTTTAAAAATTGACACCCCAAATGGTATATTTCTATAAATTTCTCTTTATTTTTAGTTTAAATATTTTAGTATGAGTAATGTAGAATCGTAGATAGTGGTGATGGCTCAGACCGAAATAGTTAGAATTTGTTGTATTTATATTTATTTTTAATTAACATCACGATCTTAAAATAAATGTGACTAGCTGCTATAATTTGTAACATATCTAATTAGCTGGGCTGGGCTTAACTATAGGCCCAAAATTCCAAACACGCAAGGCAAGCATTAGTATATTTTCATTTACACGTGACATTCCAAATCTATATATAACTAATAAAACTTGGACACTCTCAAATCTTTGACACGTGTTTTTTTTTTTTTTTTTTTCGTCTTACACCAAAACGACGTCGTTTTGCGCTTTATTTTTTTTTTCGTCTTACACCAAAACGACGTCGTTTTCGTAAAAAAAAAAAAAAAATCTAAATCAAAATTATGTGTAATGTTGTTCGTTTTGATAGGCTTGATTATTTATCGGACCTCTTCGTTTCCATGGTAGCTTTAAATGGGCTTACTGGCTAATTAGCTCATTTCATTTCCTTTTAAAAAGGGTTGCAATTATTATTATCTATGAGTCTGTAGGATAATAATCAATCTATAATGATTGTTAGTATAAGGAAAATTAGAAGAACTCAACTCCAGTCGATAAATTATTGTATAAAAGAACAAAAAACATATGAAACTATTCACTATGAGTCTATATAAGATTTCACGTAAATAACAACTAAATTTTAAAACTATATGAAAAAAAACAAAATGCAAAACTTACAGAATCTAATATATTCGAGTAAAAAACAAATGATATATTCGAATCTAATGTTCTGAATAATTAAATTAAAAATATTTGGTTTAATAAACCCGCGCATTGCACGGGTTTTATTGTAGTAATTTGTGTAAATAACACAAGGCGCATAGTTAAAGCAAAATAAAATATCTTTAGCAAAGATATTATCAAAAAGCCCAAACAAAACCAAACCATAAATTTATTTATCGGAGGAAAGGGTTTTGCAAATCATTCCGTGATTAAAATCTCGGCCCCATTTTTTGTCCTCTCAAATGTTTTTTTTTAATCTTTTTTCTTTATTGTTTTGCATTTGCCCTTTTGACTCGTTGTTAATGACACAGGAAGAAAGCTGAGGAAACGGAGAAGGAAAATCGCAAGGTTTGTTCTTTTTTCGTCTTCTATTTCCATGTTTTACACAGAAATTGACGGAGAAGTTGTTTCGTGGGTTATTTTGCTTTTATTTTCCTTTTATTTAGTCATTTCTGGTAATAATACTAAGCGATATGTCTTTTCACTCGCAATTTCCGTGATATCCGAAGTTTTCGGGTTCGTATGTGCTTTGATTATAGGGCTACTGAGAAATTGCTAAAAAGAAATTGAACTTTTTTGTTGATTAGTGGTTTGATTTTGAGATAATTTGTAATTAGGAGTCCCGATTTGAGGGTTAGACATGTTTGCATGTTCGTTAAGATAATAGATATTGATTTGTGGAGGATCCCATCTGCATAAAAGACTAGACTTTGAGTAGAGAATGTGTTAGTGACACTTTAATTTTCCTAAATTTTCTCGGATTGTCCCAAAATGGGTTTAGTCATTAGTGTGTTGGTGGTGTTAGCTATTTCAAAGGCACTTAACAATTTTGAAATCTGTTTTGGTTCTGGTAATTTTTTGCTTAGAACATTAGGCTTTTTGATTTGCTGTGTGACTTATTGTTCTCTATCTATTGATCATGATTCTCACTTGCATTTGTATCTTTACTGTCTCAGAGAAAAAAGCTTAATTTACTGCATTATCTAAGAGATAGAAAAGCTTTCAAGAAATGGAGAAGGAAAGCCACGAGGAAGAGAACAACAGCCACACAATCTCAGGAGACTTCATGGCGAAAAGGAAGCGAGGTCGTCCGAGAAAACACACGAAGCTTGAACCAAACGAGCAGTCTCATGGTCCTACTCCTCCAGGGTTTATCAGGAGCCACCAGCAGCCTCGTCACAGGGACGATGAAGAAGCTATGGTTGGACTTCCGGTGACTGGCGTGATCGAGGCGACATTTGAAGCCGGGTACTTTCTTTCGGTCAAGGTCGGGAATTCGGACAGCGTGCTCAGAGGTGTTGTGTTTAAACCTGGTCACTGTGATCCTGTAACGGTTGATAACGACGTTGCTCCTTATGTTCCGATGGTTGGAAGAAAGAGCGAGGTGGTGGTGCAACGTCATCACGGCTCAGCTAATGGAGGTCGGAAGTCTAGGTTCCGGGAGAAGCGTGGTGGTAATAATGTTCGAACCCCTGTCCCGATTCAGCCTGCTCACCCGACAATACCCAAGAACTTTGTGGTTCCTGTCATGCTTCAGCCTGTCAATCCACAGAATGGTCCTATGCAGAACGAGACCGGGTCTCAAGCGAGTAACGGGAAGCCGTTTGAGACGCTGCTCACACAGGTGATGAATGATGGTCAAGTCCACCACCACACAGCGCAGTCCATTGAAGCTGAGTCAGACGAGCAGGCTCTGTCAATCGAGCCATTGCAGGCGATACATCCAGTCCATCCGGTTCATGTGCCAAAACCAATGCCGAGTTATGGACGAGGCAACATGACAGAGCTCCTTCAGGTAATAATCATTAACCAAAACCGATGAATTTATCTGAAGTTTTGTTACTTGTTAGTCTAAGTAGTGCGATTCGTGTTTTGATTGTTTCAGGCCGTGCAGGAGAATGTGAGAGAGACCCATTTTTCTCAAGGACAGTAATGATCGTCTGGAGATTCTTTCTTCTTTGCAGACGCCTTCAAGAGCTTTTTAAAGTCTGATTCAATCTCATTGTAATCAGCGATAGGAAAAACAGGAATCTAACAACTGTCTAGCTTAAATATGTCAGAGAAATTTACAATGATTCGTTATATAAAGAATGCTCATAATTACTTTTCTTTTTCTTTAAAAGAGAGGAAAACAAAATTCTTAATTTTTTTGTCATAGTCTGTCAAGTTGGGAAGCAAAGAATGATAAAGCAATGAAAACAAGACTCTTTTATAAGAACTTTGTGCCATAGAAACCATTAGGGACCGGAATTTGCATTGACCGGTTGGTGGGAAAAGGTGGCTGCATAACCGGAATTTCTGTAGGCATGATCGTGTAAGGCTGATGAAGTCCATTGACTGCAAATGGCTGGGGAGCGTATAGCTGCATCGGTTGGCCAGTAGCGGCGATTAGACCTGAAATCACACACAAAACTCATGAGAAGATAACTCTTTGGTCTTAACATGTGAAGCCATACAAAGAGGGGAAAGTAATTTTACTTTGATGCTTTGGATATTGGAGCTGTTGTGGAGGAAAGAGAGGACGGGAGGGTAAATGTGAGTGATGTGGTGGTGCTCCTTGAACCAGATCCTAACAAAAACATAAAGGTGAGGACGGTTTGAGGTTCTTGTGTAGCAAATGTGATTGTTTGTGTTCATTAATATAAGGATCATTTTGGAGTTCTTACCTGAGAAATTGGTTGCATGTACATAAGCTGTCCTGGTCTCCCAACCATCACCTGGAATATACAATTTGTAAAAGAGCCTTCAGAAACTCATACAACTATAAGCTAACTACACAAGAACTCAATTCTTTATAAATACAGTAAACAACAACCTGAGGATTCGGATTTACAAGCATTGGTGCGGCTTGAACAGCATGGTATTGAGATGTGAATCTATGTGGCTGCCCTGTGTTCACAGTAGTAGGTTCTACCATCTGCACAGATATAGGAGTCAAATATAAAAGGAGATTCATCAATTGCAAATGACTTTCAGATCAATCAGTTATAAACAGAATTGGCAGAATAAAGTAAAAGGTAGCCATTTTAACATTCTACTTTGTGAAGATGATGATACTCTGTTTCATGCACTATTGGCGTTTCAGCCATTTTAAGTACTCATGAGCTAAATGAAGTTACTAGATGATGAAGAGGGTAGAAGATAACTCCTTTCTAGTTAAAAATACGTACATGTTGGGGAAAATGAGATCCAATGTCAGCACTTCCCGCAGCCAAACTAGTGTACGGAGCTAGAGGCAAGAAAGGGCTGATTCCAATTTTTGGTTGAACAGCTTCAGGAACATGCAACATGGGAGTATTACTTGGCACATAACCCATATTTGCAACAACAGGCGTCATACCACCAGCAGTTGATGAGGGACGTTTTGTAACAGATGGAGAGAAAATCTTTGCTCCTGGATTCAGCTTGAAATCCTGGAAATTAGAAACGCGTAACAAATCAGATAAGATGACATGCATATGTGTTATCAAATCTCACAACCAAGAAACGAGCGTCCTAAACTAATTTTCACAATATAGCAGATACACTGAATGGGAGATTAGAATTCTTTCTTACTTTCGCCTTTTTGACATGGTCTGTTGCCTGCCTATTTGTAGATGCCACTAAACCTTGACTCATTTCTGATTTTTCATCAAGAGCTGTAGTAGTGTGTGATGATGAACTTTCCGTTGATGAGGGCCTCTCTGCAGCTCCATGGAAACCGTTGCTAGAAGGTTCCGGCATAACTATCTCTTGTTGTATCGGTTTTACACGTTCAGAAGTGCGGTCCACTGAAATCATAACACATAGATGAAAGGTGAGTATACACAAGTCAGAAAACATGTTACTGTCAAGAGGAAGCTGAACAATTAGTATGAAACTTACAGCTGGAACTCAAGCTTTGGGCATCAACCTGCAATAAGTGATACGATTGTAAGCAGTTGCTCAGTAATTTCTTGAAAAAACAGAATTAAAACTATCTACTTGCAAAAACTAACGTTGTCCTCCTGATGAACGTCAGTATTTTGTTTCCTACTCTTCAAAATGCGGCCTCCTGCCTGTCTGTCAGCAAAAATATATACAAGAATCAGAAAGCTAGCTACCTAGGAAAACTCTACAATTTGAAGGCAGAGAGGATTATGTTCGTCGGAAAATTAAATTGCAAAGACAGAGACATAAATAGAAGTTTGGTTACAGATTTTGCTCTGCAAATGATATATAGTTTACAAGGAAACTACTAGTACAGACGGAAACAGTATACTAGTGATTCATACCGTTGATGGTTCAGAGACTTAGGATGATGATTGTTCTGCAAAAGAGGAAAGTGAAAAAAGCATCATGAGAGTAAATCCAAGAGACCTACACTGGAAAAGCTGAAGTAAAACAACATTACATGAATCTTAACTAATAATTCTATACATGTCATCTACTTAAATGTCTATCCAATACAGAAACCGAACAGCGTGTGCATCATTCTACGACCATCAAAATGGAGGCTGGCTTCACTTCTATCTTGAATAATTTCCCACCGCACGAGGATAACTATAAATTAAATTCCACAACAAGAGCATAAAAGATAAAAGCTACCTGTGCAAGACCGATGTCCACTCTCCTCACTGGCTCTTTCATGGCATCTCCCGTACAAATTGGTGAAGGACCCCTTGGTTCTTGATCCTTCCCGGATTTCAAGGTTTTTACTTTATTTTCCAGACGATTTTCAAGTTTGGCAGAATTTCTGTTTCAAAAGTCTAAGAGATTAAGACGACTAGCCTTTACAAAGCCGTAATAAGAACAAGATTCATAAAGTAAGGATGCGTCCATAGCACCTGACCTCTAACTTTTCTGTATGAATACGAACTTAAAGCAACTAAAGGTTTACCTTCTGTGATTATTGCTCCTTCTGTCAACGCCAGATTTGTTGGACTTATTAGCTGCATTAGATGAACGAGGCTTGGAAGGAAAATCTGCCATGGCCGACTCAACATTGACTGCAACATTGGACGGAATCGAGACTCTCTGATAAACAAACCCATAACAAAGCAACATAAGCTGGGGTAAAGCGAATCTCTCTATGACTATTGACCAAACTATTGTATCAGAAAAAGTGACCAACCTTGGCAACGATTTGAACAATATTGGAAGAGAGAATCACAAGCGTCTCCACAATTTTCCCACTTGCTACATTCGACTTACTTGTTCCCTTCTTAGTAAGTTTTGCATTCTTCAGAACAATGCCTATGCAGAAACAAACCAAATTTGCTAAACATGATATTACCAAATCGAACAAACATAAATCAATCCGTAATTTATTCGAGCAAGAATTGATAATGGGAGCTTTTATCTTCATCTCTCCACCAATATAGATAACACCAGGTTGAAAATAATCACATTAAGATTCATACCACTGAGCGGAAAATGTAGTATTAACCTATTCAAATCTCTGCGATCGAATTCATTTATGAAATCTATATATGAGGAAAAAAAAATCGCCGATAGAAATTCCAATCAATTCAAACACCAAACTTCACTCAATTCGAAAACGAAAAAATTCCATTACAATCAGACGGAAACGTACCGAATTCATTTTCGACGGAGATGGTATAGAGTATCCCGGAAAAAATCGATCCATCCTTGATATGCGCATGGACTGGCAAGCCGATGATGCACATAGTAGAGTTTAACAGAGCCTCGTTCATCGATGATGATGCTGATGATGATGATGAAGGACAAGAGTGTGAGATTTCGTCTTCCAATTTCTTTGCGATTGCCATCGTTTCAAAATTTCACACAATTTGATCGGGAAACAATCCTGACGGTGTGTACTCAGGCTGTGTATATATCGGAACAAAAGAAGACGACGACGAAGACAATTGAGATTTGAGAATTAGAGAGATCTACAGAAATGAGGGAAAAAGAAAATAAAGTAAAAGAAGGGCCTTCTTATTGGGCCTTTATTTATCTATATTGGGCCTAAATTAGTTTTGTTCCATGACCAACAAACTTCTTTTCTCTTCATCGTCATCGTTAAACCCTTCAAAATCCTGTTGGCTGCTCTCTGTGATTTTGTGTCAAAATACTAAAACCCTAATTTCTCTTCGTTCCTGCAAATTCCACCTTCTCTCAATTCGTTAGATTTTCAATCTCTGGCTCGAATTTCGTGTTTGTCAAGATGGTGAGACCTAAGACTAGGGGAATGAAGAAGCAGATGCGTAGCGACGAAGTCGAAGAAATCAGTCTCCTGAAAGAGTGGATCGAATCTCAGAAACCGGATTCTGGATCCAATCCACTCTCATTCGGTCCTCTCCCCAAGGATGCAAAGATCGGGAAGCTCGAAGACGGCAAAAACGGCGCCGTTTTCTCGCGCTACGCCGGCGTCAGGAAGTTCAATCAGTTACCGATATCGGATAAAACGAAAAGGGGATTGAAAGATGCGAAATTCGTTGATATGACCGATGTTCAGAGAGCTGCTGTGCCTCACGCTCTATGCGGAAGAGATATTCTCGGTGCGGCGCGAACTGGGTCTGGCAAAACTCTTGCTTTTGTTATTCCGGTGAGTTTTTAATTATCTTCAGATTTGGAAAATAATAGAGCTTTGTGAAGTTTCTGTCTTTGTTTCATTTTCATGTTAATGGTGAAATCTAGCGAGATGTTAATGGATGGTTTTGTGTTATAGATCCTGGAGAAGCTACACAAGGAGAGATGGAGTCCTGAAGATGGAGTGGGATGTATAATTATATCTCCAACAAGGGAATTGGCAGCTCAAACTTTCAGTGTGTTGAATAAAGTAGGGAAGTATCATAAGTTCAGTGCTGGGCTCTTAATTGGTGGGCGTGAAGGAGTTGATGTTGAGAAGGAGCGAGTGAATGATATGAATATTTTGGTATGTGCTCCTGGTAGGCTTCTTCAGCACATGGATGAGACCCCAAACTTCGAGTGTTCACAGCTCCAGGTATTGATTACCATAATGTCATAGCTTTATCTTCATGTTTTCGCTAGAGAATATGATAGGATAGGAGATAGCAGAGGACTCTACCGTACAAGTTTATGAACATTGAAATGGTATAAGGACATTGTAGAACCACAAAATGGGCACCTCCTGTCTCCGTTTATGTGTCTTTATTCAGCTACATTTTGATAGCTTTGATCGTTTCAAAATAATTAATAGATGTTCTCTTTTGTTGAAGATTCTGATTTTGGATGAGGCCGACCGCGTTCTTGATGCTGCGTTCAAAGGGCAGTTGGATCCCATTATCTCGCAGTTGCCTAAGCACAGGCAAACTTTGCTTTTCTCTGCGACGCAAACAAAGAAAGTCAAGGATCTAGCAAGACTGAGTTTGAGAGATCCTGAGTACATCAGTGTACACGAAGAGTCTGTTACAGCCACGCCAACTAGCTTAAAGCAGACTGTCATGATTGTCCCAGTCGAAAAGAAGTTAGACGTGTTATGGAGCTTCATCAAAACCCATCTTAATTCCAGGATTCTTGTTTTTCTCTCCACCAAGAAACAGGTTCATGAATTAACCTCTCTTCCTCGTGGATCATAACTTTGAAGATATTTTGGTTTGCTTTTATTCTGCTACTTTTGTCCTATCTTGAAATTGATGATGAGATCACTATTTTGTTAGGTCAAATTTGTTCATGAAGCATTCAACAAGCTCCGGCCTGGAATACCTTTAAAGAGCCTTCATGGGAAAATGAGTCAGGAGAAAAGGATGGGAGTGTACGCTCAGTTCATTGAGAGACAATCAGTTCTTTTCTGCACCGACGTTCTTGCTAGAGGTCTTGATTTTGATAAGGCTGTGGACTGGGTTGTTCAGGTATGAATACACATTCAGAATTGGAAAACTGTTTGAATGTTTTTTGAGGAGGCTTAAGTGTGTGATGTCATCTTATTTCTGGTATAGGTGGATTGTCCTGAAGATGTAGCTTCTTATATCCACCGAGTTGGCCGCACAGCTCGTTTCAATACTTCAGGGAAGTCGCTCCTCTTTCTGACACCTTCGGAGGAAAAAATGATTGAGAGATTACAAGAAGCTAGAGTGCCTGTAAAACTCATCAAGGTTGTACATCCCCGTCCTCAATTCCCATTGAGTCTCTATACTGTCTTTGGTAGGGTTGTTTTGACTTAAAAAGGTTTTTGTTCACACAGGCAAACGACGAAAAGTTGCAGGAGATTTCTAGACTCTTGGCTGCTTTGTTAGTCAAGTTTCCAACTCTTCAAGATGATGCTCAGAGAGCCTTCATCACATATCTGAGGTCCATTCACAAAAGAAGAGATAAGGAGATTTTCGACGTGTCTAAGCTGTCGATCGAAAACTTCTCTGCTTCACTTGGTCTACCATTGACTCCTAAAATCCGATTCAAAAACCTTAAAACGAAGAAGAAAGGAGTCTTTGAGAGTTCAATAGCTCTGGAACCAGAGGATGATCAAGATAATGACACACCTTCTGTTGTCGAAAAGGATCTTCTTGGTGAAGATTTAGATGAAGAAGATTTTGCTCTCAAGCCACGTCAAGTGGGCAAGGAAGGTGAAAAATCAACCAAAAACGAAGAAGTTCCCATGTATGGATTTTCGCATACCATGTACTATATCTGCGTTTGTTCAATCCATTCTTTCAAGCTGCTTATGTGTTTAAATTCCTTTTGAGTTTCAGGCCAGGAGCTCGTGTTTCGTCGAAGAAGAAGATGCCGAAGATCAATCTCCACAGACCAATTGGGACCAGGATTGAGTATGATGAGGACGGCAACCCAGTGGCTCCCTTCGCAAAAGTAGCTGCCACAACAGAGACTGAAGTAGCCCTTGATAAAGGTAAAGGAACATGAAACCTCAAGTTGATATCAAATCCCTATTATTCTGTTCCCAGAAAGTTACTAGCAATGAATCAGGTTCTTACAATGCATGTGGAATTGGTTTTTGATTTTTTTTTCTTGCAGAGGCAGTGGAAAATTTCCGTAGGAAAGTGGGGGAGCAACTGAGGAGGGTGGATAAAGAGGACAAGGAAGTCGAGAAGATAAAGAGGCGAGAAAAGAAAATGGAAAAAAAGATGAAGAGGAAGAGAGCCATGGAGGAAGAGGAAGACGAAGAAGAAGAAGAAGGCCATGAAGGAGGCTCTGGATCGTCATCAGAAGAAGAAATAGGAGGAAAACGCAAAAGAGCGAAGAAAACCAACTCTGGTGATGAAGGTGAAGAAAGGGAAGGAGGAAGAATCAACACAGACTCTGTCTCCATTGCTGAGCTTGAAGAAATGGCTCTCAAATTGATAACGCAGTCGTGAAATCTTTATATATAGGAATCGTTTTCCTCACTAGGCTCAGCCATCTCGCATCTGCCGTTTGCTGATTCTCCTCCCAAGGATGCATTCAATTTCTGAACTATGTTGAATTTTCCAACAAGTGCCTTGTCAATTTTGCTCTGTTCAAACAAACAGCTATTTATATACTTACACTCTTACTGTCAAATTAGCTTTCAATCAAAGGATTACCAGATCAACCCTTATTTGAGGAAGAATCTTTCTTTGTTTCAAATGTTAGGAGTTAGGACGTAGAGAGATGCTTAAAGCCTTAAACCATGACTAGTTTTCACTTTTCAGGAATTGAAACAACTTGAAAAATCATCGAGGCCTAAAGACCATTTGCAAGGGAGAAAATAATATTTCATTGTAATTTGTATATTCCAAATACATCAAAACCAAATCATATATTCCTTTGTCATTGGAAAATTTTGATGGTCGTATAGGTTTGAGACCAGTAGCAAATGGCAAATCAAATTGTTTCTTGACAATTCAAAAATAGATAAAAAAGTTTCATCATTCACTAAAACAACACGTTGACAAACAAATCCATCCAACAGTAGCTCATTTCAAAAAGCAAAGTCACACAAAAAAAAAAAAAGACAGCACTCTTAATCTAAAGTCCTATCAAGAAGACTCGATGCCTCATATATCGTCCATTGTCCAAGACATCGGTAGAAAAAGCTGGTGTTCATCTTTCACTGCATTGGAATAAGAAACATGGTGAGAAAAACATACGTATAAACCTCAATCTTCAAAAGAATCGTCATCTGTTAAAAGTGTAATCGAGTTTACCTGCCGTTGCTGAGGATAGTTGCCATAGCCAGGGTAACCGCCATAGTAGGCGGCGGCATTAGGATCCTGAGGACGAGGAGCTTGTGCATAACCATATGGTTCATAACCCCCTTGTGCCTGTGGAGGGTATCCATAGTATCCACCACCATTATTCCATTGCGCTTGGTCAGGCTGTGACTATAAAAGTTTTACAAGTTATGGTTTTGCTCTGAATTCATCATAATACCACTCTCAAGTTAAAACAGGTAGCAAACAAACCTGCTTGTTTGGACTACGTCCCCATGAAAGACGAATGCTTTGTCCACCTAACTGTGACCCATTCAACGCATTAAGTGCATGCTCCGCAGACGCCCTGAAGCATTACAAAGAGAAGAATTAAGTGATGAAACGGGGTTTTGGCATTCATGGCAAATGGTTTGATATGAGTATTATTATTATTATACCTGTTGGTATATTGAACGAATCCACAACGCTTTCCTGGAGGTATTTTCACATGGACTAGTTCTCCGAATCGACCAAAGACTGACTTCAACTCATCGTCTGTAACGCTAGCGTCCAGAGCTCCAACAAATATCTGATAGTAGAATGCATCAGGGTTTCATTCGAGCAAAAGAAATCATCAAACTAAATGAGGAAAACAAAGCAAAGCTAACTACTCACTGTTGTGTTACTGGGGTCGCTTTCTCCAGGATTTCCTCCTTGGTTGTCCTGATACATAGCTGCAAATAACCAGATGGGAGAAGGTAAATATTCTATTGTATTGCATAAAACCACTCAAGAAGGTGAAACAACGTAAACAGCGCTTGCAAAGATCATTTCACATCAACACTTGATAAGATAAAAGCAGAGAACAAAGCAAAATACAGTTCAGAGATCATCTGAAGTTAGCTGATTATTGACACATATAGGTAAACTATGCCTTCGCAAGGTTTTAAGAGTAAAAAAATTCAGAGGAGAAAAGTTTTATGAAAGAAAAAAGAAAAAGACTTGAAGCAATGTCTACTTAGAGAAGAAGTATTAACTTGCAGGTAAGGCTCGAAACAAAAAGAAGGGGAAAGTAATGAGCGACTGAATATGAAATAAAAGGCTCAAAATCAAATACTTTTAGATGATAAGTAAGGAATATGTAGGCTAATAAGGCCACTGGTATTTAACTTCTTCTGAAAACATAACCAACTGACCTAAATGAGGCCACGCAAGGTGGAATCATTTTCAGCTGAAGTCAGTTCCCCCAAAGAGAAGCCACTTGTTCTCCTGCTTTAAGACAACATGAGTTGGGTTTTTTAAGCTTGTGGATGCTTCACGATATCAAAAAGTGCAGAAAGGCAAGAGCCGGAAGTAAAAAACTTGAGCACCAATCAAAAAACATCACAAGAAAAAGGAATGCATCCACACACACACACAAAACAAAAAAGCAATCATGCTCAACAAAAACCTACTCACGCCACTAACATACTCATTGCACATAAAACTAAAACATACCTGGACGCATTGTAAGAGGCTGCTTGTTGGCAGCCGGGCCAATACGCATAGGCCTGGTCGAGCAGTACTGACCGTTCATCTCGGTCATGGCACGCATCTGCTCACCTTCATCCGAAAACCTGACGAAACCATACCCCTTTGACCGCCCCGTGGTCCTGTCAGTCACAACTTTCGCCCCCTTGACAGACGTATATACAGTCGTAAATGTCTCCGTGAGCAAGTAGTCAGAGACCTCAGGAGCCAGGTCGCCTACGAAAATAGTGTAGTCCGGTCCTTCGGCTTGGCGCCTCTCTCCAGCACCGGACTGAGCCCAGTTCAGCCTGAAGGTCTGCTCACAGTTGGGCATCTGAGTACCGTTGTAAGTCTGCAAAACCCTCTCAGCTGCAGCATGGTTGGCGAACTCAATGAATCCATAACCCTCACACTGCCCAGTCTGCTTATTGCGAATGACCTTAGCCGATTGAACCTGAAACCACAGATAAAACACCAACCTTTCACTAACCATACGAATCACAAACACAGATAAACAGGACAAACAACAAAAGAATGAAGATATTCAATGCTATGAATCTATTCAATTTGGTGTTTAATTTCAATTGACGGATGCTTAAGATTACCTCGCCAGATTGAGCGAAGATGCTCATGATGTAGGTCTCGTCCATCCAAGGCTGCAAGTCACCGATCCACAGCGAACGGATCTCACCATCAGCTCCGGGATTCTGAGATCCAGCTCCGAAGTACTGCTGCTGCTGTTGACCCGGTGACGGCGCAGACTGCTGGTTCCATCCAGCCGGCGGCTGACCCTGTTGCTGCTGCTGTTGCTGTTGCTGTTGCATCATCCACGACTGTTGCTGTTGGTGATAAGCTTGCTGGTCAGATGGAATCTGTCCAGCTCCGGCGGCGTTTGACGGTGGCTGTTGCATCATGGTTGGTGACGGGAAGAAAAAAAAACCTAAAAAAGGGGGATTTGTCACTAATGCAATCGAAGAGAAGAGAGAAACGAGACAACACGTTGTAGTCTCGCTTGCCTTTATATATTCGATATAGAGATAGTCTTTATATGGGCCTGATTTTGGAATACTCGGCCCAGCCCATTAATTGTTTTCTTAAATCTAAATAACCAACCGGTTAAGTTTTGAACCAATTTTGACATAATTGGAGGTGTCCCAAGGTTAGAGAATCTTTAATCTTTAATCCAAGTTTAAGAAGTGATTAGATTAATCAATTACTTAAAAGAACAAATTTTGGACTTGATTCAGACATGAAATTAGGTAAAATCTTAATTGTATAAATGAGGAAGCTTTGGTTTACAGTTGGTTTTGTTCAGGTCACACAGGAATACAGGATCAAAGTTAAAGTTTCACAGAGTAACAACCTCTTCTTCTCAGTCTCTCTTCCCTCTCCAGAGTATGATCTGCTCATCTTTGAACAATATGGGAACACATGGAACCAAATCCTGCAAATTTTGATCACATCATCAAAACGAATCATGCAGAATCTCACATACAAGACAAGACAAAACCCATTTAAAAGTTTATACCTTAAGCTTCACACCGATTCGTTTGCAATCACTCATCCCAACATGAGTGCAATCGAGTCTCACAATCTCTTCTCTTTCAAATTCTTCCCTCACTCTCCCCACGACGTTAACATAAACACCATTCCTAGCTAAATTACATACAAAAACGCCAATAAGAAATGAGGAAAATCTGGATAGACCAATGAAGAATGTTGCTACAAATGTACACACTTACTAAGTTTCATCAAGGCAGGAGAATGAAGCCCGCGGTTTCTCATCTCTTTGGTCTCTTCAAATGTTAACCCAACAGCTACGTTCTTCACAAGTCTCGGATATATCGGTGGATAAGGCTTCCACAACATGAGTGGTATGATGGGTCGGTTCTTGGGATCATAGTTCCTTCCACGGTACAAAACAATGATGTTTATGTGCCTGTATACAATCTTTCCACCGGATTTCTCCTGTCAAGAACAAACACACAACAACTATTAGTAAGATCACAAGGAGTACTTTCGAAAGAAACAAGAAAAACAGAGAGAGGATCTAAGAAAAGGACCTCAAGGTGGAAACATATGTTGTCCATGTCAAGCGTTGGTACTCCCAAGCATTTAATCCTCACTGCCTCTGCTTTCTTCCAATGGTTGTGAATGTCATCTATCATATTGTGAGTCACTCCTCCTTTCCCTAATAACATCACAACAACCACAAGACTCTTAACTCACTGATCGTCCAAATTTGCAAGATTCCAATCACTTGCGGTATGTTCAGGATGAAACTAAATTTAAAGTTTAGAGCTTTCACAAAAAAATATCCAAAATGTGTAAGATCAATGTGAAGATTTGGTTACCAAGATTAATCTGCCGAGAGCAATCACTATGACGATACTGTTCAACAAGCTCAGTCACTTCCTCCACTGTCAAAGGCTCGCCGAGAACCTCCTCTCTCTCCTCCGCCCATTGTCTCTCGTCACTCTCCGGAGAAGCCGGAGCACAAGTCCCCGTCCATTTCCGGTCCAATCGCCCCGGTCCGAATGGAGAAAACCGTTTCGGTTCTCGGAATCCAATCAGTTCAACTTCCGGGTTGGTTTCCGAGTACGAATATCTAAAATCGAACGGAAGCTCTGATGTCACCGGCACCGTCGGATAATTCACCGGCTCCGACGACTGATCCGGCTTGGTTTTCTTCTTCTTCTTCTTCTTCTCCTCTCTTTGAGCTTTAGTGGGTTTAGAGAGTGGCGAAAATGGCGGATCATAGCAATCTGTAGATAGAAATCGAGCTCGGAGATTACACAACAGCAAAATCGAATCTTTCGTTAAGCTTCTGCGAATTGAAAGCATTCGGAATACAAAACACTCTGAGCTTTGTTTAGCTAAGCTCGCGCTTTCTTCTCGTAGGGTTAATTTGGAAGACGGCAAAAGTTTTACTGAACAAGACAAAGAGTTATAATTTCCTAGTTTTTACATTTTGGCCCCAGAACTATGAAATTATCTTGCTCAACCCCAAATTATCAAAATTGAAAACAATCAAAACAATCTTCTTCTTTCAGGTTTACATGATGTTACAACAGCAAAAGTCATTGGCTTTCTCAGAGAATTTTTCCAAAGTTCTCATCTTTACATCGTCTTTGATCTTCAACCATGGATTCAAAAACATCCAACATGTTATCCAAACCTTGAGGATCATCTTCACCAATCTCCTTCATTGCGTACACAATACTCTCTATCGTCGACAAACATCCCTCTCTTGGCTGTCTCCTAACTTCTCTGTACAAACTCGTCCCTTCGATTTCCAGCTTCACGTGGCTACACAAAAGCCTCAGCCACGGATTCTCAAGGTACATTCTTCTTGCCTTTGACCACGTCCCATCAAGAACAATCAGATTCTTTACCTTCAGCTCTCTCTCTTTCACATCATTGATCTTCGCGGATTCTTCGCTCGGGAACAACAAAGCTGATCCAGGAGGAACCTCGAGCTCAAACTCTCGCTTCCCTTCCGAGAACTTTGTTACCACAAACCCTTTTGCCAACACATCCATGGCGGTTGGAGAAGCCAATATTTGATCAAAACTAGGATCCTCTACACGAGCTTGGAGCAGAGAATGTGACACACTTCGGATAACACCTTTTTTGCTCATAGAGATTCTGATCAAATCCTCTGATCCATGTTCTTCACAAGAACCTATCTTATCTCTAACCCACAAATTTTCACCCAAATGATGAGAAAGCTTCATACTTTCAGCAATTTTCAAGCTTCCATGAGCAACAAGACCTCCATCTTCAAGGCTAACATCACAATCAGAGCGATTCGTTCCAAAATTTCCGGAATCGGATCCAATAACCCTGATTACGAACTCGGCCTCGTCATGAACATCGAAAACGGTGACCACACTAACATTCCTAAGTCCCAATCTAGCGATACGAGTTGAATTAAGCGCGTGTTTTCTCTCGAGACTGTGCTGCAGGATAGTGACACTCACCTGATTGTCCAGGCACGGAGATCGCAACCGCTTGCAGAGGCAGAGCTGTGTGGGTTTAGCGCAAGACGGGCAAGTGGGTCGCTTAGATTGCGTCTCCATTTTTAGGGTTTTTGAAACCCTCAAGCCCTGACACCGTATACAATCGGCCAAGTTGCCTCGAGACAGCATCAGCTGAGACCGGGCCAGGGCATGGCCCATCATCTGTCTCGACGAAATCACGCACATTTGAGAATCGAAAGTTCCAACCTTTGCTACTTCTTCTGTTACGAGGAAGATGAGATTTAAAATCAGAGACCTAACCAAATTGAAGATGATTAGGATTAAGCTTAGTTTGATGAAAATTGTGTTACTTTACTGTATTGTACAGTTTTCAGAGATTCGAATAATCTGTAACCATTTTTAAACCAATGAGAAAATGTTAAAGACTTTGAAAAGATGAATCCTTTTGATTCCTATTTTATGCATCACATCCACACAATTACATAAGCGTGTAGTAGTTCCAGCAAAGCCTGACCAATATATTTACAAACAGATTAAGGGTATTAATATTTGTTTACTTTTTCAACTGTGTTACATTAAACTTGAACCTAACAATCAATCAAACAGACATCTGAGGAAGATAACAGTTGAAATTTGTATGGTTTCTTTCTAGCAGTCCTCTGGTCTGTGGTATTTAGGAGGCAGAGAAGGACATTGTTCGTTCATATGCGAGTATGGTTTCATTGTGTTGTAGCCAGGAAACTCCATTCTGTATTTACCAAGAATCTGACAGTAAGGAAGCTTCACATCGTCGTTGTCATTGCACCATTTAGGGAGACGACTTGCATTGTTCTCGAAGAAGTTGAGCATGTAAGCATCTTTGATCTGCAATTTAACACACAGAAAGGATTAAGACAGCACAGTAAGAACGGAGTGGGGGAAAAAGAGAGGCTGTGTATTGGTTTTTCTTACAGTGAATTCTGTGACTTGAATAGAATTAGCAGATGAGCCGAATAAGCCAGCTTCTTTGTACATTTCGAGTATGAAAGCGATGCACGAGGTTGATTTACCATCGCTGTATATCCAATCGTCTTGTTCGGGTACTGCCAGTAGTTTGTCAAAAGATGATCCACGCTTCTCTACTTCGACCAGTACATCAGAAAGATCAAGACCCTGCGATTTAGAACATGTTAGAGAAGGACATAGAACAAAGTCAAAGTATAGAAGCAGAGGAAAATGCAGAATCATATACATAAGTAAAAGATAAAAGAGTACAAAAGAATCAAATAAGAGATCATGAAGATGAACACTAAGGAAGAACATTATCCTCTAGAAATCATGAAGATGTTAAGCAATTACGCTGACTATATAACCAGGTTGAAAATTGAACTAAAAAGGCCATTTATCGATGAAGGAGTCGAATTCTAATACCTGTGTTCCGAGTCGCTTGTTCAAGGCTTCATTCCACATGTTAGCAGCATAATCAGGCTGCATTTTGCTCCAAACAGTCATGAAAGAGGCAACCTGAAAGAAGAAAAAGAAGGGGAACTTGAATGATAAAAGTGTATTCAATTTCATTGATGAAGACCAAAGTTGAGAGAAATGAAAAGAAAACCTACAAGATGAGCATCTAGAGGAGGCGGGTAGTTATCACTAACGGTATCAATCCAGCTGAATATCAAGTTGTGATAACCATAAGGTTTACCCTCCATGCTCCGAGCATATTCCCACGCAGCAGTAACATTGAACTTAGCACGAACATCGGGATGCAAAGGTAGCAACGCGATCTGAGGATTAGAGTCATCCTTGGTCTGCTCAAATGTCCACCAGTCCTCCCATGGTAAAATCGCTATCACATCTTCTCCCTATGACCACCAAAACAATAACAGTCTCAACAAAAGAACAACACTTAAAACCTTCCAAGTAACCTCTTTAAAGAATTGTTTACCTTTTCGTTTTCATTCCCGGACTCACCAACCCACAGCTTCCCTTCGGTGTCTCTTAAGGCAACAGCGGAATGACCAGCATACGCACCACTCACCCATTTCTCAAGCGTCTCGAAACCACCCCACCGTCCACGGATCTTCGAAATAGCCAGTAGATCACCAGACTGGATTTCATCAGTCGTAACGTTTGTGACCCACGATGGTTCAGGACGAACATCGAATGTAGCTCCCATATGCTTCTCAAGAAACGCAAGATTAGAGCTCTCCCCCCAACCTGTATTGGTAAAGAGTGGGAAAACATCCCACAGCGCTTGAAGCGTTCCCAACATCCCTGCGTGCATAAGGAATATCGAAACTCCCTTGTTCTTAACCTGATATACAATAAGTACCCCAAAAACGCATAAATGGAAAGAAAAACACAAAAGATCTAGCAGTAAAGAACAAGAGCTTACATAATCATACTCGGCTTTCCCATCCCATGCTGAAAACTCCACAGTGTGCGCTCGTGAAATGAAGTACCAAGACCATGTCACTCGATATGGTGTTGCAAAGACGTATAGATCCATGCAAGTCCAACTGTGAGCCTTATCCGCCTTCATAAACACACAGCAACAGAATCTAATTTAGATTTCATCAATCACATGCCCTGCCAAAGAGAGAAACTACAGAACCAACGAAGGAACCACCTAATAAGATTCTCATGAACATCGATCAAATCCAAACTTGAGCAAGAATCAGGAATCTTATTCTAAAGATTAACCACTGGAGAAGAAGGTATGATACAACTCGCAGTGTTCTCCTAATTTTCAGGATCCAAAAATTTCTAGACTTGGCGGTTCAAAAACATCCAATAGTCAAAATTGAAGAGGGCCCATATACGAAATACTACCATAAACGACACACAATAAGCAACAGAAACGATCATAGTGAGAGAAGGAAACAAAATCGATTTTTTTCAATTTCCATTTTTTACCTTGATGTGAAGCGTGCCTCCACCAAACTCGCTACCGGACTTGTTGTGGAACTCCAACCAAGCGCTGTTCTCATAGAAGCAAGCCCCTTTCCAGTCGACGGTATCGTTCCCTGGGCTCGCTGTTCCGATGAAAGTGGGAAGCAGATCGGCGGCGCCGTAAAGGGAGTTGAGAAGCGGCCACGAGACTTGCCTGGGCAAATGCGGAAGCAAGTCGCGAGGGTGAAACGGCGATTTAAACGATTCAGCGGTTGTGACGATCAGAATCAGCACGGCGATGGCGAGCGAAGAAGACGATGAGGAAGATCCTGAGGAAGATGAAGACGCCATGTCCGTTTTGCGTTCGAAGTCTCCCCACGATATTAAAACCAAATTTCAATTTATAAAAAATAAACACTTCCACGAAACAGTTTTTCGTATTTATTATTTGGAGTATATTTTATCTGAATTAATATCATATAGATTTTTTTCTTGTCTAAAAGCAAAATTCTCATAGATTTCTAACAATCTCTGCATATTAATTTCATGAAAATAAAACTATATTTTATATTTTATTTATTTATTTACCAATCTCTACATATTAATTTCAAAGAAAAAAACATTTCTTTTAACTTGGCAATCTCTACAGATACTGTATTTACATGTTTGTATAGTTTTTCATCTGTTTAATATTATGAAATAAAAAGTATATTTTCTATGTTTAAACCCTATTTTATGAGATTTTATTCATATAAAATCTTTAAACTTTAGAGATCTTGTTTTGCAACTATGAACACAGAAACAAAACAAAACCTATAAAAATTGACATTCAAGTTTTGATAAAGACTAAAATTTATTTTATTGCTAAAACTAATTAAGAAATTGTTGCCAAACAAAGTCTATAACCTTCTTCTTTAACAAATTGGCAAGTTTGACTACTATATAGAAATATAACGAATCTTTATGTGCTTTATCCGCCTTCATATATATAATGTGACATCTCAGACTCGTTTATTTAACAATTTGGTTACAATAATTTAGGATTTTTTAACACATTCAATCCTAAGTAGGAAAAACCAAAAGACATAACAATATAATCTGAACAAGAGAGAACAATAACGTATAATATTCATAATTTGCTTTCTAACATTTCAAAAATTCGACACTATACTATCGTGAAATTAAGTATATGTCATGGAACTGCAAATACATTAAACTCTGCTATGCAAATCTAAATCTAAACTATACGCCTTATCTGCCTTCACAAACTCACAACATACGTGTAATATTCTGAAGTGGTATCTATTTTTACAATTTAATCATTTAACATACGTTTTGGATGACTTAAAATCTTAAAACTATAACACATTATGTACAGATGCACGATAGATGGATTTAGCGTGCACCACAACATACAAAAATCGACAGAATTTACCATGTTCTGTTTTTATTATTTCATTCCTTATCGAATGCTATCATCTTAATTACGTTACGTCGTCAATCATCTAACGTGTACATACTTGAAGTATGTTCGTTCGAGTGGCGTACAAATTTTAATGATACGTCGCCGTTTCTTTTTTTTTTTTTTTTTTTTGTGAATTGTCGCCGTTTCTTCCATTACAAACAAACATACTCCCAAAAAATATTTAAAATTACGAGACAGAAAAAGACGTATTTTCTAAGCAACAAAAACCAAATATTCAAGTAACATTGAAGTGGTTATGACTTATTCCCTCTGTTTCATAATAAGTGTCATTTAATGTAAATGATAATTCAATGTATCTGGATGTATTTAACTCAAAATGACACTTATTATTATCTATATAGACATATACATCTAATTATTGGTCAAATACATTTTCTCCAAATGACACTTATTATAAACTGGAGTATGAGTTATGACTAATCCATGGTTCCACATCCAGGCAGATGATATTATACGCTCCTAACCGAACCAGAATTTTGACAAACCTTAACTTTTATTCAGTTTAATATCTTAACCGAACCAAAATATAAGTTAGCTAGAAACATTGCAATTTCATCACTCTCTCTAGAGAAGCATAACTGTATAAGCAAACATTTGTTTGAGTTGTAGAATGTGGATTATATTGAATCTTGATACATTGACAATAGATATTAACCGAACAAGATTTGTTTCTTCATGTATATAAATGTGATTCCTTTACTAACCAGCCAATATTCAAGACGATACAATACACTGAAAGAGAGTATGTACCAAGTTTTAAGTATTGTAAGAGTTGAGATGGTTCGGTTCGGCAAAACAAGTAATGAGGGGATGTGGGTCGAGACTTTCGTATTAAAAGTAAGCGGGATCGGCAATTACAATAGAGATCGGTCAAAAGACGATCTCTTTTAAAATGAGACAGAGCTCGGCAAATATTCGGCAATTGTGTGTAAATGCTAAGTTTCTCTCTCTAACTTTTCAACTGTCCCGTCAATAGGCATTACTGCGCTATTTATAGCTTGAGGGGACGTTCGGACCAGCGGTCCTGGCGCTCGGACCAGCGGTCCTGGACGATTAGGTGGGCCTCTTGATTTGGGCCGGCCCATATGGAGGGGTGCTAAGCCCACCTCCAACAATAGCCCCCCCCCCAAGTCGGCATATGTTCAAGGTGTCGATCTCGAGGCGTCGTGTCGTCCATGCATGAAAAGGCGTGGGCCACCGAGCGTTTTCTCCTCCATAATCATTGCGTCGCTTCGGATTTCCCTTTCGGTCTATAAAAGAGGAGTGACGCCCGGAACTGCTGTTCTTCGCTCCATAAGAGGTAATAATTTCTCTCTCTAGAATTCTCTCTCGCTTCTCTCTAGTTTTGTGGTTTTGCCGAGCTCTCCATTTTCTCTTTTCACCGACTTCGCCGAGCTTCTCAATTCGCCGATCTCTATCCGTTTGCTGTGATGAGGATCGATTCAGACACGGAATCCGCTTCGGCAGAGGAGACTTATATCACGGGATCTAGCGCTGAATCGCCGCCTAGGTCAGATGCCGATTCTTCTAGCGTGAATCGGAGTGATCAGACCCCTGAAAGGACGACGAGGCCTCTGCTACGCCGAGCAGACTTGAGGGTTCGCCGATCGTCGAACAATGTCAACGAGATCGGCGCAGTCCCCGATTGTTACTCCGAGTCTCGAGATGAGGATGTTTTGGACGACTTGCCGCTTTTCGACGCGTTTAGAGGATACGCGTGCTCGATGCTCGGCCGCGTCTGTCCCGGCAGCCGTGCAGATGGAAACGGTCGAGGAGGCCCGGGCTCGTTCGGCAGCATCCAGGAAAGCTGGGATCGCCGAGAGGAAGAGGGCGGCTGAGATTGCCGAGGGGAAGAGGAAAATGTCTGCTCAGACGAGGAGGCAGCCGAGGTCGCCAGGAAGAAGAAGGAAGCCGAGATCGCCAAAGAGAAGAAAGACGCGATCGCCAAGGAGAGGAAGGCTTCGATAGCCAAGGGGAAAAGGGCTGCTGAAAGGGCTGCGGTTCGGCAGAGAGAAAAGGCCAACCCCGGCGGTCAGGGGGAACTCGAAGCCGAGCCGAAACAGCCGTGAAGAAAAGCCGACGGATCTGAGGAATCTGGGAAAGAGTCATTGTACGATCGACGATCTCTTGATGGTTCGTCGTGATCACGCCAGCGTGTCTGGTCTGGAAATGCGCCTTCCTGAAGATGACGAGCGTCTGTGGAAGCGCCGCCGGGCTGGTTTACAGCCTACAAATTTTGGTTCAAGGAGTCGCATATGTTCTTCCCGCTTCCGAAGCTGTTCGTCGCGTACTGTGAGGATGTTCGGATCGCTTTTTCTCAACTTTGTCCGGCGGGTGTTCGCAATATCACGGGCACGCTGGTTCTGGCTGCCGAACTGGGGATGGAGCTTAATCTGGACTTTTATGAGTCGATGTCGTCCATTGCTGTCAACCAGGCACTCCCGGGACCTGTATGTCAGTATAAAGCCGAAGTATGGGATGATAACTGGTCATCCTAGCAAGACGAGGAACTGGATCAACGAGTATTTCTTCATTCGCGTGAACGAAGCCTCTGTTCCCGATGGACAGGCGATACCGGAACGAGTGGAGTCCGATCTTTGGTAGAGAGCTCGGCCAAAACCTTTTAGGATGCCTTAGTATGTTTTTGTTTCTTTGCTTGCCGATCGCCTTGGTTTTGGCAATAATCATTTTCTTTTTTCTTCTCTTTCCTTTTCAGTTCGGCCTCCTTTCTGGCTTAACCCTCCAGTTAACTTTTACGAGGACGTTCGGCGGCTTTCCGAGCACGGGAAGAGGAAGTGGGAGGACATCGCCGAGACGCGGATCAAAGCTCAGTGGCTCGCATCGCGTCAGGTAAACATTTATGTCGTTTGTAGTTGCCGATCTGTTTCCGTGATGCTGATCTGCCTGTGTTCTCTCAGCTTCTTGGCGTTTGAAGAAACAGAAGCCAATGGGGAAGCTTAGTCTGAACTTGCCTCGCTACAGGCAAGAGGTGCCGACCCGGTAGAAGAGGTGACGGCCGATGGTCAGAAAGTGTGGGGAAGAAGAAGAAGAAGAGCGCCTCGGCCGGGAAGCAGGCGGAGAGGAAGAAGGAGAAAACGGCATCCGGGTCTTCATCTAAGACCGTGGTGACGATCGGCGATCGCGTGGCCGCCGAGCGGGCAGACCCTTGGTATGCCGAACATCCGGGTTACTCGGGTAGATCCGGAGACGGGTCTGAGGGAACCCATCACTCCCACCAGCGAACCGTTTTCGAAGGAGCTGCGGACGATCCTCCTATTCTTCGCAGGAAGCGCCGTCTTCCCTTTTACCGAGCTCGGCGGCGAGATCGACGTGCCGGGGTCCTCGGGTGGTCTGAGAAAGAGGAGGCGGACATCCTCTGCCGAGCATGGGGAGATGGCCGATGACGGGGGCCGTCGAGGGAGAGGAGAGATGCCGAGGCGGCAATGAGGCGGGCGGAGCCGCCGATCTCGATGCTGACATGGACGTGAAGCCTGAGGGGGCTATGGAAGTCTTCGACTTTCACTACGAGGGCGTCATCGCTTTCTTGAGCAGCAACGTCGGCTTGGGCGATCTGTATTACAGTCTCCAGCCGGACTGTATTTCGGAACCGCGTCCTCCAGTGTCATTAGAGGAGAAGCGTCTTTTCCGGAGATGGCCCGTCATACCTTCCAATCGGTCGCAAGTAACAATGCTTTGATCGATTACTACCGCCGGGAGATGTCTGCTAGATCGGCAAAGGGTCGTGCAGACTTGGTTGAGGTGAAGGAGAGGAACGCCGAGCTGGAGTCCCAGGTCGCCGAGCTCAAGGGCATTCTTGCTCTTAAGGAGAGTGGCCTTGAGCGGAGTGAAGCCGATCTGCCTTGGCTCGTTTGGATGCCGACTCTCGTGGTGCTGAGAATGAGAGGCTGAAGTCGAAGATTGCCGAGCTTGAAAGGCGATCGGCGGATGAAGCCAAGAGGACGGAGTCGCTCTGGAGGAAGTTCGTCAGGCGAAGAGGGAGACGGTCGATATCTTCTGGCCTCGTTTGAAGAAGGTTAAAACCTTCCTTGCCGATCAGGACCGGATGAATCCTCGCATTTTGACTCTGAATCAGGCGGTTGCCGTTCGTGACTCTTACGAGGCACTTATGAGAGCCGGTGTTGCCGTTCCTTCTGATTGGGTCGAGAAGTGCCGGTTGATGTGGAGCAAGCTCGAGGCGGAGATCGGTCAGGAGGAGGTGGTGACGGCGACGAGCTCGAGTTGGAGTTCGGCCCTTGGCGGATGAGGTTGCCAAACTGGACGCTGGTACTTCGGGTCAATTCGTGCCGTCCGAGTATTAAGCGGGATGAGCCGATCGTGGATGATCTGTCGTGCCGATCTTTTCCTTTTTTCTTCTTTTGTACTGTTTTTAAGTTCATGCTTTGTAAACGTATCCTTTAACTTAATGGAAATTCTTGTTTTTTTCTTTTGATGCGTCTTGAACGAAAGTTTGTTGTTGGCCGAGCTTGTCCATTTTTTACTTCGTTTGTTCTTGGGGAACGTGTCTGGCGAGGTCTGCGCTCGGCTTTTGTTCCTTGGCACTTAGATTTTTAGTCTTAGTGCCGAGGAGCGGACGGTTGGTCCGTTTTGTTCGTGGGGAACGTATTTTGCGAGGTCAATGGCTCGGCTTTTAGGAAAGTTCCTCGGCACTTAGGTTTTTAGTCTTAGTGCCGAGGAGGCGGATGATCAGTCCGTGTAAGTTCGTGGGGAACGTGGCTTGCGAGGTCGTTGCTCGGCTTTTTGGTATTGGTTCTTGCCGAACGCGAAGTAGTAAATTTTTTTTGTTTTTTATTAGAATTACAACTGAGCCTTGTGTTTTTGCACAAGGTTCCTACGTACCTTAGGGATCAAGCCGACCGTAGTTCTTATGTACAATTTTTTTTTTTTTTTTTTTTTTTTCGCGCTTGACGGGGTGCTTTTCCTTTGGATTTTTCGGTGGGGGCTGTTCTTGTCGTTCTTGGGTTCGGCGGTGTGTTGCGGACTAGTAGTAGAAACGCTTGAGGTTCATCGAGTTCCAAGACCTCGGGATTTCGGTCCGTCCATCGCTGCGAGCCTGTAGACTCCTGGTTTGATGATCATGGTTATGATGTAGGGGCCTTCCCAGTTAGCGCCGAGCTTCCCTGCGTTGACTTCTCTAGTGTTTTCAAATACTTTGCGCAGCACGAGGTCGCCTTCGGCGAAAGATCTGCCGAACGTTCTCTTGTTGTAGTACTTTGCTGCCAACTGCTGGTAGTTCTTGGATCCGGAGGAGGGCCTGGTCTCGGTGCTCTTCGGCGAAGTCGAGCGAGTCCTTGATCATGCTGTTGTTCAGTCGAGGCGTTGTTCGGGAGATGGGTTCGGCGGAGACCCGGTATTGTCGCTTCGGCGGGAGACATAGCCTCGATTCCGTGAGAAAGAGAGAAGGGCGTCTGGTTTGTCGATCGGCGTGGCGTCGTTCGATGGGACCATAGGACTCCGTCTAGCTCGTCGGCCCAAATCCTTTTTTATCCTCGAGCCGTTTCTTGATTCCGGCGAGGATCGTCTTGTTCGTGGCTTCGGCCTGGCCGTTCCCTTGTGCGGGTATCGGGGAGTCGAACTTGCTGAGGCGGATGTTCCAACTTGCGCAGAATTTCTCGAATGTTGCCGATGTGAACTGGGGTACCATTGTCCGTGACGATCTCGTAGGGGAGGCCGTGCCGACAGATGATGTTCTTCCAGACGAACTTCTCGACGTCTTCGGCCCTGATGTTGGCGTATGATTCGGCCTCGACCCACTTGGTGAAGTAATCCGTGACGATCAGGATGAAACGTTTCTGCGGGATCTTGAGCGGTCCGACGACGTCCATGGCCCATCGCATGAAAGGGTAAGGCGCCGTGGACGTGGTTAGTTCCTCGGTCGGTCGGGATATGATCGGCGCATGTCACTGGCAGGGTTCGCACTTGCTGGCGAAGGCCTCGCAATCGGCTATCATGGTCGGCCAGAAATGGCCGTTCTTCTTGATTTTCATGCTAGGGCTCGTCCTCCCGAGTGGTTTCCTCCTGCACCCGAGTGGGTTTCTTCCATGACGAGGCGGGACTCAGAACCGGAGACGCAAATCATGAGGGGACCGGAGGCGCTTCGCCTGAAGAGATTGCCGTCCAGGACCATGTAGTGGCGCTTTTTGCTTTGAGACGCCGAGCGGCCCATCGATCGGTCGGCACTTTGCCGTCGTGAATGTAGTCTCGTATTTCTTCTCGCCAGTCGTCGGGTAGCAGGACCTGCTCGGGATCCATCGGTTCGTTCATCTCCTCGGCATCGTCGACCCCGGGTTCGAGCGTGACGATGGCCATGCTTGTTTCGCCTATGTCGATGCTCGGCATGCCGATGCTTTCCACAGGTATCACTCTGCGTAGGTCGAGGTGGAGGCGAGAGCGGCGAGCGCATCGGCAGAGGAGTTATCGCTTCGGGGGATTTTTGTCAGGCGAAAGTGTCGAACTCTCGAGCCAAGACTTGAACCACTTTGAGATAGGCGTCCATCCTATCGTTTTTGGCGACGTATTCTCCGCTGAACTGGTTGGCGACGAGCTGGGAGTCGCAGTACGCTTGCAGTTTTTTGGCGCCGATCTCCTTCGCCAGGCGCATCCAGCGATGAGGGCCTCGTACTCAGCTTCGTTGTTGGATGCCGGGAATGCCAGGCGGAACGATTGTTCGAGGATTTCGCCTGTCGGGGATTCCAATCGAATGCCGATCCCAGAGCCGTTCCTTGAGGATGAACCGTCTACGTGCAGTGTCCAGCTTTCTCTTACGTTGGGGTCGGCGCCGATCATGTCCGGGGGGAGCTCGATCAGGAAATCGGCCAGGACCTGGGATTTTTCGCACGTTCGGTTACGGTACTCGATATCGTACTCGCTCAACTCTACTGCCCACTTGGCGATGCGGCCAGACTGCGTCGGGCTGTGCAAGATCGTTCGTAGCGGGAGGTTTGTCAGGACGACCACTGAGTGAGACTGGAAGTAGGGTCAAAGTTTGCAGGCGGACGTGACGACTACGAGGGCTAGCTTTTTTAGCGTTGGGTAGCGCGTTTCCGTGTCGTCCAGGGTCTTGCTGACATAGAAGATCGGCTTCTGATCCCCTCTGTCCTCACGGATGAGAACGCCGCTGACTGCCGATCTGGACACCGAGATGTACAGGTAGAGCGTCTCGCCGGGCTCGGGCTTTCGAAAGGACCGGGGGCGTGGAGAGGTAGAGCTTCAGTTCCTGGAAGGCCTCCTCGCACTTGGAGTCCCATTCAAAGCGTTTGTTGCCTCGGAGCAGCTGGTAGAAAGGGGAGGCACTTATCCGTCGATCTCAAGATGAAGCGATTGAGCGCGGCGATTCGGCCGGTCAGGCGTTGTACTTCGCGGGTGGTTTTTGGCGAGGGAGTTCCAGAACGCCGCTATCTTCTTGGGGTTCGCTTCGATACCTCTCTTCGTGACGATGTATCCAAGGAACTCTCCCGAGGTGACTGCGAAGGTGCACTTGGTCGGGTTCAACTTCATCGTGCTCGTTGAGACTGTCGAAGCAAGTGCGGAGGTGTCCGATGTGATCCTCGGCGCGTTGCGACTTGACGAGCATGTCGTCGATGTATACCTCCATGGTGCTGCCGAGCTGCTCCGCGAACATCTTGTTCACCAGGCGTTGATACGTTGCTCCAGCGTTTTTTAAGCCGAACGCATGACCTTGTAGCAGTAGGTCCCCCGATCGGTTATGAAAGCTGTTTTCTCCCGATCGTCCGGGTGCATCTGGATCTGGTTGTAACCGGAGAAAGCATCCATGAAGGATAGTAGCTCGTTCCCTGCCGTTGCCTCTACGAGCCGATCGATATGCGGGAGCGGGTAGCTATCTTTGGGGCACGCCTTGTTGAGATCGGTGAAATCCACGCAGACACGCCATTTGCCGTTCTTCTTCTTCACCACGACCGGGTTCGCGAGCCACCCCGGGTAACGCACTTCGACGATAGAACCCGCTTTGGATAGGCGCTCGACCTCGTCGTTTACCGCTTGAGCGCGATCGTGGCCCAACTTTCTCCGCTTCTGTTTTATCGGTTTGAACGTCGGGTCGACGTTTAGCTCGTGGCTGGTAACGGCTGGGTTGATGCCGACCATGTCATCCGTGCTCCATGCGAAGGTGGACGCGTTCGCCCAAGAAGAGCAGTTCGTCCTTAACTCGGTCGAGATTTCCGTGCCGATCCCAACACAGCGTTCTGGATCCCGGTCGTCGATGTTCTCCTGGCTGACCAACTCTCGAGGGGGCTCGCTCTGGGGCGGGAGGCTGGATTCGACGGTCGGAGAAGCTGCGGCGATGACGCAGGTTTGGGATGAATGACGTAGCTTGTGCTCGGCAACGAAGCATATTCTCACATCTCCTGACTTCCTCGGATCGTGACGGTACCGTTCGGCGTTGGGAACTTGAGGCATTGGTGGTACGTCGAGGCGACCGCTTTTAGTGCGTGGATCCAAGGGGTTCCCATGATCGCGTTGTAGATTGCCGGCTTGTCGACACCACGAACTTGACGATCTTGGTGACCTGTCCTACTCGTACGAGTTTGATGGTGCCGACCGTCATGGTGGTGTCTCCGGAGAATCCTGTCAGAGGCTTTTTCTTGGGTTTTATTCGGCAGTCCTGGAGTTCCATCTTGCAGTGTTTCTTTGAAGATGAGGTCTACGGTGCTGCCGGTGTTGATCAATACCCGGGTGACTTCGCAGTCGCCGATCATGAGTTCCATTACCAGAGGATCGTTATGCGAGGTGTGGAGACCGTTGGCGTCCGAGTCCTTCAAGGAGATGATGCTTGCCTCGTCGAGTTCGGCACCGACGTCCTGCTTCCACTGTTGAGCCATGGACGTCTTCCTTCCATAGTCCTTTATCGAGCGCACCGAGTCGTTGCAGGTCGGCAAACCGCCCATGATCATATTGATCCTTCGCCTCGGCGGGGGTGGTGGCGACGTGCAGGCGTTCGTTTCCTCGTGGTTCTGTTTCTGTTGATCGGCGTTTTCTCTGTCGCGACTGGGTCCTGCGGGCGGGAATCTCCTGGTCTGGGGTTCCGACGCTCCTCCTTGGACGTTCGGAGGCGGACGATTCGGGTTCCTTTGAAAAGAGGCTGGATCGGATCCCGATATCTCCCCGTTGGTGAATTTGCCGAGGAGGTACTCCTGCAAGTGTCGGCATTGCGCTGTAGCGTGGCCAGGGCGCTTGTGGTAATCGCAGTAGGACTGCGAAGATCCTTCTCCTTGGGCGATCTTGGGTCGGCCGGGCGGACGTATTTGTTCCACTGGGGGCGTTCTGACCATGATCGGTCCAGCTGGCTTGGCTTGGACGTAGCAGTTCGTGGCCCTGCGTTCGGCCTCGTTTTTCCGGTAGCTCCTGTCGTAATGCTGCCTTGGTTCGTAGTGCTCTTCCTTTGGTTTCTCCTTGGGTGCCTGCGTTTTAGTGGGGGTGTGGCGTTTTGCCATGGCAGTCTTTTCTTCTTCCAGGGCGATGAAGATGTTGGCTCGGCATAGGGCATCTTCCAGCGCGGATTGTTGAGTATCAGGTCGTCGCGGAAAGCCGATTCGTACCATAGCCCGTTTTTCAGCGCCGGGAGGCTTTGGTGACGGTTGCCGTGAGGCGCGAGGCTACGCCTTTGAACTTGTCGATGAATTTTCGCAGGGAGTCCTTTGGCCCTTGGCTGAGTGCCCACAGGTCGGCACAGGAGACTCCTCTTCGGATGTACATAGAGTACTGCTTCAAGAAAGCGGTGGTGAGTTGGTGATAGCTGTCGATCGATCGGCTTTCTAACCTCGAGAACCAAGTTAAGGCCGATCCCGAGAGATTCTCGACGAAGAGTTGGCAGAAACCAGCGTCTCTTTCCTCTTCGGAAAAATGGGTTCGGCCCATCGCGATGCAGAAAGCCGTCAGATACTGTCTTGGATCGGTGTTTCCTTCGTAGGGGGTATCTTCAGCTTTCCCGGGTGGTGGACCGGAGCGTGGCCGATCCTGTCGGTGAAGGGGTGTTCTGTGCCTCTCGAAGCACTTGATCGATTTCCGGAGCAGAGCTTGTCGCTTGGTGGATTCGGGAGTTCATGTTCTGGAGCTGGCTCTGCATCCGCCGTATTTCATACTCGTGGCCGTTCCATTCGGCGTTTTCCAAGGAGTAGGAGATGGTGTTTGCGCAAGATGGCCCAGCTGTGCCGATCATGGACGGTTGGTGGCGTAGGGTTCTCGCCGAAGAGGGTTCTTTGCGTGGGCAATGGCGGGCCGGGCGTTCGAAGATGTTCTGGTGGGAAGCGCGATGCTTGGAGTTCGTTAATCCGGGTCTGGCTGGACATCTGTGCGGCGAACAGGTTGTTAAGACGGTTGTCTGTGCCTTGCGCGAAGTTGTCGAGCCGTGATAGCAAGGTTCGTAAGAGTAGCGCGGTGCCGGCTTCCTCCGTCTGTTGCGTTGCTTGTTGGTTCTGGTGGATCGGTATCTCGTTGCGTTCGGCAGATTTTGCTCAGAAGAACTAGGATGCTCTTGTGCCGAGCGTTGTCAGGTGGGCGGTTGGTCGGCCCGATGAAATTATGTGCCGAGATCGGCTCGTTCTGGTCCTCTGGTCGGCGGGGGCCGATGAATGTTTCGTGCTGCCGGGCTGTCATGCTGCAGCTGGTGGGAGAGATCGGTTTTCGACTACCGATTGATGCCGATCCGCTTTGCGTAGAGAAATGTCTCGATGCCCCACGGTGGGCGCCAATTGTAAGAGTTGAGATGGTTCGGTTTGGCAAAACAAGTAATGAGGGGATGTGGGTCGAGACTTTCGTATTAAAAGTAAGCGGGATCGGCAATTACAATAGAGATCGGTCAAAAGACGATCTCTTTTAAAATAAGACAGAGCTCGGCAAAGGAGACAGAGCTCGGCGATTGTGAATGTGTTAAATGCTAAGCTTTCTCTCTCTAACTTTTCAACTGTCCCGTCAATAGGTACTTAGTGCGCTATTTATAGCTTGAGGGGACGTTCGGACCAGCGGTCCTTAGGCGCTCGGACCAGCGGTCCTGGACGATTAGGTGGGCCTCTTGATTTGGGCCGGCCCATATGGAGGGGTGCTAAGCCCACCTCCAACAAGTATCAGCTCCGTTGGATGCATAAACAGAAGAAATACATGGGAACCAATACCGACGTGTACCATCTTTATGACCATCGTCAATCGCAAGAGCCTCCTGAAATAAGTATTGAATAACATTAAACATCACATGTACTGAAGAAACACCAATATAAAAAATGGAGAGCAAAAGACGACATTACTTCTAACAAAGTTTTGAGGGCATCTATAACTCGACCAGATGTCCATGAGTGTTGTCTTTGTACCTCTTCGGCTCTTCCACAGTCACATAGCCTTGACCCTGAAAATCCACAACCCCATTTCAGCTCTATATATGTTAACACTGTGAAGAGATATTTTGGCTTTTCTTCTGTTATGTTTAATTACCTGAGCCAAGTCTAAGATTTGGTTATGGTCTTTGTTTAACTCAGTGGGGACTAAACGGATGGACTTTTTCTTGCCTACTGTGAAGATAACCTCAAAACTGTCATGTCCAAGATATCAGCAAATACAGTTTAACTTCTCCTTTTTCTATTAAGATTTGAAAGATTACGAGAACTCAATGAGGGGTGATAACTGATAGCCTTTACTTAAAAAAGTGCTTAGATGTTACTTTAAGTAAATAATGAAGAAACATAACTACCAAAAAATCAGAGTGGCGCAGCATTCGTATGGACAAAATCAAAAACAGTTTAAAGTTAAACTCATTTATATATCAATAAGCATAGCCAACCTGTTACAAAACATTTACTCCGTTTCAAATTAAGCATAGTCAACCCGTAATTATTTAGATGTATCTGCAATGCAAACCACGTCTAGATATGTCTAAATATTTGCAGATACATTTTGCCAAAACGACAACTAATTTGAAATGGAGAGAGTATAATATAATTTAACTAATTATATCAATATATTACAAAACCACAGTAAAAATATTAACGTCAGACACGACAGTATTTAAACCATTTACTCCCTCAATAGAGTATTCAGTTTTCTTCTTTTCAGTCAACAATTTTTACTGTCCGATGACTATGCATAACTCACGCTATAAAGGCTGGATTTTTAAGAATATCATTCTACAACGAACACATTCATTTTCTATTTCAGAACAATTTTGAGAGCATGTGCATCACAGAAACTGTTAAAGTTTCTTTGATCTTTTTTTTCTTTTACAAAAACTGATTTTCTGAAAGAAAAAAAAATCAAAAAAGAAAAAACCAAAACCCATTCGGATTGTAACACATGTAGTTACGTGTCAGAGAAACGTTTCTATAATCTCTTCGTGAAGAGATTACTCTCACCTGAAAGCTCGCCATGTAGATATATGTTTGTTTTTTCCTTTTTTTTTTGTTTTTAAAGAAACCCAGTTGATTTCTGCGATGCACATACTCTGAACCACCACACAAACAATCTTCCACATTTATTCAACAAACACATAAGCGTTGAAAGTGAATCAGATTCTATGGCTATATTCAAACTCATTATTCAACTGTGCAGTACTCATGCTTTAATGACCTTGTGTTTACGAGCGAATTCTTCAAGTTGGGATCGGAAGGTGGAGAATTGTTCCTTCATGAGATTTGTGCGTAGTTTCGCAACAATTTTTTCCAGTAAACTGTATTGATCCTTTAAAGCAGTGTTTTTAAAACCGGACCGGGAGGTGAACCGGATAAGCATTCGATGGTTTGACCGGATTGAACCGGGTTCAAAAATTATTTATTTTAAATTTATAAAATTTAAAATAAAAATAGAAATAGTTAAAAATTGATATATAGATATAAATATAAATATAATAGTGTTAGAAACTTATATTTTCATTGTTCTAATTAATTATTTATAGTATAAACATATACTCCCTCCGTTCCTTAATATTTGATGTTTTAGAGTTTTCATATAGATTAAGAAACAATTAATGATTAACTTTTATTGTATTAATTTTTCATTTTAAATAAATATTAACCAATAAAACTTATAGAATTCTCTTGAAATTTGCATTTTTTTACATTTATTAGCAAAAAGTAACTTTAAAAAGTTAAAACATCAAACAATATGGAACAAAGAAGAAAAGCTTAAACATCAAATATTAAGGAACAGAGGGAGTATAATTTTTTTAAAAATCAAAATTGAAACAAATATTATAAAATAATTAATTTATTTATTATATTAATTGTTTTTAAACCAGACCGGAAATTCAACCCGGTTATATGTCCGGTTCATGGTCGAACCCGGTCCGACCACCGGGTCGGTTCGGTTTTCAAAATACTGAAGATACAACAAAAAGGAGAATGTGGTATCAATCACTATTGAACAGAGATGCAAATATTGTACCAAGTACTAAAGAAAAAAATAGTTTGTATGAATCATTGAATATTAATAAATTTCTTGTTTTTTTTTGTAACATCTGATATTATTAGATAGTGAACGGAGAATACAAATATTCAGTCATCCAACTTGGAGGACAATTATACACAGAAAACGAATTAACAGATTGAGAATCGTATTTTGCTAATAGATCAGCTATTTGATTCCTTTCCCTATTAACATGATCTAAAGAGCAAAGAAGAAGCAGGCTTATCCAATGCCGGATATCTACTAAGATATTACCCAGTTCTGTAGAGCTCTCCTTCTTGTTGATGATGTTTACCAATTGAAGATTATCTCCTTCGAACCATACATTGTGAAGCCCTTTGCTCCAAATCCTTTGAGTAACGTAAAGGAAACCATTAGCTTATGCCTGTAAAGGTGAATCGACTTGATTGAGTTTTGCCTATCCTGATTCTATATAGTTCCCCCTTTCATCTCTGATGATCCAACCTACATCCATGAAATCATCGTTTTCCTTAAATAAACTATCAAAGTTACATTTTAGCCAACCTTGTTGTGGAGGCTCCCATTTACTCGACAATGGTCTTCTTTCCTCCTTTTCTTGATTCAAAACATTTGGGTTTGCCACAATCCACTCCGCTACTCCTTGTGTCCCTCTGTCGACATCTTCTTGTGGATGTACATTTCTTTGTGCGAATAGAAACTCATTTCTTGATTTGCAGATCAACCAGACTGTCCAGAACGGTAGTAATCGTTTCTCCTCCATCAAGTTTTGCAAATCTTTAATCTGAAACATTTTCCACATGTTGTCTTCTAGATTTATCACTCCCCCATCGAACTGCGAAAAACCTGCACATCTCCATATTGCATTTGCATGTTGACATAAAAAAAGAACATGGTTAATTGTTTCTTCATGAAGACAACATCGTTGACAAACCGGATCTATCGATAGAGTTTTTGAACATAACCTTTCTGCTGTTGGTATAGCTCTTGCCACTGCTTTCCATATGAAATGTTGAATCTTTGGTGGTATTTGAAGTTTCCAAATCTCTTTTTTAATGCCAAGGAACCCAATGGTGGCTCAATCTGATCATCATCATCCACCATGTGTGTTGCTACCCAGTAACCCGATTTGACGGTATATTCACCATTAGCCGTGTACGACCAGAATACCTCATCTTGACTTGCAGACCTTGATAATCTTATCGTCTTAGCCACAGCTGCATCTGCCGGAGTGAGTACTTGGTCAAGAATGGTGTTATCCCATTCCCTTCTTCCTGGTTTTCATAGCTCATCAACCTTGGTATATTGATTTTGAATATTTCGCTGGGGTGGTCTTGGTGGAAACACTGGTAGCCAATGATCTTTCCAAATATTTGTATCCGTACCATCCCCTAATCTGATCTGTAACACTTTTTGAAGCAGTTCTTTCCCTGCTTGAATAGATCTTCATCCATATGATGGATTGGTTCCACACATTGACTCTAAGAATGTCAATGAATTGTGGCATATGCCTTTATAGATTCTGGAAAGTAATGAAATTGGATTAGTATTGATCTGCCACGCTTGTTTTCCCAGAAGAGCTAAATTGAACCGATGTAAATCTTTAAAACTCATACCTCCTTCGTTCTTGGGGATAGACAGTCTCTCCCATGATATCCAAGAAATTTTACGTCTTCCTTGCTCATTTGTACCCCACCAAAACTCTGATAGTGAACTGTTAATCTCCTCACAAATCTGCTTAGGAATCAAAAAACAGCTCATCGAATATACTGGTTTTGCTTGTGCCACCGATTTGATCAAGACTTCCTTTCCGCCTTGACTTAAATACTGATTATACCAGCCTCCAACGTTGTCTTTCACTCGTTTCACTATTCCTTGAAAGCTCTCTGGTTTCCTCCTTCCAAATTGCTCTGTTAAACCAAGATATTTGCCACCCCCTTCTAATTTAGTTATCCCCAAAATACCTTGAATGACATTTCTTCTGTGATTATGAATACGATTTCCAAAAGTGATCGAGGATTTCTGTAAGTTAACTTTCTGACCTGAGATGGCTTCATAATCCTGCAGTATTCGTGCAATCCTTCTACAGTCTTCATAACTTGCTTTACAGAAAAACAGTGAATCATCTGCAAACAAAAGATGTGATACCGTTGGACAATGTCTTGCCAGCTTCATTCCGCATAACTCCCTTTTCTGCTCTGCTTGAGAAAGCATTTGAGATAGTGTTTCCGCACATAATAGAAAAAGATATGGTGATAAAGGATCACCTTGTCTAATGCCTCTACTTGGTTGGACATTTCCAAAGTCAGATCCGTTGATGATGATAGAAAATGAGATTGAACGAACGCACGCCATTATCCATCCAATCCATTGACTAGCAAATCCCATCTTCCTCATTACCTCTTCAAGAAAATTTCATTCCACTCTGTCATAAGCTTTGCTTATATCCGTTTTGATGGCTAAGTATTGCTCTGACGAATCTCGTTTTGACTTGAGCGCATGCATCAATTCATGGGCCACCAGGACATTGTCTGTTATGTTTCTGCCTGGAACAAACGTTGCTTGAGAGTCAGAAATTATATCCCCCAAAATCCCTTTCAAACGCATGACTAGGATCTTAGAGATAATTTTATAACTCACCGTGCACAAACTGATTGGTCGATAGTCCGCAATCTTATCCGCATCTGTTATTTTCGGCAATAAGCATAGATGAGTGTGATTGATTCCCGGTTCCATAATGCATGTCTCAAAGAAACGCTTTACCAATAAACATACATCAGAACCAATCTCCTCCCAAAAATGACGATAAAAGGAAGCTGTAAATCCATCTATACCTGGTGCTTTGTCTGGTCCAATGGAAAATACTACTTCTTTAATTTCTGTGTCTGATATTGGCCGTGTAAGAGCCGCATTCATCTCTTGTGTGACCCTTTGATCCATTGTAGGAGTAATATCGTCTACTGGTAATGTGATAGAACCTGTAAACATATTTCTGAAGTAGTCTTCAGCTACTCTCCCTATTGCTTCATCTTTAGTGTGGATTATTCCTTCCTCATCCACAATCTTCTTGATGCACGTTCTCGGTTTTCTTGACTTCGTCACTCCATGAAAGTAAGCCGTGTTCAGGCCACCCGCTTTTA